TTGGAGCAATTCATCGTCTTGTGTTGGAGCAATTCATCGTCTTGTGTTGGAACAATTCATCGTCTTGTGTTGGAGCAATTCATCGTCTTGTGTTGAAACAACTCATCGTCTTGTGTTGGAACAACTCATCGTCTTGTGTTGGAACAATCCATCGTCTTCTGTTGGAACAATCACATATACTACAGGTGGTGTACAGACCAGATACAGCGACGCTACCATGCCATGCCCATGGCGTTGCGAATGCGCTGCATGGTCGACTCGGCGATGGCTTCTGCCTTCTGAGCGCCATGCTCGGCGTGCGCGACGAGCTCCTTCTGGTCTCCGCTCATCAGCTCTTCGTACCTCTCTCGTATCGGCGCAATGCTGCGGTCTACCGTGTCGGCGGCCCTCTCCTTCAGGGCGCGCATGGTCAGGGGGTGCAGGTCGCGCGCCAGGTCCTCGGGCGAGGCAGCGCCGGCGGGGTCAAAGTGGAAGATCAGGTCGACCAGGTTGGACACGCCCGGCCGCGCGTCGCGGTGGTAGCTGACGCCGTCGAGCGAGTCGGTGAGGGCAGACTTGAGCTTCGCGTGGATGGCGTCGCGCGAGTCGGTCAGCAGGATGCGGCTCTTGGGCTTCGGGTCGCTCTTGCTCATCTTCTTGGTGGGCTCGGCCAGGCTCATGAGGCGCTTGGCCGGGCTCAGCAGGGTCTCGGGCACGGTCAGGAGGGGGCCGTACTGGTGGTTGAAGGCGACGGCGAGCTCGCGCGTGAACTCGAGGTGCTGGGCCTGGTCCTCGCCGACGGGGACGTGGGTCGTGTTGTACAGCAGGATGTCGGCGGCCTGCAGGACGGGGTAGGCGAAGAGGCCGAGCCTGAGGTGGGCGGCGGCGTCGGACAGCTGCATTGTGGCGGTGGCGTCGGACAGCTGCATTGTGGCGGCGGTGGCGGCAGTGGCGGCGGTGGCGGCGGTGGCGGCGGCGTTGGACACCTGCGTCTTGCTTTTCCACTGGGTCATGCGGCCCAGGTAGCCCATGGACGCGCCGCAGCTGAGGATCCACATGAGCTCGGCGTGCTGCTTGACGCGGCTCTGGGCGAAGAGCACGCAGCGGGCCGGGTCCAGGCCGACGGCGAGCAGGGCGGCCAGCATCTCGCGACGGGCCTGCTGCAGGGCGCGCGGGTGCTGGCGGACGGTGATGGCGTGCAGGTCGACGATGGAGAAGAGCAGCGTCGTGTCGGGGGCGGCGTCATGCTGGAGGCGCACCCACTGGCGCAGGGCGCCCAGATAGTTGCCCAGGTGGGGGACGCCGGTGGGCTGGATGCCGGAGAAGACGGTGGTGGGTGTTGACGGCGCGGACTGGGTGGTGGGTGTTGACGGCGAGGCGGTGGTGGAGCAGACGGGCGAGGCGGTGGTGGAGCAGACGGGCGAGGCGGTGGTGGAGAAGACGGCGCTCGTCGACAGGCGTGTCGTCGACGGGCGCCGCGCGAGGGAGCGCAACGCGCATCGCGCTGCTGAGGTCGGGCGGAGTGGCAGCATTGGTGGCCGTCTGCGCTGCGGGCGATTCGACACGAGCGGGCTGGCCGTGCTGCGCCACAGCCGAAGCCCAGCGTCATGAGTTACGGCGCATCATCCTTCACCCCCGCGGGCAGCCTCCGTCAGCCACACCCAGCAACACCCAGCACCAGATACAACCCATCCCACCCACGCTGTGCCGCCACATACAACACGCTGTACCGCCACATACAACACGCTGTACCGCCGCATACAACACGCTGTACCGCCCCCACAACACGCTGTACCCCCACTCAACACGCTGTACCCCCCACACTAGACGCTGTACCTCCCACACACACCACACCCCTCGCCCGCATCGCATCGCATCCTCACTGGTAGCCCGCAGATACAACCGCCGCCATGTCCTGGACGGGCTTCAAGAAAGGCGTCAACCGCGCGACGACGCAGGTCCTCATGAAGACGGGCCAGGTCGAGCGCACCAACGACCGCGACTTCGAGACGGAACAGCGCCGCTACCGCACCATGGAGACGGCCGCCAACAAGCTGCAGAAGGAGGCCAAGGGCTACCTCGACTCGCTGCGCGCCATGACGGCCAGCCAGATGCGCATCGCCGAGACCATTGACGCCTTCTACGGCGACGCCGGCACAAAGGACGGCGTCTCGCGCTCCTACAAGCAGGCCGTCACCGACCTCGACGCCGAGACCATCAAGGCCCTCGACGGGCCCTATCGCACCACCGTCCTCGACCCCATCCAGCGCTTCTGCTCGTACTTCCCAGACATCAACGCCTGCATCACCAAGCGCGAGCACAAGCAGATGGACTACGACCGCATGCGCGCCCAGGTCAAGAAGCTGACCGACAAGCCGGACAAGGACGTCACCAAGCTGCCGCGCGCCGAAAAGGACGAGCAGCTCGCCAAGGCCGCCTACGACCAGCTCAACGAGACCCTGACCACCGAGCTGCCCCAGCTCATCGACCTGCGCGTGCCCTACCTCGACCCCAGCTTCGAGGCCCTCGTCAAGATCCAGCTGCGCTTCTGCGCCGAGGCCTACTCGCGCATGGCCCAGGTCCAGCAGTACCTGGATGCCAACACGAGAGACCAGTACGCCCAGGGCGAGCTGGATGCGCGTGTGGAAGAGGTGCTGCAGGAGATTCGCGATCTGAGCATTGCAGGGACTGTGTAATAGCATGACCGACGGCAGCATGGGACGGCGTTTATGGCTGGATGGCTTACCAATCTATCTTTTTACTCTCCAAGACATGCTCTCTTACTACTGCACGGAGTGTCATCAACGTCTCCACTCCCTGACTACTGCCACTGCATGTCATCACCGTCCCCACTCCCTGACTACTACCACTGCATGTCATCACCGTCCCCACTCCCTGACTGCTACCACTGCATGTCATCAACGTCCCCACTCCCTGGCCACTACCACTGCATGTCATCACCGTACCCACTCCCTGACTACTACCACTGCACTGCATGTCATCAACGTCTCCACTCCCTGGCTACTACCACTGCATGTCATTTCACCACCCCCGCTCCCACCCCCCCGTCAGCTCCTTGCTCATGTACGGCCCGTCCAAGTAGTATCCCAGCTTCGCATAATAACTCCTCACCCCCACCCCCGAGATGACGCTGATCTTCCTGCTCCCGTGCTCCTCGGCCGCGATCCGCGCCGCCTCCTCCATCAGCAGCGTCCCGTACCCCTGGTGCTGGAACTTCTTCGGGTCGCGCGCGTGCACCGGCACCGCGCTGCCGTACACGTGCAGCTCGCGCACCAGGCTCGTCGGCTGGCCCGTCAGCTCCGGCCGGAATGTGTGCTCCTTGCTGCACTGCCGCAGCCGCAGCAGCGCGATCAGAATGTCCTGCTTGGGATCCTCGTACGCCAGGAACGTCTCCCACCCGCCGTTGGCCGTGTAGTCGCGCCGCACGAGCTCCACCTGCTCCGGCCGGATCTTGTGCTTGACCTCGTTGATGCCCACCTCGCGCGTCCGCACGTCGCGGCACGTCGTGCCAAAGTCCTTCATCCGCGCCAGCGCCAGCTCGCGCAGGTTGCCGTTCTCCACCCCGGACGTCACGAGCGGCATCGGGATGTCGCGCTGCACCCGGTAGATGCGCGTCCACGGCGGCACCAGCGCGAGGATCCGCGCCACAATGTCGATGAGCGCGTTGGGCGTGTAGTTCTTGTACCGCCCCGTGCGCCACAGCTCGTACAGCCCCGTCCCGCGGATCACGAGCGTCGGGTAGATCTTGAGCCCGTCCGTGCGGAACTCGGGGTTTGCAAAGTACTCGACAAACTGGTCCAGGTCGCGCTCCATGCCCACGTTGGGCAGGTCCGGCATCATGTGCGACACCACCTTGAACCCCGCGTCTTTGGAGAGGCAGAACGTCTTGGCCACGGCCGCCACCGTGTGTCCGCGGTTCGTGTCGCGCGCCACATCTTCGTACAGCGATTGCACCCCAATCTCCAGACGCGTGCAGCCGTATCGCAGCATCGATGACAGGTGCTGGTCCAGGCAGTAGTCCGGTCGTGTCTCGATGGTGATGCCCACGCACTTTGTGTTGCTCATCTCGCCCGCCGCCACGGCTTCGTCCACATCCTTGGTCTGGTATCCAGAGAGTGCGTTGTGCAGCTGTGAAATGAACTCATCCCGGTACGACTCTGGCAGCGACATGAACGTGCCGCCCATGATGATGTACTCAACCTTGTCGACACTGTGGCCCAGCGACTTGATCTGGTCAACACGGCCTCTAGCCTGCTCGTACGGATCATACCGCGCTCGGATGGCGCGCATAGACGTCGGTTCGTAGCCCGTGTAAGACTGCGTCGAGTACTCAAAGTCCGAATCCGGGCCTCCGGGACAGTACACGCAGATATTACCCGTGTATGCAATGTGCGGGCAGCGATGCGGCTTGCACATGACCGCCACGACCGCAATACCGCTCGCACTTCCTACAACCCCCATCAGCACAGGTCAAATCGACCAAGCAGGAGACCCACGGATTGGCTTCGCGATCAGCTTCGGCAAAATGTATTTCTTGTAGTGCTCCGGCACCGCCGCGATGATGGCTGTGAGCGGCGGCTGCGTCTTCAAGTAGTGTCGCTTTGCGATCTGGCCGCGCAGCTGGTTCAAGTTGACATCCTTCTTTGGCTTCGACCCGTCCGCTTGGGCCTCGTAATCCTGAACGAGCGCCGAGGCAATGTCGGCGCACGCGCGCATGTATCTCTCATTTTCCGGCGGCAGCTTGATATTCTTCGGTAGCCGCCTCTTGACGGGAAAGTCCATGTATGTCATTGTTGCCGTCGCCATGGTGGGCTATTTTGGTTGTGCTAGCTATGTTTTCCTGATGGCGATTCTCCATGAGAAGTTAGGGCTGCCGTAGAGTCAGGCACTAAGCTCAATACGGTACTAGCGCCTCTCGATATTCTCCAAGATAGATCGTTCGGTTTGCAGTGTGCTCAAGACGCATGTGGTAGATAGACAAGACCTGTTTGACAGTATACTTGTTCCTTCCCTGTAACCCAAGTCAAGGGTCTCCCATGGTCATGTAATAGTGGTGTGCTGGAGAGTTTGCTCACTATCCGTGGGCATATCCAAAGATTGTCTCTGTCAAGACTTGTATCGCGATCGAGCTCAAGCTCCGGCTGCAGACACAGTGTTGGAGTCACTCTCAGAAGCATAAAGGAAAGTGACCCCACAATCGCAGCCCGATGGTCGGTGGTCCGCTGTCTAAGAGTTGGCCGCTTCGCCCATGCTCAACTTCACCCTGACGCAAGCAAAAAGGCGTCAAACCCTACGACAGGCGGCAGCGATGATATACATGTGCGTCGCAGTCTCACCAGACGCAAAAAAATTGGTCACTACGAGGGTCGAACTCGCGACCTTGGCGTATCAAGGATTCAATCTATTAGCACCACGCTCTAACCAACTGAGCTAAGCGACCAGTTTGATGGTAAGAGTGAAAATTGTAGCAAATATATTGGTGGGGCTTCTGCACTTGGCTGCCATTAGATGCTGCGAAGATTCTGCTGGCGGGGTCCAATGGTCTGCCCATTGCACGCCGAATGATGTTCCGCGGATGCTACATCGTGGTCGAGATTACTGGGTGCTGGCTCAACTTTGATGACTGTGAAGATGGGCGAAAGAGCGAACGTCAATACCGCTGTCGATTTGCATTTCGCTCAAAACGCATCGCTGGCGAGGTCTTCTGCCAACCCTTCCAACTCTTCCTGCTTAAACGGCACCCACAATCTCTCCGTGCCCATGGCATCTCTCCGACTCTCGATCATCTGATGGTCGTGGAACTCTTTCAGCAGTGTCCTGAAGCCGACTTCGCTGGAGCAGACGAACTCCTGCACCGCCTTGTGGTACAGCACGCGGTACTCGACGCCTTGGTTCGACTCAGGGACAGCAGTTTTGGCTTGTGCGACCTTCTTGTTCTTCAGTGTAGCAGTGACTGCGTCTTCGTCATCAAGGCCTTGCTCCATGATGTCCAGAGCGAGCTGCTCCATCACGAGGATGCGGTACAGCGATCGCGCGTTCTCAGGCAGCGAGCGCAAGACAAAGCCCACACCGTCCCGGCCACTGACGCGCCGGCCACTGCGCCCAAGCAGCTCGTTTACAGTCTCTACCACGTCTATCTCCGCATCGTATGGCGCGAAGGTGGTCGCGTCGTGGAAGAGAAACTTGTATTGCGTCTTCAGACCCACATCCCACAGCAGCGGGAAGTTTGGTGAGTCCGCTGTGCAAATGAGGCTGATGGACGGATGAGCAGCGAGGCGAGCCAACATCGAAGGTACTGGAGCTTTCCGCAGATACGGCGAGTCGATCGAGTTGAGAATGACGGGTATCGGGTGAAAAGGTGGGTTCGTCGAAAGATGGTCGAGCAGAAAGTCAAGCAACACCGCCGGCTGGTTGGGCAGCTTGGTAGTGTTGGATACTGCGATCGAGACGATGGTCGTCAGAAGCTCCTTCAGTGTAGTGCCCGCAGCGTAGCCGTTGATCACCGCGATCTTTGGGGTCCTCTTGGAACCCTTGAAGGGCGCCATCTCTGACAGGTGGTGGTACAGATGTGCCGCAAACTTGTCGGTGATGGCGCGTTTCGACCCGTAGCCGTAGAGGCAAATATTGAAGCCCTCCTCGAGCTCGAAGATCCACTGACTAAAGGCACGGCTGTGCAGCTCCAGCAGGAAATCCATCTCAGGCTGATGGGGGTCTTCGTAGCCAGATATCGCCTGAAAGTACTCGTCATGATTGAGTAGACTCTGTGCAGAGAGCGTGTTGTTCGAGGTCTTTAGTCCACCGGGTCGATTCTGCCAAAAGTATTCTTCATGCGGCGGCAGTTCGGCCGGCGGCGTGGGTGACTTTGGCTTCTTCTTGCCCGAGCCCTTCGGTCGGCCTCTCTTACGCTTTAACGGCGTCTCTGGAACCGGCACCTCTGCTGGCGAGGCCTCTTCCACAGTCTCTACTGCTCCCCCATCCGATTCCAGGATCTCTTCTGCTAGCGTCGCCTCCTCATCGAAGGCCTCGTCGTCACTCTCCTCCCCGTGTGCCGCGTGCTCGAGTATCCGCCGATTGCTCTTTCGTCTTGCGCTGCGATCGGCGTTGCGTACAATTGTCGGCGTCCCATTCGGTGTGTCGCCGTTGGCGGACTTGGTGGGTGTCTCGAACAGCAGCTTTCGACTCGACTTGGGCGTTGCGGCATGAGCGCCATTGACGCCATTGATGCCATTGAGCGTGCTTGTCTTCTTCAGTATTGACTTGGGCGTGCCCACGTCCGCCAGGTGCTGATTTCTGGCCCGCCGCGACGGTGTCTGCGCCTCAAAGGCGTCTGAGTCGGTACCGGCCTCGTCATCGGCAATGCGGGCGCGGAGCTTGCGCGGTGTTCCTTCCTCTTCAGTTTCGTCTCTTCCTCGCTTGATGCTGACCATGTCGTCGTGGTGCGGTTGTTTGTTGTCCAGACGCGTCTTTTCGCGCGTCCAGTCGGGGCAGCCTCGGTGATCGATGGTCCGGGATCTATCTTCACTTGGCGAAGCTGCCCGCTTAGCGGTTGGTGTTTCCCCACGAAATCCACACACGACCCGCCTCCGCGCCCGCCCATAGCCTTCGTATTATGGGGCACTTTTGAGGGCCCTTCTGACTCCAAGTCTTTTGTCGGTCCTTCTTCACAGTGCTTGCTTGCGTGAGCGAAGCCCATGTGAGGCAGGTTGCACTCCGATCTTCACGAGCCTTGCCCGCGTCTTCACATGCGGCCCACTGCCGCGCACATGGTTGATCTGACTATGACGTATCAGGCCATTTGCCCGTGCGAGGTCACACTTGAAGGAAGAACGGCCGCTCGATTACCTACACCTTGGAGCACCTAATTTCTGCGTGTCACACAATGGTTAGCCTCGCCCTGGCCGTGACTTACAACAGGATCCTTCAAACTCTCGTCCGCGGTGTTGTGTGATGGCCGATCCGCGCATTCAGGCTCAGCCTGAAGATCTACAAAGATGATAACAGAATCATCCCAACACGCGAACAGATCCTGACAACCTTGCGGCTGACGCCAGTTGCCGTCTATGAGGCTTCTTCATGACCAAGTGATCTGCAGCGCCATCCCGCTGCTGGCCCGTTGAGGCTTGGTGCCACTACTCTAGCTTGACTTCATACACTCCAACCAGTGATTCCGGTCGGCCTTGCCTCGGTACAGGGTACCTAACGTGTCTGACCGTCCAACTTCCAGCAGCGTCGAGGCACCAAGATGATGGCTGGGAGGGGCCGCGGCCTTGTGTCATCAGTATCATTGGCAAGCGGCCAGAGGCAGGAGATGACGTTGCATTGTCGGACCACGCCTGATGCAGCATGCAATCCTTGCACCAGGATAGTACATTCTGTCTGCGCGACCGAGGAAGTGGGGATCTGGGGAGATCTGCAGAAAGAATAAGAGCTCAGTCTCCCCGTTGTGGGGGGATTGTAAGCGCCCATCAAATTCCCAGATCGTTTTGTCCTGCGTCGACTGTGAACCGAACCTTTGCGTGTCCCCACAGCGAAGTTCATCTGTGGAAACTCAACATGGCGGACGTCGATCAGCACCCCAAATTCATGGGGCTTACGGGTCGGCCATTGAGCACCGCTGTGTCAGTGGTTGCTACAACTGGTTTCCTACTATTTGGTTATGACCGTGAGTAAGTTCTGTCCCGCAGAAGAGCTCACTGACCAAATGTACAGAGGGCGTCATGTCAGGTATCATCGGCGCCGCGCCGTTCCATGCATACTTTCCCGAGATTCTGTATAACTCGACCATGGAAGGCTTCGTCACTGCCATCTATGAGATTGGCTGTCTCGCTGGCGCCGTGGCCATGCTCCTATACGGCGACCATCTCGGTCGCCGCAGGGCTATCATGTGTGGAGCCATCATCATGATCCTTGGTGTAATCATTCAGGTCACGCCCATCAAGGGATACAACGCAGGCGCACAGTTCATCGTGGGCAGAACGATCACCGGCGTTGGCAATGGCATGAACACGGCAACGATTCCGACATACCAGGCAGAGTGCTCCAAGACTTCCAACCGAGGCCTGTTGATCTGCATCGAAGGCGGCGTCATCGCGTTTGGAACATTGATCGCATACTGGACTGACTATGGCTGCTCTTTCGGGCCTGATCAGCTCACCTGGCGCTTTCCCATCGCATTCCAGGTCTCTTTCGCTCTAGTCATCTTGATTGGCCCATGGTATCTACCAGAATCTCCGAGTAAGTTCAGCCTGAAGGCGAGATCGCTCTGAGTATTGTAGCTAACATACATACCTACAGGATGGCTGTTGAGCAAGGATCGCCATGAGGATGCAGTCAAAGTCATCTCCGCGCTTCGGGGATACAGGCTGGATTCAGAGGAAACTCGCCTCGAAGCTCACATCATCATGGACTCGCTGCGCGCCTCTGGCCACAAGGGTGGCAACACACCCTTCAGCGCACTGTTCACTAACGGCAAGACGCAGCACTTCAGGCGTATGATGCTCGGCGCATCTTCTCAGCTGATGCAGCAGATTGGTGGCTGCAACGCGGTTATTTACTACTTCCCGATTCTCTTCGAGAGGTCCATTGGCCAGTCCCACGATATGTCGCTGTTGCTTGGCGGTGTCAACATGATTGTCTACTCAATCTTTGCCACTACCTCCTGGTTTATCATCGAGCGCGTTGGCCGTCGCAAGTTGTTCCTCATTGGTACCGTTGGACAATGTAAGAGCCTCAATTTGGTTTGTGAGTCTTATCTAATCGCATTCCCTAGGTCTATCCATGGTCATCGTGTTTGGAGCACTGATCCCAGGCAACCCGCAGGCTGCCAAGGGCGCAGCTGTCGGCTTGTTCACTTACATTGCTTTCTTCGGCGCTACATGGCTACCTCTCCCATGGCTCTACCCCGCCGAGATCAATCCAATCAAGACCCGTGGCAAGGCGAACGCTGTGTCGACGTGCACGAACTGGCTCTTCAACTTCCTAGTAGTGTAAGTGTAGCGCTTTGTGCGACCAAGCGCATCGACTGACGAACATTAGCATGATTACACCAGTCATGATATCGAACATCGGTAAGTCGCTGTTCTTGAACTTGAGGGAACATGAGCTAACACCTCACAGGCTGGGGAACGTATCTCTTCTTCGCTGTCGTAAACGCGTGCTTCCTGCCGTTCATCTACCTTTACTATCCGGAAACGGCGAGGCGTTCGCTCGAAGAGATCGACCTGATCTTTGCAAAGGGCCACATGGAGAACATGAACTATGTCAAGGCTGCAAAAGAGCTGCCGTACTTGGACGAGCACGGTATCGAGCAGATGCAGCGTCAGTACGGGTTCTTCGACGAGAACGATGCTGGGCCGGACATGTTTAGCGAGAAGGCGAGCATCAAAGCTGTGCCGTGATGGACATAACGACATGCCCCGGGGTGCCGATCTATCGTCGTGCAGCTGGGAGAGATGCATGTACACTCTAGGCAGATGGAAGAGACACATATACACACTCTAGGCAGCTGCAGGAGCGTTGTGTATCGGTAGAGAGTTTTGGACCTGGCTGCTCGCGTGGCTGAACAGGTGTTCTATCCAACAGGGCGCTTACCCAGAAACGTACAAAAATAATGTCAGAGTCGAATCTAGCGCCTCGCCGCTGCTGAAGGAGGGTGTTCACGGGCCGGCCATAAGCGGATGACTGCAGCCCGAGGAAGATGGGCTGCGGACAGGCAGTTCCAAGGCCCGACGACTCTGTGATGCCCGACGCGCAGGTGATATGTCTGCCGCTGACCGTGGTTGCAAACGTCATCGCCTGAAACAGCAGTGTGAATAGTGGTTAGGCTGCGCTTGAAGAATGGATTCGGGCTGCGCTGATAGGCCACGGGAAAAGGTGGCTGCCAAAGGAAGTGCTAACGGTGGGGCCCGGGGAGATCATTAAGCAACACGAGCCCCTCCACCCCAACATGAGCACTTTTCCGACCCTTTGCCTTTCTGTACCAGAAAACTCGACTCTGCGCACCAGAAAGCCAGACACTGCCCGGCCGCAACCCGCCTTGTAGGGCCAGATCAGACCGGGACCGCCGCGCGGCGTGGTACCAGCAGCGAGACTGCCGATGCCAGCATGGAGCAACAACGCCGGCGACCCGAGTACAACCTCGACATCTTCGCGGACCTGGCGTGCGTGAAGGACGTGGTGAAGGGTGAGTCTGCCCTCTTGCCCTGCATGTCCCCAGACCCCCCGCCGCATCTGCGGAACAATGTGCATGAGCCCCGCTGCCCCTCCGTCCGGACGAGCCTCGAGCCTCGAGCCTGTATGGGGCCACAGCTGACCTTCTGCAGCTATCCTGCACACCATCTTCTTTCACCGCTACTTCACATCCATATCACCCCTCACCCGCGACCTGCTCGACCTCACCCTGCCTGCCATTGACGATGTAGACCTGGAGACGCTGATCGACCAGCGGACCATGGCACTGGTGCGGGCGATCGACGGCGCACACCAGCAGCGGGGGAGAGGCCAGCTTTCCGTGCAGTTTTTTGAAAAGAGACGGAGAAAGACGTACTTCTTTGGCAAGGCAGACGAGGACGTGTGCTGGGAGCAGTGGACGCTGGATGTCACGCTTGCCCAACCCAGGACAGAAGCTGGTACGCTCACAGGCCCCTTGGACATGGACTCTCGCTAATCCTTGCTCGCAGATGTCGTCAAAGTCCGCCGTGCCATGACCAAGTCGCTCGAGAAGGCTGCGCACAAGATCATCAACATTGTTAATCGCGACAAAGACCACATACCCCCCATCACGACGACAGACGCTAATCCTTTCCCGTACCACATCACAGTGAACCCCAAGTCCGCGCCTGAGAACGACTGGCGACCACGCATCGGGCTCTTCTGAGAAACGCTTAGCATTGGGGGCGGGGTCGATGATTTGTATATATGAAACGACGATACGACACCGAAAGAGGAAGTTCAACACCACCGGAACACCGTAATACTGTCACCACGAGCATCACCGTCCACAAAAGCGACGGAAAAGTTTGGAGTGTAGCGCCACTTCAGGCACGTTGGGACACGACACCACCCCCACCTTTTACCACAAGGACGCCCCCAGGGCACTCACAACTGTACAGAGTCCGCTCAGTCGGGCAAAAGCACACCTGAAAATCGGCATGGGTCTAGATTGGGTCCGTCAACTTGTCCTTCGTTCGTCTCCGTGGAGGCCGATTTCCTTTTCATCATTGTTTTAGTTACACAAGATACCCCCTTCCCCAATCGAATACCATCCTCTTCTTGAATGACAGGCAGCCGGGCCATCCGTGTGCAGGTTGAGTCGACTTTGGGCTCGTTGTCTACTTCCAGCCAGCTACGCTAACCTCCAAGATCACGTATCCACAGGTTGCAAGCCAGCGAATCGCAGTCGTGTCGATGTACTGCCAAAGTCTCTTTCTCAGTCGTACAATCAGTCCAGCTACAGCAGGGCAGACAAACAGATGCAATGCCATGAACACAGTGCACCGATCGTCACCTATTCAATCTGTCTCTCAGGTCATCTAGACCAAGTCGACATTCGAAGCACTCCACCCGTCTCGCACAAGTGACCTGCACGATAGCCCCGAGCCGTCATACATCTAAACGCGTCACCGCGCCAATCTAAAGCACCCCCACGCCTCAGGCAACGTCCCATCCAAGCCTTCCAAAAAAAGTAATGTAACGTACGGCCTTCCCAAGCTTAGACCGGACGACGCGTCCATCTCAACGCCCAGCCCTCAATCCAGGCCCGCTCCTCCTTCCGGTCTGACACACACCACTCTTATCCATCCGCATCCGCGCAAAAGCAAACACATTCCGTTCTTGGTCCTGCAGCAGCGCCGGGCATGCAGACCAGGGCCAACGTCCGGCGCGATCGACGTGGCCGCAGGGTTGCCCGCGGGAGACCGAGGTTCTGAGAGTCGAGGGTGAAGAAACGAGAAAGTGACGGGGCAATCAGAACTCAGAAGCAAGCATGGGTGGGGAGAGACGTGCATATGCGGGTGCAGGGGCAGTGCGCACGTTCAACGGTGTGCTAGCGGGCGGTGCTCTGGCGACGGTCCGGCCGTCACTGAGCGAGTGGGTCGTGGTTGTTGTGTTTCGTTAGCAGTGCAGCGACTTGGTACCTAGTCGGAGTGGGATGGACATCACCTCGGCACTGAGCGGGGCGACAGTTGTTCCTTCAACATGCACACTCGCTATCTTATATTTTCCTGAGCGGGGCGACAGCTGTTCCTTCAACATGCACACTCGCTATCTTATATTTTCCGTGTCTCCAAAGTTCCATATGCAATATTTTCATGCATGCTGACCACCCTGAAGTCGTTGATACCAAATGCAAATCAAAACGCCAACGCTATGCTGCCAGATGCCAGTCGATATCATGTACAAATATGTGATTGAGCTCAGTCAGACAGTTCGATAGCATCGTCTTCTGTAGCTCCAGGGCCAATGCCGGCGCCGAAGCTGCCCTCTGGCTGGGCAAAGTGCTGGTCCTCTTCTTCAGTGTACTCTTCCTCCTCATCGTACTCCTCGGCGTAGGCATCGAAATGTGTCGTGTTGTCATCGTCATCCTCTTCTTCCTCCTCCGCATCATGCTCGGCTTCTTCGTCATCGCCGTCGAAAGAGTCATCTTCAGTATCGCCAGCGGCGTTGTCTTCAGCATCGACATCAACGAGATCCACGCCACTCGCACTCCCGTTCTCACTGTGCTGAGACTGTGCGTGGTCTGGCTGCGGCACGTACGAGAACTGCGTAGGGATGGGCGAAGACAGCGCAAGCGGCTCGGTGCTCAAGGGTCGTGGTGTACTCGCGGGTGAGTGGACATACTTGTCACGGTACTCTTGGATTGCCCCTGGTCCTTGGCCGTAGAGATGTTGAGGGACGAAACGGCTGGCGCGACTCCAGTAGGCGGGCTTCTTGCTTTGCACAGTGCTAACGCTCTTGCCTAGAGGAGACAAGCGGAATGAGGATGTCGAGACGCTAAGGTTGGGGACACTGTGGCCGAAGTCGTGAACGTCCACTGTTGACTTCTTTGCGGTAGGCGACCTGGCAATTAGGTTGCGAGCCTGCGCTATGACGAGACTGGCTCGGCCGCTGAACGACGATCGCTTGCTGGAAATTGCACCGTTGACCTGTGACGAGCCTGAGCCAGACGTCCTGAAAGACTGCTTCGCCGCACGAATGCGAGCCAAGCGCTCCTCTATGGTGAGTGGTTCCGAGGGAGGCTCAGGTTCTGGTGGCTGTTGTGAGATCGGTGAAGCGTTAGAAACAGACCTGCGCACGCGCTTGGCTTCGGTGCTCTCCTTATCTTCATCGGTCGCCGAGTCAAAGCTCCTCTTGCGGTGCTTGCTTGGGTCAATGCCCATAGCCCGCAGCTTGAACCAGTCGGTCTCTGTGCGGTCAATGGGCGCAGTAGACTTGTGGTACGCCTCGGAGTAGCTGCGCACGTGGTGGCCATTGGTCATCGTAGCTGGTTGTTGTGACGAAGCAGCTCGCGGTTGTGAAGTGGTGCTATTTCGGTCGGCCGCTGCGCTTGTACGGCGTTCTTGCGTTCGTCTGGCGCGACGGTCGTTGGTAAGCGCGCTTCGTGCTGTTGACAGCTGGTCCGTGCTCGCCACCGATTCTGTGGGAGTTTCTCTGGCAGCATCACCTTCACCATTGATTGACTGCTCGCGCTGGGCCTTGAGTCGTTTCCTCCTCTCTTTTGCCTTGGCGTTCCGCTTCTTCTTCTGCACCTGCGCAACCCAGTGCGTGAACACTGCCCGGGCAGAGGCCTTCCGCTTCGCCTCCTCCTCTTCCGCCTCACGCCTGCGCTGCAGCTCAACCTGCCACTCCTTGTGGCCGGCAGCTGCAACATTTTTGACCGTGTTTTCTAAGAATTGATACAAAAGTCCTTCCTCCCCACTGAACACGATGCTTGACGTGAGCGCATTGTATGCCAGTTCCCGCCGCTGTATACGTGCTAGTCGCTCCTGCTCTTCCCGTTGTCGCCGTTGTTGTTCGTCCTGGATTAATCTCTCTCGCTCTTGTTTCGCCCTGAGTTCCCTCTCTTGCTGTTCCCTCAATTGACGCTGTTTCTCCCCCTCGATTCGTCGTTGCTCGGCTTCTCGCGCTCGCTGTGCCTCCTTTGCTTTTCGGTCCTGCTCTACTTGTTCTCGTTTGCGTCGCTCTTCCGCCTCTTGCTTCTGCTTCAGCACTGCCGCACGTGCGTCAGCTTCAGCCTTCTCCTTCGCAGCGGCCACTGCTGTTGCATCTAGCTGAGGTGGCGATCCCGCTGGTGTGGCAGACACTCCTGCAAAGTCTCCGTTCCTTATCCTTGCATCCGGATCCGATGAACCAGGTAAGGCAAACGGCTTGCTCGCACCAGATGGGGGTTGCCCGTTGGTAACAGTAGATGCCGGTGTGGCGGGCGTTGACAACTGTTGGCTCTGCGGAGCCGGACCTGCATTGAAGCCAAAGTTGAAGGACCCTGGCGGTGTTGATGCAGGAGTAGTGGATTGCGGAGGTAATGTTGCTGCGACTTTGGCAAACGGATTATCGTTGCTACCTGAGGCGGATGTGGGCGCGAACTTGATGGAGTTCTTCGCAGCATCGAAGGTGGTAGGAAAAGCACCTCCACCAAACACAGGTGCAGGCGTGGCTTGTACGGGTTGACACGTCGGAGTCGCGGTGCCGCCAAAGGGGCTCGGTGCTGAGCTACCTGACGAAGGTTGGCTTGAAGGTTGAAGTGGCTTAGCGAAAGGATTTGGATTGAAGGCCGACACACCGTTCGCCGTTGCGCCGTTGGTGACGTTGCCAAAAATATTGGGCTTCGGCGCGCTAGTAGCTTCTGGGATGAACAACGAGTCTTCGTTCCCACTTTGTATCGTGCTTGGGTCCACCAGCAGTCCCTTGGTCTTTGCTTGTTGTATTGTCATGCCCTCGACAATCGCCGAGAAAGCTCGATTGTGCCGCTTCGATTCCACAAGACTGTGTGAAAACGTTTGCGGCTTGATCGTGTGGGGCACACTCAGAGACCGGTTGCTGTTGCCCAATTTCGAGATGTCCAGGTATGTGCGGCCTTCCTCGTTCCGCTCGAAATGGAACCCGAACAATTCACAAAGCTTCACAGCGTCCTTGACATCATCCATTGCGAGGACATCCTGCAGTTGATCGGTAGTCCAAGCCTGAACATCAATGTCTCCTTTGCCTCCCCTCCGGTATGCGTGCCATATCGAGTCCAGTATGACGTGCCGCACACGATTGAACCCCACTTCGGCAGCACACGCCATGAGGTAGGACACACTGGGCGACCTTACAAGGGCCCAGAACTTCTTCCAGTTAGCTTGCGCCTGGACCCAGCTCTTGTCGGACCCGAAGTTGAAAGCTGACTTGGCGGCCTTGAAGATGTCGATCGCTGTCAACACACGCTTGTTGTTGCGAAGATCGTTAGGTAGACTGTGGAGCTCGTCCTCGAGTTGACTGTTGGCATAGATCGAGGCCAGGATTAGGCGGTATGCGACAAACTCGGCTTCGTTCTCCGAAGGTATTCCAGCCCGTCGATTGTCGTCGTAACGTTCCCGTAGTGTTGTCAGGGTCTGATTGAACTGTTCCATGTCTTGCTGGTGCGAGTAGTCTTCCTTGGAGGTCTGGGCCATCTGGTGCATCGACAATAGGTAAAAGCGCGCGGACGCTTCCAGGCACACGAGTAGCGTTCGGATATCGGCGGGCTTTTCGACGACTTGGGTCCGTAGATCTTTGCGGACTGATCGAGTGCGGTCCCAAATCCAGGCGTGTAGGTAGTCGAACCCTTCCTTGTCGAGTCGGCCAAAGAGGTACTTAACGGTTTTCTACTGACATCAGATCCAGACTCCAGTCGACTGGCAGTTGCTTACCAAACAAGCCGTGGGGTTTCGGATATCGATCACCAGCTCCACATCAGCACCGGCCGAAGATCGAGTGAAGGCCTTCACCATCCGCGCCTCGGCTGGCACCCGCTCAGCATAGGCGAGGTGTTCGGTCTCTGGTGTCTGACTCACGTCAGCATGCCGTCTTCGACAGGGCAGGGCATAGATACGCATTCTGGGCGCTTGTAGTCTTGCTGGTGTATCCTCCGCACACGCTCAAACTCCGGGCACATGTCGTTGCAGAGCCCAACGAGCTTGACCGAGTCTTGGAGCTTCATCTGGCCGTCCGGGTTCATGAGCCGCTTCTCCTGCAACTGCTTGCGCCAGCTGGGTTGCGCATCTTTTAGCTGGCGCGCATTAGCCCGCGTTCATGGAGTGCTTCGCTCGTGCAGCTCTTACGTAGGTAAATCGGTTGCTGTAGTCGTCTTTGGCGTGCGGGGTTGAGTTCTCCACGGTGCCGTACTTGTTGATAGGGACGAATTTGATCCTGTGGTATTCGGTCAGAATGGGCCGCGGGCTCCACCCATGGGCGTCGCTGCTGCTGTCTCATGGTGCATCGTGCGTAGTCGCGTCGAGGAGGGAGCCGCAGCCCGTCGTGTAGTCGGAGAAGAAGACGGGGGCTTACTCCTTTGCTCTGCCATCGTCGTCCAGCTCCTGCGTACTATTGCGCGCCTTCCCCCCCGTTGGCGCGCCCACGCCACGCTTCTTTGCGCCGAACGCGGGCTTGTCGCTCGAGTCGCTCGACGCGCCGTTGAACGCGCCGCGGGTGTTGCTGCCGCGCCACACTCCGGGGCCTGCGCCTCGACCGCGCCCGCCTCTGGCGCCGCCGCGAGCGCCTGTCGACATTGTCGCGCCTAGGCCGTGTTCGATGCGCGCATGCGTGGGCGTCGTGTGCAGCGTCTGCTGAGCGGGCGCATGCAATGTATTGGCCAAACGTGACGGGCAGTCGATGTGTCGAGATGTCGCACTGTGTCTGGAACCTGCGCAGGCCGAGTCGTGGGTGGATGCGACGAGCGGCCGCGTTGAGGAAACAAAGACGCTCGGCCTTGTCGCGAACAAGAGCTCACAGGGCGGCACGGGCATCTCAAAGCCGCGGGAGTGACGACGTCTTGGCGTTTCACCTCCACGAACAACACCAGACCGACAATCTTCCACACCGCTGCATCGTCACTTCCATCACGACACAGCAGGGCTCCACCCCCCGAAAGACATGTCTGCTGAAGTTATGACTAAACCGAGATTCGTTATTCATATGCGGCAACCTCTGCTATGTACCACCGCTCCACATCCACATCCTCCACCAGACACTGTACATCCACCATCGAGAAGCCATACAACAACGCCTCCCCACTCTCCCCACCTCCATGCTCCCCGCCCCTGCCCGAGATACACAACCTTTGTCTTTGACACATCCCCCATTAGAAGAAAACCGCGCTTTGGTGCCGCCATGCCATGCAGTCGTGACTCGTAAGCTGCGTAACATCGTTATGGTGGGTATCTATCATGCATGACACGAACAATTGGCCTGGACATAGACCTGGGAAGAAAACAATGCTGAACCGAAACGCTCCAACGAATGAGCCGAGGCTAGGCGGCATGGAAAATTTTACAAGATGCAGCGCTGGATCGTGACAAGACAAAACAAGACAAGACAGAACGTGTAACGAAATCATCGCAAGTCGTTATTTTGGTGCCGAGATAGGCAGACCATGGACAAACACCGGAAATGATGGCAACGCGCGCTAGAAGCAAGACTCAGAAGTGGTGCACCCCTTGAGTGTCAACCGAATAGTTGGTAGGCAGGCCATGATACGTCATGCTACCGTCGCTTGGTGTCATGGGCATGTTCATGGGTGTATTGGGGAAGCTCATAGGCGTTGGAGGATAGACTCCTTGTTCGTACGAGTATACGCTGGCGGTAGGCATCGGTGATGCGTATTGAGAGTAGCCTATGGGCGGGGGAGGCGCGTTGAACATGGCGAAAGGATTGACGAAGGTTGGCGCGTTCTGAGCGAAGGTAGATGGCTGGCTTGCATAGCCATCTGCGCGCTGACGGTATGGCTGACCGCTGAAGCCAGTCGGTGCCGGTGCGGCTTGAAACTGCAATGGCTGGGTGTACGAGGGCATGTCGTAGGGAGGCTGCATGCTACCGTGATCGGACATCGTTCGTGCACGAGGCTTCATATCCAGATCGTCCTCTTCGAGGTGCAGTCCGTGCAATGACTGGTCAAAAGAGGAGTTGGGGGTAGATGTGGTGCGATGCATCATGCAATCGTCCTGAGAAGTTACCGGTGTGCATGGACCGGAGACGGGGGGTGTGTCGACCTTCCACCCTTGTCGATGGCCATCTTCTATAACGATGGAGTGTCGTGGTGTCTGGCTCTCTGATATGGTATGTGCAACCATCGGCTGAGGGGATGAAGCAGCTTGAGGTAGGCCATGGAGAAATGGAGTACTGGACAGCCTCGTCATTGTGTCGTCCGGCTCGGTTTCATCTCCAGATGCTTCGTAGACCGTCTCCTGTACACGCTCTGAGCGGGTAGCCCGTCGAGGTCGCTTAGGCTGCTGACGTCTAATCGGCCTTGGGATAGGCTTCCATGTGTGATGCCTACCTCGGCCAGGATCCTTGTTGCCAGACCCTTCGATGAGGTTGTACTGCATGATGTGATCCTCGTAAGCTTGAGCAACTTCGAAGATGCTTGGCAGTATCTGTTCCAGAGCACGCTTCTTCATCTCCTCGCTATGAACGGCGCCCTTAGATGAAGAGAAATGGTCAGCTGAGGTTGTCTGAACCGTAAACTTGGCTACGTCTCGAAGCTTGCTTATCCAAGGTCCCTTACGCTTGACCTCGTCAATCTCTCGGTGGACAAGCATCATCTCAACAGCCAATGTGGACAGGTCTGTTGGGCTGTTAGACGCATTCGGCACAATAGGTATGTGACTTCACTTACCCTCCTTCTTGAGATGCGAAGGTTCTTTGTAAATGACGTCTCGAGGCCACCATGGCGGCGTCTCTGCTTCAGAAGGTTTCATCTCGTGGTACTTGCCCCAGTCTCCAAGTCGTCTAGGCTCAATGAGCTTGACCCAGTGTGTAGCAATGCCGCGTAGGGGCTTCATGGTCAGTTCATCGAAGCGGCGTGTCAAAAACTTCTTGAATGCATCAATATCGCCAATGTAGAAGGTGTGCGACTCTTCGGTCACCACTTCGACAGCTGACTCGGCATCTTCAAAGCTAGTGTCGTCTGTCACAGCCTTGCGGTTTGGGCCCAGGCCTTGAGCAACAGACCGGGATCTCTTGAGGCTCTTCGACTTTAGTATTCCCTGCTTGTGGGCGACAGGCTTCCTCTGCTTGCATGCAGGGGACTTCTTCGGAGCCCCAGCCTTCTGTTGTGGCCCCCAGGTTGTATGCTGGGATGTCCCTGTGAACGCACATAAGCGATGTGTCGAAGAGGTACAGCACGAGGCCTGACGCTTACCAGGTATTTGGGACGGTGCCGCTTGAATCGGACGATTACAATCAAAGCTCCGGCTGCTGGATGATGCCGGGGAGCTGGTCATAGGCCGTGCCTTGAATAGATGTTCATGGCCTAACAGGGGCGTATAGACGGGCTCCGTGCGGCCGTCCTGAAAGACTAGGGTCGCAATGGGTATCGGAATCGCGACTTGATCATCTTTGTCTTCAGTGGTGTTGTCTTCTGATGTGGCAGGCGCTGCAGCCTTTGCCGCCTGGTGCTAAGTCAGTCATTGCAAGCCCTGGACTCAGTGTATTCGGTTAGGGTGGAAGTTGAAAGTTTGGGTAAGAGCGGACGCTAGATTGGGGCGGCAGGTTTCGCGAAGTCCGGTACCGAAGCCTAGTTCCAACGACATGCAAAGAGGACTCTGCACTCACCTTCGACGGAGGGTAATAATCGCAATTTTCCGTCAGCGCAAACGGATCATCGCCATGCTCCTCGATGCTTGAGCTCTTTTGGTTGGTCTTGATGTTCATGGCAGGGGCTGGATCAATCTCGAACCTCGCCATGTGCCGCCGCACCTGACGCTTGGTGAGGACAAGCGGCGCGGACACGAATCCAGGTATTACGACAGCGCGGGGTACTCCAACCGATCGACTGTGGTCTTGAAGCGGTCCCAAGTCAGGTCGCACGAGATGGAATATTCTGCGCAACTATTAGCAGCTGATACTGGCATCGAGAAAGGTTGATAAGTGGGTTGAGGGAGGCGTCCATTATGCACAATGAGGTACAAGGCACCGCGCAGCCACCAGCTCGCGGCTCGCTTAAAGTCGGGCATTTCTTACCTCAATAAGGAATGTCCGGTTAGGGTGCGAGTCGAGAGTCGAAACTTAAAATGAGCGAGCGTTGGAGATGTAAAGAGGATCAGCTCCAGGAAAGACAAGAGAGCAACGGCTAAGGGTTGTGCAATACAATTCCAGATCGGGGCCACGAGTCAAACGGGGCGCGAACGCAGTTTTCCAGAAGATGCAGGTCAATTTCCGCGAAAGCGTAGATTGTACACGCACCCGATTCCAGTCGATGGCTGGCTCGTAGAGGTCCGATAGATGGCAGTTGTTTCGGTGCAAGATCTCAGATTGATGAGGGGGAACGATAAAGCCGAACCTATTGGCAAGGACATGGAAGCTTTAAAGGCAGGCTGAGTTTTACAATTACCGCCGCCGCCCTGACCAGCAGCAGGCTCCTTCAGTGTGGTAACCCTGCTCAACAACCTCTTGCACCGGGCAAGGGGGCCCCAAACTCCTCGGGGCACGACAGGCAGGGACATCGTATCAGCAACCCAGCGTTGAGACGGGTGGCAGCATGGACTTCCCAGCCGTTGAGCGCCTCGTTCAAAAAGTCCCTCAGACGCCGGGATTGGGGGTCTTTGATCTGCGGTCTGCCAGTATTCCGATCTCCCCGCAGCCACGACTTTGCCGGTTTGGGAACCAGGTGCCGCAAAGCGGCAGAGATTTGGGTAAGATCGCGACGAGAAAACGAACATTGTTCTCCGCAACTAGTCTACTAGATCGCATGATGTATACACGCTAACGCAAGTGGGGAGGGCCCTGGTTCGAAACACGCGTTATGGGCCGCTCCGTCCGCTGGCCTTCGCGAGGATCGAGTTTGACGCCGGGACCGATTTCACCGGAGAGAAGGGCCTTCCTTACGATCAGGTCGGAGTGAACTCCTAGTAGCTGCCAGTGCTCACACCGCATTTTGAAATTGCACCGGGGCACACAACAAATGGTTTACGATGAATGAGTTCAGTGTGCGTTCACCGAATGCCACTACTCGGAAGGTAGCCTAATCAGACTACAAGCGGCAACCCGAGCCCAGGATCTCCCTCGTTGACAATCCCTACTGACATGTCAACCACCAGTCACGGTTACAACCGCCTCCCCGTTACGCCACTATCATACCAAATGACAAACCAGGAACTTCGGGAACATCCGAATCGAAAAAGCGACTCTCGATCTTTGAGAACGAGTCAAGCGCTGCTCACGACCGAAACCCTGGTCGTCGGTCCAGATTCAGATTTCGACAATCGCACGGCAATCGATCGCGGCCAGACTGCCCCGTGTTGAACCCACACTCATGCTAATTTACAATGCGAGTCGCTCAATTCGGAAGCTCGCTTAGGAGCAGCTCGTGATACATGATGTGCTCATGTGGGCCCAGCGGCAACGACGACGTTGCGCTTCACAATGACTGGCAGCTGAAGGCATGATGCCGGCCACACTATGATTTCTCGGTCACTTTATGGTGTTCATACGGTACTTTGGAAGCATCATTGATTACGAAGTCTTTCCAAGCGGTGTAATCAGTAAATTCATTTGTGTCAACTTACCGATCTCCAAGACTTCTCCTTCCGAACGCAGCTACGTGATTATCTGAAATGGATGCAGAGAGGGTCAGGGTACCTATTCTACATGTCAATTTTCTGTTTGTCATGGTTGCCGCGGAGCGAGGCGAGGCGAGGCAAGCTGACCGGGGCATGTACGTTGAACACGACAGTTGCGGTCGGCAGCATGCACGTACGCTTCAGCGTAGCTATGATCAGGGCAGCCGCAGGTCCACATACTGAGCGACTCGGTGGTCTTGCCTGAGGCAGGCAAGACCTGCACCTCGCCCCGTAGAAATTGTCGAAGCTGCGCGCAGCACGCTTTGTGCTACGCTTGACGGTATGAGGATTTACAGCGCATAGGCATGTGTTGCACCGCAATCGAACGGTCAGAATGGTGGTGTTAACGACCTTTAGGTACAGAGACTCCTGCTGGTTTTACATTCTATTCTCATGCGCGCGCATATCACGTCAATATTGAAAACCTTGTGGTGATGTCTCGGATTGGACGTCGGCAATGATTCCCGCCATTCTCGTTATTCATACCTCCGGCCGACCCGCTTCGTAAACAGTTCAGGGACTTCTCCCGACTAGGAACCGTTGCCATGCTAATTAGAGCCTTAGAGAGATGTTACCTGCCACAAAGAAAGCGCGGCAATGCTGGTGTGCAAGATGCGCGTTGAACATCCTGGTCCTTGGTCTGATCTTGCCTAGATTGGTGTGACAGTCCGGCCTGACCCTGCCCAAACCGGATTCGAGAACCTTGTCGATGAACAGTTCATCACAAAAAGCAAACATACGAGGCCCCATACATGACCACAAAGGGAGCAATATTCGCGATGCACATACGCAATATCTAACGCTCAGAAATCGAGACTATTTCATACGAAGTAACGGCGAACGCCGAACGGTCCTCAAGCTTTTAAGCACGACGAGCTCCAACTGCCAGTTCGAAGCTCAATAATTGACGTTGATGTTGCTCCACTGCCCCATAAGTGACAGAAACGAATCCGAGGTCGGGATCGATTCTAGACAGCCAGCCTGGAGGATGCGGCACTCATTTCCAAGATACTGCACCGCACTGCTGTCAAACCCCGCCTCGCTGTGCAACATGCACATGCATCATCACTCCCCCTCACAGCGGCGTTGCCTTCCCCCTTCCCGGTACTATTTCCGTACACCCATCACACCTCACTTGGCACATCACACGCCTTACACAGAGTGACTTTCAGCAGGGGCCGTCACCAGTCAGCATGAGTAGGAGGGTGTGAAGCGAGACGCCCATGCAAGTCTGCAAGCGAGACGCCCGCTACCACGCGCAGACCACACGGCGAAACGCCCACCACCCACGCTGCAATGACACATTTTGACATATGGCAATGGCAGTCCCACACGGCGTCCCCGCCCGTTAGCGTGTGTCGGATCGTGGTCGACCTGCGGGCAATCCCGAAGCGTGATGCTCCGTGCGCCATGGCTGATGGGGAAAAGAAGCCGCTGGCCGCCCGACGGCCAGGGCGCAACGGCTCGTAGCCACCCTGGTGGCAAATTTGGCGGACCTTCTGGAGGGCGCGAGGCTGGAGAGGAATGCTTCCACAGAACACGTCATTGCCATTGCTAATCATGAATCTGTGCGATAGGCAGTTTTTGAGCGTCGAGGGCGGGTTTGGCCTTCCGTTGATGGTTATGAACTCATAAGCGTTTTTATGAGCGATTATAACTCACTATTTTTGTTCTACACTAAATACACTATTCACGTACACTGTGATTAATTCCCCTCGATACTGTTGAGTAGGTTCGCTTCCTTGACCAGATCGTAGAAGAGGCCCTTTCTTCTTACAAGCTCGGCCGGGCTGTCAAATTCGGCCACTGTACCCCTGTCCAAGACGATGATGCGGTCACTGTCGAGGATTGTATTGATCCGGTGGGCAATGGTGATGATGGTCTTGTTTTTGAACATGCTGGAACGCAGGGTGGTTTGTAGCATGGCATCGGTTTCTACATCAACGGCAGCCTGGAAACAGTCAGTAGGAGATAGATGATCACGGCAAACCAAAACTTACAGTGGCTTCATCCAGGACGAGGATGTTGCTTGGAGCCAATAGGGCACGGGCCAAGGACACCAGTTGACGCTGGCCAGCGCTGAGGTTGGACCCTCCTTCATGAACTCGCGCGTCCAGCTTGCCCTGCATGCTAGCAACATGCTCCTTGAGACGAGCATGTTCCAACGCGCTCCAAAGCTCTGTGTCGTCGTGGACATGTCCCGGATCAAGGTTGTCACGAACAGTACCCTCGAACAACGCTGCGTCTTGCGGGATGATGGCAAGTCGTCTGCGCAAGTCCAAAAGGCCGATTGTGCTAGTGTTGAGGTTGTCGATGCTTACATAACCCTCTGACGGCTCAATGATGCGGAAAAGCGCAAGTGTAAGCGAACTCTTGCCCGCGCCTGTACGACCGACGACACCGATCTTCTCATTCGGCTTGATCTGCAGATTGATGTTTTTGAGCACAAGATCCAGACCAGGTCGGTATCGGGTGCTGTAATTGTTAAAGGAGACAGCGCCCTGTGATGGCCAGCTGATAGGCGGTCGGTTCTTCGAGATGACTTCTGGTGCCTCGCTTGGCAGAGCGGCGTACTCGAGTACACGCTCTACAGATACGATGTTGGTTTCTACTTCCACAGTCTGCCTGACGATCCAATTGAGTGACTGGGTAATTTGGAGCGCATACGACATTGCCAGACCAACCATACCGGCTGAGAGACCGCTGTGGCTGGCAACGGAGATGATAGCGAAGCCTGCAGAAGCTAGGATGATGATGGATCCCAGGAACTCCAGACGCACAGCCAGCCATCTGTTGGCGCTGATGGTCGGATAGTATGCCCTCAGGTTTGCGTCCACTCGCCACTCGTTCTCTAGCTCGAAGCGCCTCTGCTGGTTGTACGCACGGATAGTGCTCATGCCACTCAGCGACTCCTGGAAGTGCGCATAGATAGGACTGCGGCTAACGCTGTCAAGTCGCTTGAGCTCCCGCGAGGTGCGCAAGTAGTATCTCTGGATGTAGAGATACAGCGCACCTAGCGGCAGAATAATAGAGACGAAGATCGGAGTTCCCGCGGAGATCACAACCAGGGTGAACACAGCTGCACATTCACGTCAATCAAAGGTATCACAAATGCATGCCGAGACGGCTACATACCTCTGGCTGAGTTGACAAACAACATGTTGAATGTTCGACTGCATACGTCAGTTTGTGGCCCGCGAATATCTCGACGCCGGGATGAACTTACGCTAGCACTTCATCTACCTTGTAGATATCGCTAAACATGGTCTGTCAGCAGCAGCACGAGACGAAACGGGTGCAAGATCGCTGCATAATCTGCATACAGAAGGCGCATGATCATGCCGCATGAATGATACCAAACTTGGCGATGGAAGGCACATACCTAGAGAAACGGTTGAGGATACGTCCTGCAGGTGTAGTTTCGAAGAAGCTCATTGGAGAGCGGAAGATGGCAAATGCCATCCGCTCATGCAGTTTGCGGCTGGCCTGTGTTTCGCATTAGTCTTGCGCGGTGCGACCTGAAGAGCAAACTTGAACGTACCTCGATCGAGCAGAAAATCCAAAGGATGAGCGTCTGCACGACCACGAGCGCAGCAGATCCAACACCAAATGCAAAGTAGATGCCGATATTCTTACCCACATGTGGGTTGCCGTTTGCGCGCTGATTCGCCTCAGACCATCGCTTGAGCCAGACACTTGCACCTGCATGATGTTAGCGTCTGTCATCTCAAGTCAGAGAAGTGACGAGCCAATCGCGGGTCGCGTACCGATGGATGCTGTCTGAGCGCCGGCAAGGAGTGCCAGGTAGATGACGACTGCACCTACGTTGCTAGTCTTTGCATACTCGCCATACACAGACCATTTGACCTTGCCTTGTTCCGAGAACTCCTTCGATTGTTTGCTCTTGAGACCATTCTCTTCGTCCGTCGTCTTGCCACGTGGTCCCTTGAAACTGGCAGTGCTGGCGCGGCGAAGAGTTGCAAAACTGTGTTTACGGGCCGTGCTGTTACCGGTCCTGAGAGGCGCGAGATGGGACGCGCCTTCCTGGGCAGCCTCAGCCTCCTCCCTGCTCTGGTTATCGTCCGAAGCCGGACTGCCACCGTAGACTGTAGACTCTTCGTCACTGATGACGCTCTCCGATGGAGCACTATCCTCGTTCTGGTCCTCGTTCTGCGATGTCTTGATCAAGCTGGCAATCTCGCCCTTCATGGCCATGAGCTGGGTGTAGTTGCCCCTCTCGAGGATCTTGCCCTCGCGCAAGAGCATAATCATATCGGCTTCGACTAAGACAGGGATGGAGTTAGTAGCCAAAATCCTAGTCTTACCCGCTAAAAGACCATTAGGACCTAGGACATTGTTGATCAGATGTCGCCCAACATGTTGGTCCACAGCTGACAAGCAATCATCGAGCAAGTAGACGTCAGCGCGAGCGTATACAGCACGCGCAAGAGTCAGACGAGCTTTCTGTCCTCCTGAGAGGGAAATACCGCGCTCACCGACCTCCGTCTGATCACCATCCGGAAGCTGGGCGAAATCATCGCGCAGGGCGCAAGCGTTCACGGTCTTCTCGTAGAATTGAGGATCCCAACGATGACCAAATACAATGTTCTCGCGTACAGAGGCGTTCATTACCCAAGCTTGCTGTGGTACGTAGGCTGACTTTCCGTGAAGAACCACCTCGCCGTTAATCTTCCACAGATCACCCAATACCGCCTGTAGAAGGGACGACTTTCCAGATCCAACGCGACCGACGATACACGCTAGATCACCTTTATGCGCGGTGAGGTTGATGTGTTCAAGAGTGCGACGTACGGCATTCTTGTCCCAAGTGAAGCTCGCATCTCTGATGCGGACCGACTCCTCGCCGTTCTCTTCGACAGGAGGTTCCCGACGGACGGCATCGGCTTGAAGCTCATCGGCGCTCAGATAGCTCGTGAGACGGCTGACGGCGACACTGGCTTCGACGATCGCAGTAATGACCATGGGCAGGATTGCGAGCGGGAAGGTGAGGAGGTTGAACAGCGTCAGGGCAGGGAATACAATGTCGGTGGTCAGAGGCTGGTCTTGAGTCCAGACAAACACGCCGAACGTCGAGCATGAAACCAGGAAGGGAGTTGTAGACCATGTGAATGTGGAAAAGGCTTGGGTAGCACCGATCTTGCGCAAAGTCTTGAGTTCCTGGTCGTTTCGAATGTAGTTGAGGCGATTGGCAAAGGCGGTTGTCCAGGCATATAGCTTGATGGACTTCATGTTGTTCAGGATCTCAGAAATGAGCTTAGTACGCGCATCCTTGTTCTTCATCTGCTCCTTCTGCAGTGTTTTCATCAGACGTGCAATGACACCATTGATGGGGATCATGACGATCATCACTGCTACTCCTGCGAAACATGCCGCACCGAGGAGCTGGTACAGAGAGAGCATGCAAAGAACGATCTGGAAGGGTGCTGACCACAGCTGCTGTCCGTATTGAGCAAGGTCTTGGAGACGTTGAGTATCGACAGCCATGTAGTTGACAATGTCTCCAGTCGACTTGGTGGCTCGCCCTTCGTTGGACAAGCGGGTAGACTTGGAGTAAATGGCAGCAGTCAAACAGGACTTGATCCGCATACCCGTTTCGAAAGATCGTTGGAAGTACTGGTGGAGTGCAGCAGTCTGGGAGACAGACACAGCAAACATACTAAGTGCGATAGCTGCGCCGCGTGCAACAGGCTGAGGGTTCTCAGTCTCATAAGACTTGACGAAGGTGATGAGCAGCCTGAGCAGCTGCGGCTGTACGAAGTTCAAGCAGTCGCTGATTGTCTTGATGCACGCACCGCGGAAGTACGGGCCACCGAAAGAGCGGAACAGCGCCATCCACAGCGAAGGGCTCTTCTTGTTCGCCACTTCATAACCCCAGTTCTCTTCGAACTTCGCAGCGGTGTGCTTGGTCGAATCGCGCTTTCTGAGGTTCCACAGGTCATCCTGAGTGAGGAAGGTGTTGTAGCCACGCTTCATCATGGGGGTCATCCATCCGAATGTGAGGACCGAGAAAATGTCAGCATATTCGTAGGGACATTCATCGTCATCGCCCAGCGCGTCGTAGTCGCTCAAGCGCTTCTGCACCAGCCACTCCAGCGCAAACTCAATCGCAGCCAGTCCAACGCTAGCAGTGAAGACGGCGAAGTATGCGACATGCTCTTTGTAGAGCTGCTGTGACACCAGCGAGCGAAGCTTGACGCCGTTCGCGACGATGAAGAGCAGCCAATAAAAAAGGACGACTCCATTGGCATTGCGTGAGCGCCAGTGCTCAATGTACTGGATGTAGAAGACGACGAGGAGAGACACAACCGTGACGACGGTGGTCCAGAAGCGGAAATCCCCAGCCCAGATGCCTGCAAAGTATTTGATTTGGAGGGCAGCTTGTACAGCAGTCGTGGCGATGAGAGCTCCGAGGGTAATCTGCCAAGCGCATTCAGTCAGTGGAAATTCAAAGTACTATAGTGTGCGGTAAACCCCACCAGTTTGGCGTAGAAATGCCAGTTCTGCTTGACAGGCTGCGGCGTGCATTTCCTAAATAGATAATACAACGCGCCTGCTCCTCCTACAATTCCCCACACGGCGACCGCCATGATCCAGACATCGAGGAAACATGGCGTGAAGTCGAATCGAATGGGACTGAGGGGACCCCAACCCTCGCTGTTCCCGCATAGTGGCTGACGATTGACCTTCGATGCCTGAAGATAACCGAAGCTGCCATCGGCGCCGTGCTCGAGCAGGGAGGACGGCAGGAAAGGAATTTGCTGTCCCTGCATTGGGTGTGTCGTTGTACGCGCGGCCGGGCTCTATGTCGCAGAGTCACAGGCTTTGCGAGTTTGGGCGGCGTACAAGAAAAATCACAGACGCGCTCGCGTGGTTGGTCTTTTGCGAAGAGCGCTCGGACAATTCGTCAGCTCCGTCATCGAACCGGCTTTAGCGGGGGATCTGTCGGTTTGTCAGCACAAGGCTGCGGTGCGTTCGGTTTTTCGTAAAGTGTTTTTTTTTTCATTATTATAATGGAAATACTACTTGAGCATCTGGTCAACAATGCTGCCTTTAAATTCCGCGATCAGGGTACTCATGCCCGGACCGGGTCCGCGGGCATTACAGGGCAATTGACATTCTGACGTGCAATGACAAGCTCGAAAGCTATCCCGAATCGCGGAGCTAGTTCATAATCACGTGCAATGCATTGTTCTTCATTAGTCTGTCAATGAACAATGATAAGGGTGAAAGTGTGGCCAAACTTTTGCCTTGACACATAGGACATAGTTGGGAATTCGAATTCTGAAACTGCTGTAGAGCGCTATGAACGAGCTACGATTTTCTGTCCGTCTGCATGAGCCATCAGACTTTTCAAATATGGCTGCGCCCGAGTAGTGCCACCCCGCGATAAAGGTGCTGAAGAGCACTCAAGAACATACTTGGTGGAGTCATTTCTGTTCTATTTGACCATCGGTGGGCGTCAAAGGACTGGGGGCGTAGCGTCGAGTGCATACGCAACTGAAAGGAGCCACAGTTTCTATCAGTGGAGCGCCCAGTCAACAGCGATGCAATTTTTACCAACGTGCTGAGCAGACACCAGATACGCAAAAGCCTTGACAATTTCCTCTTTCAAGGTACCAAACATCTTCTTAACGAGCACATCGAGGCTCTTCGTATAGACGAAGAGCCTCCAGCTGTTGCGTCGACACCGCTGTGCCGAATCTGCCTCACAATCCTCCTGTCTGATAGTCGAAAGCGACCAACGGACTCGAAGCTGGTCTCAAACATATTCCCATTTCGTTTCCTGATGGGCTCTGATGCCGTATCCTGCTCCAGGTTTCGCACAACTGTCCGCTCTCTTGAGTCTGGTGCACAAGCGTGGAACCAGATCACCGGGTAACGCTCACATCAATCGTCACGATAGCGCCCAGAGTCGTCTCTCTCTACCAGGAGCCGGTAGATGTACGACTTCCAGATGGAACTAGCTGTCTCTGTCTTATCGGGCAGCTCGTCGATCAAGACGACCAGGACATTCTTGCTGGTGATCAATCCAACCTCAGAAGCCTTCCGTCAGTGTTTACGAGTGATTTGATCGAGCTGTTGGGCTGTACTTCGCCGAGCTGATGGAAAACAAAGTCAGACTTATCGCTCTCGCTGTTCCCAACCAGGCATGCACCCGCCATCTCGGACAGTCTTTTGGTATTCGTGCGAGCTCCCGTGTCGCTGTCATCCTCAGTATCGTTGTCATCGCTGTGAATGCTCTCATCGATTGATTGAGGTTTCAACGCAAAGATACCGCGGTTGATGCCTATGATTTGGTACGGTTTGGTCTCGCCGTACATCTTCTTCTGGGTTAGGAGGAGGAAGTAGCACTTTCCTGTTCGGCTCAAGAATCTGGAATTAGGATCCAGTTGAAAGGTGATATCATCGAGCCATCCGATCGTCATGTGAGGGTGAATGTCACGCTTCGTCCATGAGTTGAGCATACACTGTCAGGTGATGGTTGAGTTGCGGAGGCAAGAGCGGGAATGCCGACCCACCTTACCACCTCGTCGATTCTATCAGATCATTATCGAGGACCAGATCCTTGCATTCTTCAAGGGAGGCCGATGGCGCGGTGAGGGAGGCTTCTTGTCGATTTCACGCTTCTGCAGTCGCGGCTTGTGATACCTAAGCCGATCTTGAAGATTCAAAACATCAATTGTTGCAGCACACGTACGCTCTGTGACCTGGGTTCGTTGCCCATGCATACAATTATCGTGTCTAACCAATTGTCGTATCTAACCAATTGTCGTATCTAACCAATTGTCGTATCTAACCAATTGTCGTGTCTAACCAATTGTTGTATCTAACCAATTATCGTATCTAGCCAATTGTCGTATCTAACCAATTATCGTATCTAACAAGTGTGGCAGTGCCGATGACCATGTTGAGATAAGCCGGAGTTGGTAAATTAGAAAGACGACAAGACTCGGCATTGGCGGGTTTGGCCTGCAATACGGTACCTACAAGGAATGGAAGCGAGTTAGAGCTAGGCGGGCCACCAGCCAAAAACGAAGAGTTGTGATTAAGTCGCAACTTTGGTTGAGGGTCTGAGCAATATCTTGTTCGAGGAGTGAGAGACCTACAATCCAGTGTTGTAGCCATCCCCAGCATATCTAATAGACTTGAATTGTTTGTATATAAGATTGCGGCACGGAGCCTAGATAACGAAGGCAATAGATCAGCGCCAGGGTCTCTGTATTGCTCTACGTATCACCAAGCAAAAAACCCCATCTTGTACTGCTTTACTGAATGACCATGTAACAAAGCGATTGTGAAGCTCAAGAGTGACGTGGCCAGATCTGGAAGCTCGCTCCATGAGATTGCATGGAGATGCTCGAGTTGGCATGAGAATCGAAAATGGCAGGAGACGTTTTCCAAGCTCAATTGTCATTGTGTCCATGAGACTGCACAGTTGAACATTCGTTGCATTCATTGTCCAGCTCATCGTGCCGAGGACTTTGCGTATCTAGAATGTGCAAGCTCCCACCTGCCGTACATGTGCAAACGCGTCGGTGTTTGCTAGCCATTATTTTCAGCGATCTCGTTTCGCCCTTCCGCGGTTGTGGTGTGACAAAGGCCATGAAACATCATGGCCAAATCAGAGTCTAGTTAGTTAGAAGGTTCGACGTCGTTCCTGTCGCCCCAGAAGATCCCGAGGATCCAGATCTCGCCCAGACACCCAAGCCGGTCGATGTTCGCGATGAGGATGTAATGTGTGCTGTACCAGTCTTTTGCAAAGATCTCGCTGGTGTTGGTCGTGGTGGAGTCAGCCATTGTGACGCATTCGTGAAGCGCGCCAAGCTGGTAGAAGACAAAACCCGTTGCGTCATTTGGAGTGGTAGAGTCGCCGCTCCGCGTGGACTCTTCACCGTACCCGAGCGCGCCTATTCACAGGATCGTGGTCAGATGGAGCCTCGGGTCGATCATGCTTTCCGCATGGCTTTCTGGGTTCATGGAAAGTAGCGACCTTCCTAGCGCGCCGGCTATAGTTCTACAAGGAACCTGATTCGAACTCGTCTTCGTCAGAACTGTTGTAGTCTGAGTCCTTCAAGTATCAAAGAAGTGCCTCGCGCCCTTCTTGGCCGTAATACCTTGCCTCGTTGAGCTGCACGCTGTGGTTGATGCCCAAGATCATTGGAGGTAGTGTGACTTTGTCGGTGCCATGCTCCCAGTCCATGTCCTTGGTGGGATGTAGGCGCCTGGTGTTGGGGACGAGGCGGAAGGCCACGTCCTTCTTTGTATGTCCTATCGGGATATGTGGATGGAAGCCGCTGTTCAAGAGCTGGTTCAAGCTACGATCGCCAGTGGCGGAGAAAAGTATGAGACTGTGTACGTGCTTGGCTATGGAGTCGACGTTGGTAAAGTCCGCGTTCTGCAGCTGGCCCTGGTAGACATGGAGAGGGTAAGCATCATGTGGTCTTTACAAGGACTTGAGAGTATCGATGAAGCGTCTCGTCGACACTGTGATCGCTTCGTGGTGACGTGACCCTCAAAAAGAAAGGCTCACGTTCACTTCACGCCCAGCAAGTCAGGCAACTCACACAGCTTCCCGGGGGTCTGATACTCGTGCACCAGCGCCAAGAATCCGCTCTTCTCCGCCGCACTCGCAAACTCCATCTTCGCACCGCTGATGACTTTCTTGCGGTCGACCTCCACCTTGTTGCCCTTGCTCTTGACTCCAGCCGTGCTCCACCTCCTCTCCTTCCCGGCACCACCGAGCACTCCGCCAGCCTCTGCGACCGCGTCAGTATCATCAACAACGCTGTCCTTCCTCATCGCCCTCCCCGCCTCCGCAATCGGCACACGAAGGCCTTTGATCTTGACTTCCCTGGGCCCGGACTCGGCCACTTGGACAGGATTGGTACTGCTGTTCAGGTAGAAGGCGAGGTATCCCGGCCTGAAGCTGGCGGAGAAGTGCACCAAGCCTATGACGGCGCCCGAGTCTGGATCCTCCCAGATCCTCAAGTTCTCGAGCGCACACATCTGCTCGGCGTACGCAAACGCCGCCATCGGCCCGTCGTGGATGCGCATCGTCTTGCTCGTGCGGAACGTGGCTAGCAGGGTGCGCCCCATGAGCGCGCCCTGGAAGAGCGTTGCGCCCGCGGCGTCGGCGAAGACGAAGTTGACCCAGCTTGTGCGCGCGGTGCGCAGGAGCTGGTTGCCAAAGCGCACGTCGTGGAAGCGCAGCTCGCACGGGACCGTGGTGCTCACTTTGGCGGGAGAAAAGTACGAGCTGTACGGGATAAGAGCCTCGCCTTTGTCTATTTTGAGCTCGACGCGGACGTTGTTGTCGCTGTTCAGCGCCCAGATGGACGTCACGAAGCGCGCGGCGCGTGTCTCGGTCGAGGGGATGCGCTTCCGGACTACGGCGATGCGACAGGAGGTGCATGCTTCTACCATTTCAATGTCGGCGATGTCGCTGGGGCAGTCGGGGTCCGGCTGGGTCTGTTGCGAGTATTCGACCAGGCTGCCGCGGCTGAATGTGTCAGTGACCATTAAGGTGAGTGGGCAGTGCACGCAAGGAGGGCTTACACGTCGCATAGCACGGCGGCGTTACGGAAGGCGTCTTTCTCGAAGGCAGCCTCTTGGCTTGCGGTGGTGCCGCTGCGGTGCAGCTTCGTGATGCTGCGTTGCCGTGCTGGGAAGGGGCTTAGTCTCGACGTTGATCGGACTCTGCTGGTCTCGCTGGGTTCGGGATGGGTATGCGACCCATAAGTGCTGGTTGAGCAGCGGGCCGAGGGTCTTCCAAAATCGAGTCTCCGAGGTGTCGTTGGTGGCGATGAACCAGCCAGGCTAGGTGGACTGTGGTTACTGGTGGGACTCGATATCGAAGAAGGTGCGGACGGCGATGCTGTCTTCAGACTTGCTCTTCGAGAAGATGAGGCTGGTGAGGACAACGGAAACGGAGCTGTACTGATATGGCCTGGCATCTCTGTGGGTAATCTTGCAGGGTTCCGCAGCGGGATAGGTGGGGCTTGTGCTGCAGGGTTCAGCAGAGCAAGCTGCTCTACAAAGCGGGAGACTTGCTCAAGCTGGTCTTCGAGGCTGCCGGGCAGGTCGTACATGGAGTCGACGCGGTCGGCCGTGGAGTCGAAGCGGTTGGCCGTGGAGTCGAAGCGATCAGCCGTGGAGTCGAAGCGATCGGCCGTGGAGTCGAAGCGGTTGGCCGTGGGAGTCACTGCTCCTTCCAGGTGCGAAAGCGAACCACTGAATGAGGTCAGAGCTGCGTATCGAGTCTTGACAGATGCTTGCCTTTGTAGGGCCTCGGTGAGAAGGCGTATGGATTTCGTGTGCATCTGCAACAGACTGCTGAGATGGTGTAGACCCCCTCCCTCGGCAGGCCGCATAATGTCCTCATACTGGGCCGGTGCGAGGTCGGTCCAGCTCGGATCCATTGCAAAGCCGGTGCTTCCTGATGGCTTGGTGACGACGGACCAGGGAGTCGAGGTCATGTATCGTTGGTGGACACGAGGGTGAAATTATAGGCTTCATTGAGGTCATTTGACATTGTGGTGGAGAGTATTCCGCGTCGGTGCTGTTGGTCTTGAGAACGGGGATGCACAGACAGGCGGGCAGCACGTGGGTTAGGAGCGGGCAGTCATTGGCGTTCACGGATGATGCCGCAACAGCCCTGTCGAGTGTCAATGCGGAAGCCGCATGGGCCGGGATGTAAAGGCAGGAAAACGAAACGGAGAGCAACAGTCGCAACACGCACATGCAGGGGGTCTGGTGTTGTGGGTGATTGTGTTTGCAAGTGCTCGGGTAGAGGCCAGGCTCTGCTTTTCATGGTTGCTGTGCATTCATGGCTGTTGTGCATTCATGGCTGTTGTGCATTCATGGCTGTTGTGCATTCATGGCTGTTGTACATTCATGGCTGTTGTACATTCATGGCTGTTGTACAGTGTATAGCTGCTATGCCGTGCGCAGACGGTCAAACGCCGAATGCTGAGCGTTCAGGCAGCATCCCCCCAATACCGATGCGCCGAATGACTGGTGTTGTACAGTGGAGTAGACAGTGGTTCGGGGCTATGCGAGAGGAGAGAAGAGGCTGCGGGTGTGTGAGCTGGTGGTCTGGTGGTCTGGTGGTCTGGTGGTCTGGTGGTCTGGTGGTCTGAATGGGAGTGAGTGGCTGGAGGGCGTACCGGATGAGAGAGGGCTTGGGCTGGCTCTGGGAGTAGCCCAGGTAGAGAATCAGGGGCAGGTAGCCGTAGTGGATGGCGACGCGGGAGACGTCGATGATGCGCGCGATGCGCTCCTGCTGGCGTGTTAGCGGCGGTGGTGGTGCGGCGGCGGCGCACGACGTGCCTTGGACTCTTCCGACAGCTGGAACATGATGTGTGGTTGTCGGCGGTGGTGTCGGCGGTGGTGGTCGGCGGGTGATGGGCGACGGGCGACGGACGACGGGCGACGGGCGATGGGCGATGGGCGATGGGCGCTCTGTCGGCGGTGATGCTGTCGGCGATGATGCCAAAATCTCGACGGGCGGCGGGCAGGCTCGCGCTAGTGGACGGAGCTGGGGGGTGCGGCGCATCGAAACTCCAAAACTTTGGCGCATCAAAGGCCCAAAACTTGGCGCATCAAAAGGTCCAAAACTTGGCGCATCAAAAGGCCCAAAACTTGGCGCATCAAAAGGCCCAAAACTTCGCGCATCGCATCGCCGGCATATTCCACAGGCCAGCGACGACCGCCCACCATGTCGGCACCCAGCGCGCGCCACTGGGAGCAGAACAAGGAGGCGACCGTCTACGTCGGAAACCTCCACGAGCGCGTCACGCCGCGCATCCTCCACGAGCTGATGCTCAACGCCGGCCGCGTGCGCAACGTCAACATGCCCGTCGACCGCGTCAACAGCCAGCACCAGGGCTTCGGCTTCGTCGAGTTCCACACGGAGCCCGAGGCCGACTACGCGCCGCGCATCATGAACAACGTTATGCTGTACGGCAGCCGCATCCGCGTCAACAAGGCCTCGGCCGACAAGCAGAAGAACGTCGACGTCGGCGCCGAGCTGTTTGTCGGCAACCTCGACGCCATGATCGACGAGAAGACGCTGTACGACACGTTTGGCCAGTTCGGCCCGCTGACCGTCGCCCCCAAGATCGCCCGCGACGAGCATGGCCTGTCCAAGGGCTACGGCTTCGTGTCGTTTGGCGACTTTGATGCCTCGGACGCCGCCATCGCCAGCATGCACGGCCAGTACATGATGAGCAAGCAAATGTCCGTCCAGTACGCCTACAAGAAGGACGGCAAGGGCGAGCGCCACGGCGACGACGCCGAGCGCATGCTGGCGAAGCAGGCCAAGGCCCACGGCGTCGCGCCCGCCGTCCAGCCGCTGCCCGCCCACCTGTTCCAGGCCCCGACGCCCATGGTCGCGCCAGGCGGGCCACCGGGACCGCCCATGGGCGCCGACCCGCGCATGGCCATGGGCATGAACGCGCCCGCTGGCTACGGCCGGCCTCCGCCCATGGCCCCTGGCGCGCCTCCCGTGCTCGCACCGCCGCCGGCCGGCCTGCCGGCACGTCCCCCGAGCGGAGCGCCTGCGAACTTCTACCCCCCGCCGCCCGGCTTCCCAGGCGGGCCGCCACCGGGTGCCCCGCCAGGCTTCGCGCCCCCGGGCTTTGGCCCCAGATGAGCGGCGGCAGACAGCACTGGAGAAGAGCTGAACTACCACGACCACGCGAGGGAGTGGGAACGCGTCCGTTGGCCTCGCCTCTGGCCAGGCAAGGCGCTGAGCGGGGAGCTTCACGTGACCAAAAGACATATTCCAGAGAGACGCATCGACAGAGCTCTCGCCGAGCCGTTGAGAGAGTGGAATTAGTAGGGCGGAGCAGGACGACCGATACTGGTCAGTCCGTACCCAGCAGGATAGCAGAGACATACGAGACAATGAAAGAAGAAGAGTCCAACACAGGAACAAGTCCAGACGCGCCTCCGGCAGTCGACCAAGGCGTCCCTCTGCACGTGAAGCTCCCCAGTGACACAAGTAACAAAAGAAAGAAGCCGTCGAAGTGACTGCCAACAACCCAATCCCAGGAAGTGAACGCTCAAGCCAATCCCATGAAGTGAACGCTCAAGCCAGTCCCCAAGAAGTGAACGCTCAAGCCAATCCCCAAGGAGTGAACGCTCAAGCCAATCCCAGGAAGTGAACGCTCAAGCCAATCCCCAAGAAGTGAACGCTAACAGACCAAACCCCAAGCCTCCTCTGCACACCCTGCACCGTCTCACGAAAAGCTCACAAACTTAGGATCCCTCGGCACGCCATCACTACCCACGCCTGCCTTGCTAAACCGCTCCTGCATAAGCAACCGCCGCGCCTCATCGAACCCGACGTTCTTCCGCTTCATGATGCGCAGCACTTCCTTCTTGCCCGCCTCGTCCAGTCCCGCCCGCCCGTCGCCCTCGACGTTGTTGGTCAGGTCGAAGGCGCTCGAGTGCAGCCCGGCCTCGATGTCGTCGCGGAACGACGTCGGTAGGCGTGAGTAGAGAGGTCCGGGGGTGAGACGTGGGAGGAGAGGCAGCCAGCGCGCGCGTGTTAGGTAGAGTGCTGCGTGGGTTAGTCTGGACTTGTCGTGGTATGGACGTGTGATGCTAGTATGGACGTGTGATGCTAGTATGAACGTGTGATGGCTACTACGAACGTGCGATGGCTACTACGAACGTGTGATGGCTAGTGTAGATAGTCGGGCTGGTGCTGTGGCTGAGGCGTCGACCTGTGACAGGGATACGTACTGGTTCCGACGGCGAAGACGAACAGCGCCATGGAGTAGAGCATGTAGCCCATCGTGTCGGTTTTGAGCGGTATTGCGCGCGGTCTGGAGGGTGTAAGGCCTGGTTGCGCGAGGCGTATGCGTCGGCGGGCGTGTTCGGAAGTGCGCCCAGTCGTACTGAGTGCAAGCTGACGACGCCGTTGGTGGTCGTCACTAGCGCTCCGCAGCCACGCCTCGCCTCTCAGCCACAGCCTAGCATCGCCGCTTAGTCATCTAGCGAGAATTCGTCGAAATCGCACACGACGAGCAGCGCGAAAAGTCCGAATCCGCGTATCACCACCCCATACCGACACAATGGCCGCCACAATCTCCCACGACCTCGCCTGGACAGTCACCAAGGGCCACAGCGCCACCCTCGTCAAGAGGGCCAACGGCGTCCAGTTCTCCCGCGACCCGCTGAACCTGAGGAACATCTACAGCCGCCAGAACGAGGGCCAGATTGCCGACAAGGTCAGCAGCTCTGCACTCGACGCAGCGATCACGGACACGTGTTGATTGAAGCAGGCCATCGGCGTCATCGCCTCCGAGAACGGCGGTGTCACCCTCCTTATCAAGAAGGCCGACAAGCACCACCAGCCCGCCCGCTCCACCCAGTCCACCACCTTCAGCGCCTCCAAGGGCTCGCGCAAGTACGTGACATCCGGCACTCACGGCTCAGCCTCCACGCGCCGAGCTGCGCCTCGAGAAAGACCAGAGAGCTGATTATCACAGGATCTACTCCGCCATCGTCAACTCGACCGCCAAGCGCAACTACCGCCCCGACCTCCGCAAGGACGCCGTTGCCCGCGCCTCGGCCATCCGCAAGGCCGGCAAGCCCGTCAAGGCCTCGCCCGCCCAGAAGCTGCGAGGCGCAAAGGCACAGAAGGCCGCCGAGGCCTCCGCATAGATTACGCACACTGACTGATTGTGGCTGTGGCTGTGCGCGCGCTGGGATAGAGGACGAGGAGTTCGCTGCTTTTGGGAATGGATCGCATCGACTGGGATGCGTCGACGAAGTATACGAGCGAGGTCGATAAGACCAGCCGGAAATGAAAATGCTTCGAAACCCACTGCACTGCACAACGGACTGGAACAGTGATGCTGTATGCGATGCCGGTCTACATCTTTCGCAAACCGTAGTGTGAAGATTTTGTCGCGTCAATTGTGCTATTGTCGCAAGACCAGCGCATGCTCTGCTGTAGCGTTTACTCTCCAGCTTCTCCCACACTTTACTCTCCAGCTCCTCCCACACTTTACTCTCCAGCTCCTCCCACACTTTACTCTCCAGCTCCTCCCACACTTTACTCTCCAGCTCCTCCCACATTTTACTCTCCAGCGCTCTTCCCACGCGCCCCGCTCTCAGAACCCACTGCCGGCGTCCCCCGCTCCTCGTACTCATTCTCGTACGCCCTCCACACAGCCATATCTGACTGCAATTTCTTATGCGATCGAACAGCATGGTGATACCGGAGCATACGGGCATCAGCCTCGACCATGCCGCCGAAGATCATGGCGGACATCTGTATGTATCTGCAGCGCTGTCATTTAGCTTGAGACTGTCCAATCATGGCATCCGCTGCGTACGTTTTGAACTGCACAGTCAACCCTCTGTAGAGAGGTGAGACCGCGTATGCGACTCCCCCCGCGACGGCGAAGAACGCGCCCCACTGTCCAAGGTCAGTACGCGTTCGAATTGGCTGCCGTGCAAAGAAGCAGGACCCTGCGCATCTCAATGCCCATCTGCACGCCCCAACACCGCAGCAGGGTTAACAACGAAACGACAACGACAACGACCGCAGAAGTCAATGACGTCACCAACCAGCTCACAGCAAGAGCAGAGACGCACAACCATCGCCCATCGCCCAGTAATCAAACCCGTAAAAGCCAAAGCGAGACAAGCAGGCCAAAGACACAAGACCAAAGACACACACAGCACGTGCAACCACATACCTTGACACCCCCATAAGCCCCACCCTTGACAGCCTCCCAAGCCGCCTGGTTCGTCTCGTCGTCCTTTGTCAGGCTGCCATGTTCGCGTACCATATTGGCCGACTCGTGTATATTATCATCAATGTGGTTTGCCCGAGCGATGCAGTGAAGCACGTGTCCAGTGCGCGAAAGCTCGGAAAATGATGAGGTGATTGTCCTGCAGCGGGAGCTAATCGGACATGGATGGACAAGGATGTGCATTTTAGCAGCGGCATGTTCGGCAACTTCTTCGGCGGGGAACACGACGGCAAGTCACTACTGTTATTCTTCGGATACAACTGACGAGTGGGGGCAATGATGCTGCCCTCGCTGCTGCATTTTGCAGCGGTCCATGGTTCCGAAACACCAAGCTATGCATCTCACAATCAACGCTTTCAACATCACACCGAACGCCAATGCTCTCCGTCATCGCACTGCGCGCGGCGAGCTGCACTCTACAATGCTTCCCGATGCAGCATCGTTATCAGTCCATTGCCCGCCCATCACATTGGCCAGGCTGGAGCGGCGTGATGAAGTCATCTCAGGCGTCAACTCTCTGGTCTCCACAGTCTCCTCCGGAGCACTCTCGAACCGAACCCGGGAGGCAGTCAGCGCCTTCTAGCCGCCTTTGTTCTGCGCGAACTCAATATGCTGGGCCTTCGGTTCCTCAGCATGTATCTCTTTTACATCCACCATCTGTGTGTCGCGGCTCGCTTGCGTGTCTACCGCCATGGGGTCACTTCGCAGACCGGCCATGGCATCCATGCCGCCGTTGACTTCGACCATCTCACGCACGCCTTCCCCGTCCATCTCCGTGTTGGGTGTCAGTGTCGCAGAACTCATGCCAGAGCTTTGTTTGCTCATCTCATCATGGAACTGCCGAGAACTAATGTTAGCCCAATCGTGATTGTACCCTGGCGGATTGCTTGCTTTATCCCAGTCTCCCTTCATCTCATCCCCAAAGTCTTCCCATGCATTGCCCGAGTCCAGGCCATGACTCTTCTGCAGTTCCTCGAGGAAGCACAGCTTGTCTTTCTTGACAAAGTCCTCCAGTGGTTTGGCCAAGGGAATGGGTTTCTCGGACATGGCGGCTTTGTTGGCGTAGATGAGTAGTACTGACGCGGCTTCCGAGGTTGCTCGTTCGAGAACCTGTTGCTGGTCCACACGGTCGCGGATGATATTTGCGGTGCCCGATTCATTGTCGTACTGTATGCGCCACCACTGCTTCGCACCAGGGACGTTGGATGCAGTATCGGGGTGGAGAAGATAGATCACATCGCGCCGGGTTGCTACACCGCAGAGTTGGTAAGGATGATGCATTGCATCCTGAGGAGACTGTCCTTCGGGGTGATCGGGCCCAGTAAGATCAATGAGGGCTTCAGCACCATCATCGATGGTAGGCTTAAAATGCATGGCAATGCCATCAAGAGCCTCTTGCGCTTGCTTTTGTTGCTCGTCGAGGGCTAGCGTGGTCAGCATACGTCCAGCGTACATATATGTGTAATTTACCGGCCAGTTTGCACTCGATGCTATCGTGCAACTTCTGCAGCTGGAATAGGGTTGCGGCATCCCTTTCGCTGATTTCATCTTCGTCTGTTTTTGGCTCGAAAGCTTTCATGCTTGTCTTGATCAACTTCAAAGACTCGATCTTCTTTGAATTGCGTTTTGCCGGTGTGTGATACATGAGCCGGTCAGCCTGGTCCTTGATACTACTGATCTTGGACGTGTGCACTGCCATCTCTCCAAACATCGACTTTATGATGTGTTTGTTCTTTTCAAGATACCTATCCGCGTACAAGGTAGCAGGAACGCGGCAGCCAAGCTCGCTAGTGTCTTGCTTAGCCCCTTCCAGTCGAAAGATCAAGACGTTGCTGATGTTCATGATATGAGCGGTCCCTTCTGGATTGGGAAAGAACGTGTCATCAAGCACGTCGTAGATATCTGTGTCCCGCCCTACACGCTTTGTCACGGTACTATCCAGGACAAAGCTGTTGACCTGCTGCTGAGCATTGACGACGGATCGCAAGACGCCGTCAATTTCAAAATCCGGGTCCTGCTTAGCGTAGGCTTCACTCCAGAGTAACAGATGTTTCAGCATATCATCGTCCGGCTCTGTCGAGAGAGGCGCTTCGAGCTGCTTCCAAGCGTCCATGTCAAGCATCGACTCGATCGTTGTGTACGCCCGGTCAGTGTTATCCAGGAACGCCATCAGGCGCTGTGTCTCGTAGATGATGTCGAGGCCATAAGCTTCGTCCCATCCGACCGTGTCATCTATAATCCGTGCCCGCCCGGTGGGATTGCCTTTCCACCACTCTTCACCAACCCAGTAGTCGTCTTGTGTCACTGCGGGCGATAGGAGTGCATTTCGAAATTGAGGAACCGAGTGCAGGATGGTGAGCATCGCTGGGAAGTAGTTGAACCTGGGCGAAGGCTTCAGAATAGCGGGTTGGCCCTCCTCTCGTTGCCTTTGGCTTGGTACCGGATCGGCGATGTATTCAGAAGCAGTCGTAGCTGGGACCATAGACCAACTGCTCGGGTCATAGTCGTTTCGTGTGGCAGGCCCAAAGACGGGTTTCGAATTGCCCGTGACGCCTGATTCTTGTCCACTCTCGATGCCTGGCCATATGTTAGCCTTCAGTTCTTCTCATCCGCCAGATTGTCCGCCATAGACTGACTCTGCATGAGATCATCTCCCGCGTGTGTAGACAGGGCGGAGCCGGGGCGTGTGCCTATCCGCGAGTTAGGCCGGGTAGGTGCTGTGCTGTTGGCGCCGCTGCAAGGGTGATTGTCAACGCCTAGCGGATAGTCAATACTGAATGCTAAGGTGAGGCTCGTCAGCTGACGTCCATGCGATTACCTGAGTAAGGTGCCGACATACTAGGCACGCCATTGTTCGCGTCATCGCCATATCGGCTTGCGCCGAATGCGCTCTCATCCCACGTTGGCTTTGACCCATCGATGAGCTTGTGTATGGCCGACATGTCTGAGCTAAAGACTTTGTCTGCCGCCTGCTCCAGATTGCCATTGAAGACCTGCGCTTCTTCAGTACAACGCCGTGTCATTGCAAGGAATGTGTGCGGACCCTGAGTAGCTTCTGACAGTCCTCATACACAAGCTGGTAGCCGCTAAGCTCCTGGAGCATCGTCGCATTATCGTCCGCCATGGTGCTAGTTCTGTCGATGTGGGATTGTCGATGCGGTGGTGGAGCGCTCGAGCTCTGTGTTGGCGAAGCACAGTCGATGTGGCAATCGGCACGGTTGCTAGCAATATGCTGAAGTGGCGGGTATGCGAGAGAAGTTTGATCAGTGACAATGCAAGGCTTGCTTTGTGTTTGCCATCTTCATGGAAAGTGCAATTCACGATGCGGGCAATGACGACGCGAGCTGCAGGGATCAGGGCCCAGCCCTCGAGTACCGGTAAGTTACCGTGTCTGTGCGCACAATGCCCGGAGTCGAACAACGCCCTCTCCAGCCCTGCACTATAACCATAAAGACGAGGCTGTAGAGCCACGTACAATCATTGTTATCTTGAGAGTTTTTGGTGAAGTATTTTATAGGCCTATGCAACAAAGTTTCGTCAACAAAGTTACCTATCTTTCGTGGCGGTGCAGCCGGACCTGGTAGTGACAGTTGCGCGTGGTGGAGGAGGCGTCGTAGGCTTGGGATGACCATGAGCACCCACAGCACGACGCACAGGCTTCTGTTTAACTGCAGAAGCTTTTGAGGTTGTGCAATTACCTCTTTACGATAATTTGAGAGCTATTTCAGCGTCGTGAGCTGCTATTTAACGCGCTCTGTCAGCCTTGCGTTCCTCTATGGCTGCTCGCTCCTCCGCCCGAGCCTGATCTCTCGCTACCTTTTCCGTTACCCACTGTTGACGCTTTTTTTTGCCATCTTATCCTTATATTGTTTATTGGCAGCAGCTAACACCTCATCTCTACCTTTTTCAGCTCCTCTTCTTGCCTCTCTTGTTCTTCAACCTCTATACGAGCTCGTGCTTCCCAGAAGGAGCAAGGAGACCACAACATCGCACCTCCATAATACTCACAATGCTGTTGTAGGTCCAATTGCCTATTAGGTTGCTTCTGGCGCTTCCTGGTTTTGTATAGCTTCCTGCGCAAGGCGTCAAGTTTGGTGTTGAGCAACTCTACTTAAGTTAATAGATAGTAGATAGTTTAATCTAGCTTCTGCGCACCTACACTGTGGTGATTCTTCACCTCTCCATGAAGTGTAGTGCAAGCTTTAAGCCAATCCTCTGCAGAATAAGCTGTAGAACTAGAGGAGACTAATCCTAAGCTGTTAGAGGTGGTGTGGCAGAACCTATTAAGTATAATATCAGGATTTAACTATTACGCATTGAAGTTTGGTGTAGATGTTGTGCTCCGGGCGTTGTTCGACTCCGGGCGTTGTGCACACGGACACGGTACCGGTAGGTACAGTACCTACCGGTACCCTTCGCCGCGGCGGTCTCTTGTGATACGCACTCAACATAGTCATTTCTAGGCCAGTACATAATCATTCCGGGAAGCTCACCATCAAAGGAGAAAGCCATCCTTTGCTTTGACTTAGAAGATTGACAAGCCAGTGCCACCATGGGCGGATGTGTTGTGGCTGGCTGGAGCTGGAGCTGGAGCTCGACGCTTGAACCGTGCAGCCCTCTAAAGCCGTCACGCGGCTGAGGATAGACGGAGGTGTATGATACTTGGACTTTATTGGATCAGATATAAACCCTGATCTCACAGGTACAGTACTCTCTGATCTACGAGAGCGTCAATATGTTCTAGGCCACTGCTCAACTGGCTGCTGAACGCCATGCAGCACTTTACACATTTATTGTAGCTACCTCTCAAGATTCTATGCCAGCACATTTTGAGTTCGCAAAGCAGTTTAGGCCGAGAAAGCGATTGAGCGATTCATGAAGCTGAATTTGGGGCAATTGATTCTTGATGGTTCCTGTCTGCCTGCCTACGGCATCCAGCGACTGCCTCATACATCGTGTGTTGTATTTTGTCGACGATCATGGACCCAACCGCCTTGAAAGACTCCAAAACAACGGCATGCTCCTCGGAAAAGCACCTGTCAGAGACGAAGCACGTGCCAATCGTCGCGACAACAGAGCAGCCAGAGCAGCATCCTTCTCTGAACCTTGCTCCCCCTCACCCACAGGCGGAGTCCGTTGGTCCTCGACGCAATCATGTAACATCTCTGTTTACATGGTGGCAAGAGACTTTAACGCTCCTGGTCGGTGTGAGCGAGCTGATTGCCATTGTCGGTATCCTTGCAAAGTTTAATCAGAAGGAGCAGCCAACGTGGAAATACAGCATCAATTCGAACACGATCATCGCCATTCTCTCAGTTGTCCTCGGAGTCTGTGTGTTATACGGTGTCGAAGAAGGTACGATTGGCACTCAACGTACGATTTGGACAAGTCTAACCCACATACAGCTTTGAGCCAGATAAAATGGCTCTGGTACCGTCGTTCACGTTTACTTCGACACCTTGAGTATTTCGATGCGGCAGAACGAGGTCCTGGCGGCTCCCTCTTTCTCTTATTCAGACTACGCAGAATGTTAGACCCCCTCCTCACTGCCAGATAGACGCTCACCCTGTATGCAGAGATTCCGTCTTCATAGGGTGTTTGGTCATCATCTTCTCCGTCGCCATTGGTCCCTTTACCCAGCAGGCTGTCAAGGCCGTCCCTTGCAATGTTCCATCTGCAGCCATAAAGTCATCCATCCAGGTCGTCAACACCAACGGTAATGTCGACTACCCTCGCGTATCGTCTGTTTCCTTCGACCTTAGTCTGGACTTCAAGGCCGTAATTTTGCAGGGCTTGGCTAACCCGGCCGCTGACCGTTCAGCCATCACAGCAGGCTGTCCAACCTGCAATTGCACGTTCAAATCCTATATTGGTGTTACTCACTCATCCATGGCGATGTGTAAGAAGTCGTTGTGGTGGAGTGAATAGTGCGCATATGCAGGAAGAATTGAACTGAGGTTGTATTGTGTGCAGCCACGAACAGTAGGTATACACGAGTGGCTGTAAACAGCGCTAGTGCAGGATGGGTAGTCGCATCTCACCGAAGGTGAGGTGCGTTTGCCTATGAGGCAAGAGAGACTCAAACCGTGACAGAAATGCATCGACATCACCGGCTGGCTCTACGAAGCACGACCCAATGAAGGCAACATCACTGTGTATGAGATGGAGAAAAGTAATGGAGGCATAGAGTAGGTACTACCTCTTTCTTCCTGCCGATAATCCACTGTCAGATGACATGCCAATTCTGTGGACCAGTGTAGGTGGAGCTGAAGTCCTCAACCATTGAGCTCCGAGGAAGCTTACGCTCCCCGCGTGTTCCTCAATGCTACTACTTCCGAGGGCTGGAAGTGATCGCTATCCAGAGGCAATTCAGATGATCCATTCTTGGCCGCGGTAAAAGCCTCCGTACTAAATTTCAGCATGGTCACCTTGACCACTAACAGTTGCGACTGGCATTCTAACCAGGATCCTGAAGAGCCAGATACCACCATTTACGGCATTAATTGCTCACATCCAAACTTAAATGCGAGCTCATACTTGGACATTGTCAATCTGGTCTCCACTGTATGCGCACTTTATCCTTGCTTCAAGGACTACCACGGGGTAATCGTCGATACAGAGTATGCAGAGACAGTGGTGCGTGATACACCAGTGAAAAGGAGTCCGTATGATGTTGACATGTCCATTGCAAATTTGGCGCTATTTAACGACCACTGCATCATCGACCAACGGTCAGTGACCTTGGATAATATCTCAGTAGCCTCCAACGGACGTACCCTCAACGCGACCTACTTTGATGGCCGGAATGTCTCAGTTCCTCACCAATGCTTCTATGAATTCACTGGTCCCTATATTCGTGTTGTACAAGAAAATCTCTCAGACGCACTGACCGGCGGCTGCGAAATGCGCAGGGCTTTGTCATCGGTGCAGAACCACACACATGGAGAACAGCGGACTGCAAAGACGCCTGGTGGCTCAGGAGCCTGTACAATGATGGCAACGCCACATTTAACTCAATTGACGCAAACATGGAAGCCGTCGCTGTCGCTATGACGAACGAGCTACGCAGAACTGGCTCAGCATGGGACCGCAACCCTCTGTACGTGCAAGGCGGTGTCTCACAAGCGACGGTGTGCATGCGATTTGATTGAAAATGACTGAGCTTTCCGCTCGCGCTACTTGTGCTGACGACAGCCATGCTCGTCATTGTGAGCATGAAAACGCTGTTTGACAAATAGCAGACGCCGATCTGGAAGCCGTCAGCTCTGCCTTTGCTGTTCACTGGGAACGGTTTGGGCACAAAGAAGTGCAGGACAGGATCGAGCGGGACGTAGATGATACGGTTATCAGCTTGAAGAAACGGGAGGATGGGGCTTGAGAGTTTGTTGGCCAGGGTAATCTTCGTGGAGGGGCAGTGACCAGTGAAAATGACGGGTCTACTGCATCGAGTGCGAGAGCGAGAGCCGTTGTCTGACCTATCAGCTGAATATGCTGCCTTTGTGAATGATAAGGTAGGAGTGAGTAGGGAGAATTGAACGCCTGTTGATGCTATGATATCTCTAACTAACCGCATGCTCTGTTGTACAGTCATACTCGGTCGTGTTTATGCTACAGTATACAATATGTTACATCACTCTACATCTCAACACCATTACTCCTTACTCTGCACAGGAACCTCAGATATAGTTTCAACCGAAGCCTGGGGGCCAGCCTCACCACTCGCTCTTGCCGCATACTCCGGCGTCCCCGGACCCAACGGCCTGAACATCTGCACACCCCTCTCCTCGTCGATCTGATCCTGCTTGGCCCTCCACTTCTGGCCCCTCGATGCATATCTCTGGATGATCTTCCGGAAATGCGCAAGCCCCTTCTTCTCCTCTTCTTCGTCCTTGCCAATGAGCTGACGTCGGCGCTCCTTGGTCGCGTTGTACAGGTTCCAAACTGTCTCGCCGTCGATGTCAGAGATGTGGTACTCGATCTGCCAGTTGTCCTCTGGCTCGAGTTGTTCGGGACGCTTCAGGTAGTGCCCGTTTACTTTGTTGCGAACTGTGAGGGTCCAGCCTGCTAGCGGGCCGCCGTTGCTCTGATCCTTCTCATGTTTGGGGGGTAGGAGTTTGTTCGCATCGATCTCGATGTCTTCGGCGACTGATTCGGCGGAGGTGGTGGTTTCGCCTTCGGTGGTAGTCTCGCCCTCGGCGAAGGTCTCGACTTCCTGACTCGCTGCTGGGGTACTGATGGCCTTATCTGCGGTGCCGTCCTCGCTGACTTGCTCGTCGACTTCTTCTTGAAGATCTTTCCACTCCTTTTGTGCCTCGGGATCATTATTGCCTACACCCACGACGCGGCGTGCCCATTCCTTTGCGTATTGTGCACCGGTATTCTGGATTTCGTCTGCGCGCTCTTCGGTCAAAGGCTCGGCGAAAACATACATAAAAGGCTGCTGTCCTTCACCGCACGGGCGGGTTTCGAAGTGCATGCGGACCGTCTGTGGCTGTTAGTGTTATCCACTAGTAATTTTGAAGAGTACCTACCGTCTCAGGGAACTTCTCGGTGGCTCTTTTAAGAAGCTCTTCCATCAGACCAATGGACAGCTTGAATTCCCGGTCACCCAGAGTAGTGTCGGTTTGCCCATGAAGGACCTGGTCCATATCCGAAAGGCTGAGGTACTGGAAACCGAAAATGCGCTCGATGTTGTGATAAGCAATGAAGATACCGTCCATCCTGCCCATACGTGCTTGAAGCGAGTACTTCAGCATGGTGGCGCGGGTCATATCGTAGAACTCTCGTTCGAACGACTCCCACTCACCCTGCGCATAGCGCAGCTGATATCCAAGACCCTCCTCATATTTCCTATAGTTCATGCGAATGGAGACGACAGCTCGTGTCTTCAGATCGAAGATACCAGCGCCGGGTAGACGGGGGTCTTGAGCGTCGAGTTGAGAGCGCATCAAGATGCTTCCCTGCTTTGAGTAGTGGAAGCATTTTGCCGAATCGCCTTCAGCCGGTGTCTGCTCTGGATTCGATCTGCGGTAGCGCTCAAATTCGGTGCGTTCGGTTGTGAGTAGCTTCTCGAGGGAGTGGCCGAGCCAGCTCATGACGTTAGGGGTGTCGTATGTCTTGTCGGCGTCGATCGCATACACTCCATCCTTATATCGCAAGAAGATGGCGTCTGGTCCTGCTGTGATTTTTGAAAATTTGTTTGTTGAGTCCGGAAAATTCCTTGACAGCATGCTGTGATTCAGCATTCTGTGAGCGGATAGCAAGAAATGGAAGTGCTGGAGTACACTGGACATGCTGGAAGTCGATCCTGTATATTTGACACCTAGCTTCCTTGTGACAGCGAGCAGATCCTCGTCCTTCGACGATGTCTTGTATTCGGTCAGCGCGTCGAAGTCGAACTCTTCGACAGGCATGATCTTCTCCAGGTACGGGTCGAAGTTGTAGACGCCTGTCCGGGGGTCTTGCAGACGGTAGATGCCGGTGTTGAATAGGACGCGGTCGAGGCCGTAGGCCAGCATTGGCACGGAAGGCATGTTGACCTCGACGGGCTCGAATTCAAAGTCCTCCGCGGCCACCTCCTCCACCTTGAGGTCCGGTGAATCTGTTCTCCGCTGCTTCTTTTGGCGTGGCTGCGCCGTTGACCCTTCCACTGACAACTCCAAGAGAGCTTCCCTGAGGGACTTGCCTGCAAGACCATCCTCACCCAGCCGCGCACTTCTTCCTTCTTTCAGACCCACTTTTCTTATTTTTGCAAGGCCAGCTTCTTTGTCCGTTGTATCATTGATCCGCACATCGTCTGGAAGTTGCTTCAAGAGATCGTCTGACCTGTCCTTTTCTGAGAAATTGTTCTTAGACGATGCATTGTCCTGGAGAACCTCGCCCTTAAAGACCTTTAAGTTCTGGTCATTCTTCTGGTGTGCCTTGGACCTCTTGCGCAGGACCTCGGTGGCGCCGAAGGCTCGCCGTTGCTGAGCTATGGGCTGGCCGCGAGCGGCGCAGAAACAGCATATGGAGGAATTACGCCATGGCGCAGCCCGTGCGATGTGCTTGCTGCTCCTGAGCATCGAAACAGAGTGACTGGGGCGAACGAGCGTGGAGTTGAACGCGTCAACGATAGCACAGTCGCGCCTTCCATCTAAGAAATTCTGTCGGTGGTCACCGCCTTCAACCGCCGAACGCCGCTCTACCTATTTGACGTGCGTTTGAACAGCCAGTTACACCATCTGCTATCTCTCGGGAAACGCGCGTTGTGCCTGAGACCCATTGCGCCGCTGTCGCCTGCCCCGTTGAGCAGTAGGACCGGTTTTGCAGAAGGCTGCCTTGAGACGTGCTGTGCTGCTGAGCTTGGGACACGCCGAGCTCATCATGAAAGGCCCCACCTGGTCACCCCAGCACGAAGGGCCGGGGATGATACAGGGCAGCAGTTCAAAGGCAGCCAACGCCAGAATTGCCGCCGCAACAGTGACACCCAGTCTGGTCGGCGCTCTGCCAACTTTTGCACCTACACCTGCAAATGATCACCAGCATTTCACCTCGCAAACTGAGACACAATCGCTCGTATCGGCGTATAATCTCTTAGACATCTACCTACTCAAACCCCCGGCTCCCCATGCAACAGTAATTTGCGCCGCGATTGGCCGCCAAGTTCGACATTTCGCGACTGTACCGCGCTGCCTCTGCTGCTCTCACTCGAGCGTGCCCCATTCAATCCCAATCAGCTTGTGGTCCTCCGCATGCGCCATTACTGCCGCTGACCTCGCGTGGGGCGGCGCCCGCAAGCAGAGAAGGTAGTCGCTCATCATGTCCAAGGACAAACGGCGGAGCATCTTCGGTAGCTCTCTCAGCGCATTCACGAGCATTACACCCAAAAAAGATGAGTCGCAGCCAGCGAATCTCCTACGGAAGCGCCGGACGGCGTCGTTTATGTCCAATCTGTCAGATGTGTCAGGGTACAGCGAGAAACAGACAATCGACGAGAACACCGTGACAGAAACACCGACCTCCGTTCCTGCCGCGCGACCACGACCGCAACTGCCCAATCGAGGGAACGGCAAGCGCGCCAGCTCGGTATTCGGGTCGCTGAGAAGCTCCAAGTACCTCGACGACGAGCCACTCTCTGCGACTTCGACGCGCACGTCTATGGGGTTTGACTCCCCTGTCGACGATACACATAGCCGCCACGTCTTGCAGCATGGCGAGGTTCAGACGAGCAGCTCCATGTTCAGGAAGAAAAAGGAATACCTCGTCCTGACTGAGACACACCTCATCAGGTTCAAAAGCCAGTCAAAGGCGTCAGATGCATTTACTGGGTAGGGTCCACGGCTATGTCAACTAGGGGTGGCATTCTGCTGACATTTCACAGGGTATCATCACTACACAACGGCAGCAATCGCGCATCGACCTACCGACATAGTCATAGTCCCTCGACCGGCTCGGCGCAAGAAGCTCAATCACTCGCCTCAGATGCCTCCGGAGACCGCGAGATGGGCACGCCTTTGCGCCATATCGTAGCTGTGTTTCATGCACCAGACGGAGGTCCATACTTCGCTCTAGACGTCTACTATCTGGACGACGAGACGAACCATGCCTCGTCGATGACACTGCAGTTTGGCGACCCCGACGAAATGCACACATGGATGTTCAAGATACGGTACGCTTCGAACAGCGCACGTCTGTCAGACGCAAACCCACTTTCTGCATACAACTCGCATCTTGCTGCTCGTGTGGTGGAAGCAGAGCGAGACTACGTGCCTCCACATTATGCGATATACAAGGTGGTCCTACGGGAGCCAGGCAAGACAGCATCGAGGGCGTCAGCAGAGGACCTAGGCAAGCTCTCTGCTTCTGTCTGCTTTCTTGCAATTGGCGTACACAAGGCACATTTGATCCCATTGTTCAAGCCACCTTCTCAACGAACATCCAGCCCTTCCTTGGCTTCGCTCAATTCTCAATCATCACACGGGATACTTGCACTTACCGAATGTGTTCTTAGCGAGATTGACGATACCTTCCATTTGACGTTCAGGTATGCATTTCTCTCATTTCGAAATCACGGGTCTAACGGTACAGGAAACCCTTGGAGAAGGCCAAAACTTTCCACTTGGCATCACTTGCATCCCATGACATTGCTGTCCGTCTGCGCCATGTCGAAGAAACCATGCGACCGGAGTGGGAATCCCGGCCGTATCAATTCGTTGTACCTGAAGCTGTCAGAAATGATATCCTCCGTCAATCTCAAGTTCACACGATGGACCAAGACTCTCTCGATCGCACGCTCATTGGCTATTGCATTGCGTACGGTGTACAACCTGAGAACATCAGTTACCAAATCACATACCCAGACGAAGACTCTCCGCGTTTTGAGCTGCTGCAGCCCATTGGACTACGACGCAGCCAGTACACCGTACATGAGTTGCTAGCAGTCATGCGAGCATTACGATACAACGAAACTTTTGCAGGCATCGCGTTTAAGGATGTACATCTCGATATTTTGAATGGATTGATTGACGAGCACGGGGTTGAACACGTCTGTACGAAGACAAAGCGAGGAACATACGCGCGGATAGACATCGAAGATCTTTCACGTTCCTGCTTGCTGGTGCAAGAGATTCGGGCCCTGGCCTTGACCAATCGCAAATTGCGACGCATGGACTTCTCGAATTGCATCAAGAAAAAACCCAAAGATTTCACAGAAGCAAAGTCGAGTGCGAGAGACACAGGCTGTGGGATAGTTGAAGCTCTGTTTCCTCTGTGCAAGTACCAAACGACAAATGTTGACTGGATTGCCTTGAACGGCATTCAGCTTGGCGAGACAGACTTGGACTATCTAGTTGCAGCGGCAGTCGAGCGCGCTTGCCATCTGCGTGCTCTTGAGATGAGCCGCTGCGGTCTGACGGATCGTGCATTGTCTCTTATCTTGGATTCTCTACGATCACAGGAGACCACTCTTGAGGCATTGAATCTTTCTTCAAATCCCTTCCGCCTTTCACCCGCCTTGTTCGACTCGCAAATTGGCTGTTTTGCATACCTCACAAAGCTGGACCTTTCTCACGTTGCGCGAACATCCGGTCCGGAGCCCCTGATATCCGTTGAAACGCTTAACGTGATGCGGCTCCAGGAGCTGAGTTGGAGCGGCACTTCGCTCAACGCAGCGACTATTGATGCCATTGCCGGGTAAGTTCGCCACTACTATGATTTGAGCATGAGCTGATCTGACTCAGTTACCTCATCAACACCAAGCAGTCGAAAGGTCTGCGAGAGCTGAAAGTCGACCATTGCTACATCACAGGAAAGGATGTCGCCTACTTGCTCCAATCTATGACGGAAGAGCCTGGCAGAGCCAGAGATCTGCACCTAGATGTTAGCGAGAACTACATCGAGAAGGACCTCAAGAGGCTGACGAAAGCAATTGCAACCGGTTACGCTCCGGCACATCTCACGATTCGCCTACTCGAGTTCGAGGAAGAAGCAGACTTTCGTAAGATGATCTTGGCTTTAGCACAGAACAACACAATCCGCCAGCTTGATATCTCCCGTGCGTCTCTACCTAGCGATGCTTCAGAGGAGACATGCCAAGCGCTTGAGAAGATGTTCTCGGACAACAGAACCCTTGAGTGGCTTGACATGTCAGGAGAAGACTCAAGATTGGAAACCACTAAGCTCGGTGTTGGACTCAATAGGGCGCTGCGAGGCTTGCAGCATAACAAGTCATTGCGCGTCTTGTACATACGATGTAAGACCTTTCCTCGCTGTTCCGTCGAAACATGTCGGCCGCGATACTGATTTGTCACAGATCAAAAACTTGGGTTACAAGGGGCAAGCACGCTTGCAGACGTGCTCAAGGCTAACAAAACACTGCATTATCTTTACTGCGAGATGAACGACATAGCATTGAACGGCTTCACAGATCTCGTCAATGCTCTTCATCGTAACACCACGCTCTTATATCTTCCAACGATGCATGAGTCTCGTCAAATGGCGCTCAAGCGTACGGAAGACCAGGTCAAGCAGATGCGTGATGACACATCCGCCTACACAACCTCAAAGCCCGTATCCGTCCGCAGCAAGCTTGCAAGCAAAGCCAGCAAAGTCACAATCAAAACCGGCAGGGACCGCGGGCCATCAATTGGTCTCTCCGATCAGGACATCAAAGCCGCCTTGGGGCTCGTTGACGAGAGCTGGTCGCGACAGGAGTACCGATTGCAGCAGTACCTTCAACGCAACTATAACATTGCTAACGGCATTCCCGTTTCCATGGATGTCGGTGATGAAGATTTTGAGCGCGACCGGCCAGACACAGCCTCCAGTCACAGTAAGATCATCGAGAGGAAGTGTGTCGATAGCACACCTACAGCAGAGAAGCTTCGCCGACTCGGCGCTGCCACACCAGGCTCATTCTACGAGTCACCCGGGAGCACACCAAGTAGTACGCCAGATTTCCACATGGCGAAGACGAGACAAACGCACGCTTCGAAGGTAGACTACTTTAGCAGCACATTCGAACCAAACACGAACGGTTCGTCTGCTGGGATATCAGCCGTCGAGCAAGAGATTCTGATGGAGCAGACGGTCGGACGGGACAGACTCAACCTCGACTTCGACGTGACAAGTCTAGGAAAGGAGATCGAGATGAGCTTTGCTCAGAATCGGGACGCATTCTCATAGCGGCCTTCCGCACTCTAGCTGTGCATTTTGCACCCACATCTTGATTTTGGCACACACATATCAGGCGCATTTGTACAAGCATTTTGCATACACGGTGTTGCATTTTCTGGTTTTTGGGAGGTCGTCATCATGTTTTCGCAGCGTACATTGGAACGTTTTTCTTTTCGATGCACATAGCAACAATTGAGCAATCCGCAATCTTCACCTAGTAAAGCGCAGGCTCGAAATCTGTCTTCCACTTCCATTCTCCATCCGACTACGGTAAAGTGAAGCTGGATTCACCATGGCTTGGCGAAAGTGACTCCAGGGTCCTTTCTGTGACGTCCAATTCGGCCACAAACAAAGAGACCAACAGAGTGACGAACACGAGGAACGATCGGCCCTCAACTTCGAAGTAGATCAGCACCAAACTCACTGACAGTCTCCTGGCTAGTCGCATTGCAAAACATGAGTACCTCCACGCTGTCGACTTTCCGCTTCCTCAGCTTGCCGAAAGAGCTCCGGCTTATGTTTAATGAGCTCGTACCTGTCGCCCGTATCCATCGCGGAATGACCGATTTCCCTCGCGCCAGTCGTCATTTGGTCACCCTCCAGTATCCTCTACATCTATCTCTCCGTGTTGGAGAAAGCTTCCACGGTAGTCAAGTCGACTTGATGCATACAAGGAAGCTCAAGAGCACTGCGGATTCGCGCCCATTACCCCAAAACTGATGCAAAATATGATGATACGTACGCAGCGCTGCTGGACAGCAGAAGACCATTTTGATGATGTTCACAATCTGATTGTGGTAGCACTGGGGTGGCAGTGCTCCTTATCTGCCAGTGGAGGACTGACTGAACGTCAAGCGGCCACGTTGGAGCATCTATCACCAGAGTAAGACGAAACTGCCTCACGCTACATTGTTGAATGGGCTCAGCATGCAGGTACCCTGCTACGACAAGCTTTGAGCGGGAGGCACCAAGGTGCGCACACCAGAGCATTCGAAATAGCAGTGGTCACATTCAATGATTAACAGTACGACACACTTGTCTCGCAGCAGAAAATCTCCGGTTCCAGACTCCTTAGCGACAAGGATTTCCTTCTCGAGATGGACGGTCTCTTGCCAGGAAGAGGTGACCCATTTTTTGCCAAGTTCACCTTCACACCCCCAGATTTCAGTGACGACGAGGCAGGTTGCTTTTCAGCCACTATTGATCTGGAATTGGGTCTCACCTTGAACGGCTGCTGCCTGTTAAAAGGTGAATGGGTACACATGTGGGCCGTAGCAGAGTGGCTGTGAGATGACTGTAGGAGAGGAGTCACAAAAGAAGTAATCAGTTGCGCTGGCACGGCAAAATGGATGGGGAGCTTAGCTTTCCGTTATTAAAGACAACGAGACGCACCCTTAGAGAGCAGGTCGAGGAGATGAAGGAAGTCGCTGGCCGTTTGCTTGACCTCCTGTTCTTTCCAGCAGGCCCGAACTTCATCAAGCTTCGCTTCTGGCACTACGATCGCAGATATCTTCTGGCAGCGCAAACTGTTCTTATTTTGTCAATCCCGGCAAGTGTGCTCGACCCCCAACGTTGTAAGATTACTAAACACTCTCCGCACGTTGACAAGTCTCGACTGCGGTGCTGAGTCGTTCAGAACCCCATCTCACCTGACTCTCGGCGCCACCATCCGCTCTCAAACCAACGTCCCCCACCTTCGCGCGTACAGAAATTACAAGTCACTTCTCCGTCGCACAATCACAATCCATGGGTCCAGGGTGGACCACTCTTCTGCAGAATCGTGCAGCATCGTGCATCCGCGTCGCGCCACGCGTGATCAACCCGAAGGAGCCTAGTGCGGCTGGGGTACACTGCCGAGTATGATCTGATTTGATCATACGGTGCCTAAACGGGCGAGCTGCAGCTTCAGGTCGGCGAAGTCGAGATGCATGATCGCGAGGAATCGAGCCAGGAGTAAGCAGTGGATCTTGTCTGGATCGCCGGGATCGTATTCGTGTGACCGTTGGCGAGGTTTTGCTGGTGGCGTCTCGTGAAGGTGGTGTGGGTCTATGTGCCTGGAGCGTTTTGTGACAATCGGCAATGACAAGAGATGAAATCAAGATTATCGAGACACTGCAGGTACGACGATGCTCGAACAGGATCGAATGGTGGTAGATCTGTAGCTGGGACGTCGTAGCTGCGAGTAGCAACATAGATGTGACTTCGGAAACGGTGAGCCCACGATAATCGCGGAAGCTCATTGAGTCAACTTTACATGCAAATACAATTGTAGGTACAAGCTGTTAGGACATGAATGAAATAATCCAAATTTGATTGACGGCGATTCGCGTTGCAACGGAAGCTTGCACTGCCTCTGCTGAAAGTGACATGGTGGAGCACCTACTGTCACAGCAGTGCACTGCAGAATCGTGCAGCGAAGGGTCAAGTCGTCAGTCAGTACTAGGCGGATGTACCATCTCGCTGGATTGCAGACTGATTAGGCTCGAAGTGGCCGTATCTTGTGGGTACGTGCGGCGGCCCACAAGAAGAATGAGGTGGTACGATATTCTGTCTGCGCAGGCACACATTTGTCTGTCTGAAGTAAGCAACGACAGGACAGTTTCGCCTAGGTCGTAGATGCTTTGGGTGAGTTGCAGTTGTCGGTCTAGGCTCCGTCGCCGAGGTCAAGGGAGTTTCGTCATAGAGATAGCGCATTCAGAACGGACAGCGGTATCATCCATGGTCTTGCTGACTTCAATGTCCATTTCCAGGGGACTCAAGATCGTCTGCGCGATTTGAACGCACCATTCGAGTCATATCAGGTCAAAGGATCTCGCGCTCGGGCAGCAGAATTTAGAACAGGGGCCTGCATGATCTTGCAGCAATCCTTACAAGAATACCCGTGTAATGCGGAAACCATTCATGGCTCATGACGAGTCTCGGGTGGTCGACGTTCCCAATGTCGCACTAAGGCGTTGTTGTAGACGCAGCACAACGCTGGGAATGTCATGGCATTGAATGCGTGGGCGTCTCGCTTCAGACCTCCGGCCTCCACGCGACAGCCCTTGACCCATGCCAGCTGCGAGAGTAGATTTGCCAAGGGAGTCACGTCGACCGTGTCCTCAGTCCTCAGGATGAATGCTACCTTGCAACCTGCAAAACAAGTCAAGGTTCATTGCACCTCGGGCAAGACGCAGTAACAAACCCCTGATTGCGATGGACGAATGCGATCTCGCATTCATGATGTGTCGAGATCAGGTTTGCAAAGCAGCTGAACGTTTCCAGCGACGTGCATTGGTGTTGTTTCGGGTGTGCAAAGCGCCTGCCGTTCGCTTATCGGGGGGGAGGGCGGCAACGAGGCCTGACTCAGCGCTTGGGAGTGTGGTTGGATCCACTCGTGCAAGGCACAGATCGAGATGCACAGATCCAAACGTCGCATTCGTCAGGAACGCTAGCGCAAAGACAAGGGAAATGGCATTCCCAAAGTAGATTTGTTCCGGTGGAATCTTTAGAGGGCGATGGTAGATGTGATTTGTTCCGGTGGGATCTTTAGAGGGCGATGGTAGATGTGCGTAAGAGCGCTCGCAACCCTCGTGTGGTGTCAACGGATGGGACAGTGAACCAGTCTTTAAGTGGAACTTGAGACGAAGGTATATGTGCTGGATACTAACTAGCAGTTGAGCTGACTGCGGGAAGTGGCGTCTTGCCGTGTGAGGCAGTGACTGGTTTTGTTCCGGACCAATGCCAGCATTCGCTTGACCATGGTATATCTATACCAATTTTGAATGTGGACGGCTTTATAGACCTGAATCTGTCTGTTCCTTGTGATTGGACCTCAGATTGTGGGTCAAGAACTTACCACCAACGTCTATGCCCACAATGAGACAGGAAATGTTGTTACCGGAAGGTACTTGAGCGCTTGTAAGTTTGAGGCTACTGCAAGCCGAGTTCACGAAGGCCACCTAGGATGCTGAGGTTGAGATGTGTACACTTGAGAATGCCTGAGAACGGTATGTCAGCGAGACGCGGAGAGAGATTGATACAGGTCAGGCTGAATTGGGTTGTCTCATCGGCTATAGCGAAGGCATGGAGTTTTTCTCTCAAATTGCCTGTGCAATCGACGACAGATGGGACTCTCGCTCCTGAGGCTCGGCTATGGATCTACACATATTGCACAGAACCTCTTTGCAAAGTAGTGGTGTTTCGCTCATTGCGTTATCAATCGTGTCCCTGCATCTCGGGGGCGTGTGTTCATATATCGTTCGATGGTTACGACCAGGCAAGCTGGGCAAATTGAAAATTGAAACCTTAATCGACCGATTAATCGAAGCCTGTCTCACGTCAAAAATGTTTCGACAATCCGAATATGTCAGAGTTGCCTCAGAGATGTGGTTTCGAATTTTCGCATAGGAGGCAGAGAAGTGACAAACTTTGATGGTGGTGGCTCCCGAGCTGTTGGAGTTTTCCAATACGTCGGGCCAGCCGCCATCGAGGCTGCCACAAGCGCTGGAATGCGGTTAATAGCTAGGTGGCTACGCAAAGCACAAAAATCAAGTAGAGCAGCTTGCGGGGAGACGATGCTGCGTATCGCACCGCAACGCAGAGACATCGGCGAGGACGAAGCCTGCAGTGAAGCCGGCGGTCATGGCAGCGGCCGCGAGCCTAACGTTTGATTGTCAGCGAAAGCGAGCTAGGCAGCAAGAGAGGATCGAAAATGAACGCGCGAAATATGCATGGTCTTCTGAATGCGGATGTTCAAGATTTGAGGTGGAATTCAGGAGTGAAGCATTGCGTTTGTGATGTTCGATGCAGCTGACGCGCTTGAGCGACAGGGTTGGCGGGGAAGGCGCGGATTTGCTTGGCTGCCTAGTGCCATGGGCAGGAACAAGTAGCCAGCTTTTCCAAAAACCCGCTCCAGTGGGATGAGCACCATTCACTGCGCACTGCTTCCTTCGCCATCAATAGGAGCGTTGTGCATATCGGTCGCGCTGGTAGACGAACCGCTGCTGAAGCCCTATGATGAAGCGGCTCTGTGTGTATCTCGCCGAAGAGGCTGGCGGCAGCATTTGGAACCGCTGACCCTTGCACGCCTACTGCGCCCGCTTCCCAAGTTGGATGCTCGAATGATTATCTGTACACCTCTAACTGACAGCCCGGGGTTTCCATACGACCTACTTCGTACTAGCCGCCTCAGGAGTTCTCTCACTGCGGCTGTCAGTCAGTGCGGCAGCCGCCTCCACGCTGAGTGAGGCTCGTCATTCGCCCATACAGTGGCAGCAGCCACTCAGCTTGTTTCAATCAGTATTAGATGGGCAATCAGCTTCATTTATGGTTCAATGGGAATTCGGGAAAGAGGCAGCTATCCGTAGCGGCAGCCAACCTGAGCCCATATCATTGTTTGTTCCCGTACCCACGTGTGTTCGGCCTGGGAACTCATGAGTCGCATGTCGCGTTGAGGGCACGCGAAAGAGAATGCGCTGCGAGATGCGGCCCGGCCAAGGACTAGCATCATGGGATCCACACCAGGATCCTTCGCGCGCACTAGGCTGATCTTCATGCCTCATCGTAAATGCCACTGGGCCCTGCGGATCTTGCATCGCGCATGCCTGCCGGTATTTTCTCTTGGAACTTCCAGGATGGCCCCTTCCGGAGTCGGTGACTGCGCAAACGAAAAACGAATTGTGTCTTATTCGCCAATATCCGAAAACACTGGAAGCGGCTCTTCCAATAGGCACGGATAGGTAAACCCATGATGATTGTCCCTATTGCGTCCAATAAGGCGCGGTTGGGGCGTCTGTCTCAAGCAAAACCCCCACATCTCTCAGCACCTGAGATCAGCCACTGTTCGTTCGTTCGTATTCTTGGGGAGGCACCCCGATCCCGTCCCGACCCTGGACAAGTGTGGGCGTCTTCAGATTGCATCCCTGATCCGCCGCACAGTCCCCCGGTGCCCCCATTCACTGCTGTGCAGATGGCATACCCCTCCCCTGTTTACGCCAACCCCCGTCGATACTCACTAAAACCCCTAAGCCGAACAACATCTGTGGCCTTCGCCCACCATCGCTTGGCTGCATGCGAGAGCGATGTACCCTGTTCAATCTGCTGCATGAGTATTGGTCTCGATCTCCGAACTTGGTCCCTGTATCCAAGGCTCTTCTTGCTCCACAACAGTCGTCATCCTTGCCCAGTTACGGGACACATTGAGGACTGAGCGAATTGGCCGTCCATATGTAAACCCCCAAAGCTCCCACCACCAAAGGCGGAACAAGTATATCTACATACTACCAACTGACACTATCCACGCCACTCAGCCCTTAGCTTCTCGTCAGAACTCCCTTGCAGTCAGCCTTTGGCCATTATCAGTGCTCATCTCTATACGCCTCCCACTCGACCATACCTACGAGGCACATCCCACTACTCCCCCACTGGTCTCTTAGCGGTGTGAACGGCTTCATCGACAATGACTACCATGGTTGCCTCTCATCCTGGTGACTTTTGGCATCAGCGCAACCAGCACACTTATCACATGCCCAACATGAGTCTTCCCGGCCTGATGTCTCCTTTCGAACCACAACGCAGTGTGAACAATCCACCGCCACCACCAAGGACGTATCATCAGACATCGTCCACAGTTGAGATGGGCCTGCCACTCTTCTCAACGAACGGTCTGACTTCGTCGATGCCGTACCAGTCTGGCGCTTTCGCGTTCGACCCCATTCCAGTAAACCCGTACAATATGCAGCAGGCATATCCTACGGGATACATAGCAGACGTGCCCCAGAACATCTCATATGCTCGATCGAGTCTTGTCCAGCAGATGCCTGCTCGTCAAGAGGCACACCCAACGTTCTGCACAGACTCCAAATCTGTCACTGCGTCACCTCTACATTCGAGTCCATCATTCCACGAATTTTCATATAGCGCAGACCTCGAACGCTCACGCTCCGAGCCAGCAGATGGCACCGGCATCAACTTTGCAACCGATGTCGACACTCTGATGAAAGCGATTCAGGCCAAACAACCGGAGTCGGTGCCAGTACCACAGGTCAACAAGGTAAGACACTCACCTGAGCTTCTCATTGACCTGCTAACACATATGAAGGACGAAGGCGAGAAGCCGATTCAGAAGCCGAGAAAGAGATACCAGTGCAATATGCCTGGGTGCGACAAGAGCTTCTACCAAAAGACACATCTAGAAATCCACGTTCGTGCACACACCGGTGCTAAACCATTTGTAAGTCGCTCTCTATCTACCAATCTTACATCAACTGAACTTGTCCAGGTTTGCAAGGCGCTGTCGTGCGGCCAACGCTTCTCACAACTTGGCAATCTCAAGGTACGTGCGCAGAAATCGTTTTGAGTATAGCTTCTGACTTGTGTAGACGCATGAGAGACGGCACACTGGCGAGCGGCCCTACAGCTGCGACATATGTGGCAAGACCTTTGCACAGCGAGGCAATGTGCGCGCTCACAAGATTGTCCACCAGCAAATTAAGCCTTTCACCTGCAAGCTTGACGACTGTGGAAAACAGTTCACTCAACTGGGCAACCTGAAGGTGAGATAGCATCTCAATTGCTTGTAAGATCTGTGCTGACAGCTATGAAGTCGCACCAGAACAAGTTCCACGCCGCAGCTCTCAGATATCTCACACAGAAGTTCGCAAATATCAGCCCAGGCGACTGGGTGTCGCAAGAAGACAAAGAGCTATGGGAGTACTTCGCATCACTGTACAAGAACTCCAACAAGGGCATCAAAGGCCGTGGCAAGGATAGGAGGATATCTGCCGTGTCCGGCTCTAGTGCCATGCACTCCACGTATGCACCCCTTCAGATGGGTTCCATGAGCAGGAACTTCTCCGGCTATCACCACCATGGCAGTGATCGGAGTAGCCGCGGCTCATCGCTGTCGTCAGATGCCACCTGCGGCACCCATCCTCGGTCAGATAGCAGCTACGACTACAGTGCACCCGCGCAGACTGGCTATCCACCTCAAGGAAGCGGTTACGATGACATGGTCTTTCCGGAGCGGAAGATGTACTGACATCTCACGCATAAAACTGGCGAGACCACACGACTACGGCATAAAAACACTGTCTCACGGCTGTAGCATTGAAGTGGGCAAGGTATGGAGAGTTTGAGGTCACTGTTGATGACATCGGGCAGCCTGGATGTTAATGATACCCACCTAGCGCAGCGAGGGTATATTTTTCTTGATTTCAATGTTTTCCTTGTATAGGCGCACAATTTCTCGACAACATCATCAACGTTGATCATGTGCGTCTGATTCTGTAACTACGCTGCTCGACGATACCCCATGTATGCTTACTCCCACTGTAAAGGGGAAGACACGATACCAAAGATAATTGCATTTGTCAAAGGACAACACATTCACCGTATCGCATCTCAACACCCCTCTTCCTCCTATCATCATAGAGTACCGGACTTTCTCGAACACTCGAGCATTTTGATGACCAGCCCTCGACCCAATCACCAACCCAACATCGAACTTTGATGCGTCACACGAAACGTACACAGGATAGCCTTGCTAACGGAGCGCGACCACACTCACCGCTTCTACCCGGTGCCCGCGGCTTGTACCGAATGAGTTCGGAACGCGCACGCCTCTTCCATTCTTACCCACTCATCCACCATCACCAGCCACTCGCTCGGCACAACTCCGTTTTCAATTAAGATGTTATATATGTGTGACGAGATCTCGGGATTGTGAGGCATTGCACAATCAGCTGTCCGATTGCGCGTATCTACATCTTTGTACGATTCAATCACTAACACACAACGTGGAGGACACATGAAGGCCATGACGGTCTGCTGACCCCGCCTTCGTGGGATCGATTTCGCCTTGGGCCATGTGGACTCGCAGGGCTGGACAGCGGAACCACTCCCGTTTGCCGTACCATATCTTGCACAATCCACTCAGTCGGTATGCGAACTCTACCATTACGTTTCACATCAAGACATCATAGTGTGGTCGCAGGCCTCCAGATGCTCACGTCATCTCGTAAATGACACTGCCTATCTCCGTGGTAGGGCGAAACCATGCGCCGTCCCAGCACACTGTCCATCCCGCGTTGCCGGCATGACCCTGCGGTCAGAGCTCCCCGAACATGCGGGTCGCCAAATCGGGGTGTTCGAGCAAGATCAGGCAGCCAATGAAGTATTGAAACACGCAAACCCGACAGTCTGGGTCGCATTCGCCTCCAGGGCACTCCCAGTTGGCAGGGCTGTGAATTCGGCGATGATGTCAAAGTGTTGCGCGAAAGCTGAAATGTGTGTTGGAGGAGCCAGCCCCCGAAGCTGGAAATGAAGGATCAAAGGAAGGATGGCGAACAGCCTCACCTCTATGGGCCCAAAGATTGAGGACGAAAACGTGAGGCATCGGCGGAGACTAATTGCAGATCTGTCGTTCGCGCCTGCAAATGGCCAGAACCATCATCGACAATGACGTCTAGACGTTGACAGGAAGCGAGTTTCGAGGCGTCAAGTGAGGCTTCGAGACTATCCATCCAAGTCGCATTGCGGCGAACGGCGCTTTCAAGATGAGTGGCCATGTCAAAGTCATGTCATGTGCGTGGAGTGGCCGTGGGGAGCGCGCAGGGATGAAGGAATGAGCTTATCAGCACAGGCCAAATTTCTGTCTTGGTCCAGCGGGACCGCGGCTGTCATGTTGTAGCGTCTTTGACACAGAACGCAGGAACTCCAAACCCTTAGACATTCCTTTTTGTCTCCGCATATTGCAACGTTTACACTACGAGCACGTGTGCAACGAGCTTTGCCTCGTTCACTCGTCATGTTGTCTTCATCAGTCCTCGTCACTGGGGTCTTCGCACGCTACGACCCCGCTCCCTGTCAGCGCAAAGGTTATCGCCCATACAGCACTGGGCTCTGCAGCGCACACATGGTCAATACGAGCCGCCAATAGAATGCAGAAGCTGGCATGTCAAGTTCCAGCTCAGCTTTCCCGGGCCACTCGGTCGGTTATCCATCTTCCGAGTCCAAGTTACCACTGCGTTGGGCCGTCGTGATTTGAATTGACCAGGGTGTGCGAAAGGGGACGCAGGCGAGTCAGTCAATAATGGGCAGCTGCTCGCGTTCGCATACAAGATTGAAAACAGCATCGAGCATCCTTGAACGTAGTGGGGTACATGTGTGCTGCGCAGCTCGATGATTTGGGAATGCGATGTATGATGTCTGATAGGTAGAGACAGATATCCTCGAAGGATTAGAGTGGGGGTTTCGTCTTACTCCCGCTGCCAGTCAAACAGAGCTCGAGATCTGGGACCCGCGATACGCTTGCCGCGGAGTGCAAAGGATTCAACAGGACGGCGAGGTAGGTGAAGGATGTGAGGTATGCAGAACGAGAACGCCGATGTTCCTCGGAGAAGCGATGAGTCTATGCGCCGAGACCGGTGAGTGAAAAGGTAGCTGTCATCGACGCTTCAGTAAAACCTTCCCCTTTGGGTAGGTACACTTTCTTACCTCGATTGTGCCCCAACATTGACGATTCCCAGAAAACGATCGCATGTCTCATCTGTCGAAAGGTCGCACGCTCACATCTTGTGTCTCGTTCCCTATGCCCAGTTCTTTCCTCGATCTCAGCGACCGTTGCATACACGCATGCAGGCACCCGCCTCCACTGCTCACACATGATCACAGCCACATGGGCGCACGTGCGCAGCAAAACGCCTCGCAGTGACACAATGGCAGCTTCATCTCGCCAGCTCCACCGAGATATGGAGAAGAAGCAAAATGCATCGTGTGTGCAGCCACAGTTCCACTTCACCGGTAGCTAGGTACTATCTCACTCTACCGTGGCTCACCTCTTCGAGGAACGCCTCTAGATAATCATGCATCTCTGCCACCTCTCTCCTAAATTAAAAATTTGCACAATGTAGTACAGTCTCGTACAAAGCCATTGTCTCACCCACGACCACCGCGCCGGGCCCGCCACCACACCATTCGTCACGTCGTGCAGTCGTGCTTCCACAGTCACCACTGACTCGGGCTCGCGATATCTGAGTACATGCTGACCTGCAGCATCTGAACGAGATGAGCGTGGCGGGCATGGTGACTTCCACGCATCCTGCACGCATTCCCCGAATGTCGAGGGCCCCGTTGCACAGCGCTTGACCCCGGCCCTCGGGTCTCTCTTTCCAATCTGCGGCTTCTTGCGTCGCCGAACACCGCAGTGAGTGTCTGTGCCCAGCTGCTTCGAGTTTGTTGTGCATTTCACGATGCTACTGCAGAATAGAGGAAGCCATAGGATACGATCCATATGCGCCTCCATCTCCGTTGTTCCAGCAGTGGCTGCAGGTGGGATCCCGATCATATGCGCTAGGGTGAACTGATACGATCGCCTAACCGCTACGTGAAGATCTGCTTTGAAAGACTCTTGCTGCTTCACGCTTCGGTTAGACAAATGGCTCAATCGTTGCGGTGAAAGCAAGAGAAAGTCTCAAACTAGGGAATGGATGGGACCAGGGCACCCTGTATTGATAAAATTGACAACATGTCAAAGCAGCACTAATGGAACAGTGTGATGTCTGCTGCGGTACTTGACAAGACCTAGGAGAAGTTCGGGAACACCAGTGTTCATTAAATGTTGGTAAGCTCACGATGAATCGTGCTGATGGCGTAAAATATCAAATATGTTTCTGTATGTATTATGCCACTACTATCAAAATTTGACCGCGGATTATCAGCAGAGCAAGTCTTGCCCTTCCCAGTTGACTTTTCAATCCCCTTCCTGCAGGTTGTACTCCTCCAGGATGTTGATCTGCAAGCCTGTTCCCTCAATAATGGTGCTAATGCGATCACCCATAAAATGGAAAAACGTCTCGTCGGCACTCAAGCGGCAGTCGCCCATTACATGGCACTTCTCGATCATCTGACGAGAAGACAATGCTGAGTGTGAACTTGTAGCCGGAAGGCCATCGTGACGGTTTGCTGAGCTTGTGGTGGTTGTCTGCTTCTTGACCGCTCGCTCCTGCCTTCTGAGCCACGCGGGAGCTGAGACCAGTAGCGACAAACCGGCGCAGCCCAAAGACACAGACACAGATGTCTGGCAGTACATGCCACGAATGTTTCCGAAACTGTACATAGTTTGAATTATCCACCGTTACAGTTGCCGGCCAATAAAGTGTTAGCTGTCCTTCTCTTGACGCGTCAAGGTGGAGGTGCACGCTCATAAAAGTGTGCTGTTGCGCATTAAGACATGCGATCAAGGCAGACGAAGCCCCGCATCAAGGGTGGAGGGATGTGATCACATTTAATACACGCTCAAAATGTCCTCCAAAGCCTACAAGCCTGCATCAGGCCGGCGATAACGAGATGCTGGAGGAATATTTCGATCGTAGAACTTGCTATGTAATCGCAAGAACATCTGCCAAGATCGTGATGGGTACCTCTCTTCAGTAAATCTACTCTTCACACCCTTCTCATCCCATCCTTCATCACCATTCTGGGTCATTCGCGCTGGCTGCATCAATTCACAGCGCATGACGAGAGCTATAAAGATCCTCATCCACCTCTCGCCACTGATGTCTGCGACTGTTCTCTATCCTGGCTATCAACCCAGAATTAGGACATCTTGCCCTCTTTACCCTCTTTTTATGGCCAAATACCCTATTTTTCTAAATATTTACCAAGCCTCCCGTGCTTAGCGGAGCCATGTTCAATGCGACAAGCTCTGTTGATGATGCATGTCAGACGTGTCAAGAGAATGTGACGAAGGTGGAGAACGCGCTTACCTACATAGTCAGGCTGCCCGCTTCCGAATTCGGGTCGTCGGTGCGAATGATAAAACCCCTCCTTCCCAGCAATTGCTCCTGGCACAGACTCGGGCCTCCTCCATGATGCAGTATGGCACAGCATTTCGCTTTCTAGACCTTCCAAAAGAACTCCGGCTGATGGTCTACGACCGCATCCCTTGCGTAATCGACCACTTGGCCCTATCAAGGCGCGACTGGTCGTTCTTTGTTAAAAAGCAGCTTCTCCACAGAGATTTGAATACTGTACATGGAGATGCAGACTCCAAACAATCCGTTACTCTTGTTGTGCAAACGCCTCCTTCCTCCATCCTCACCACGTGTCGCACTATCTACAACGAAGCCTTGCACATCATATCAAGAAGAAGGCAGCACCCAGTTTTAACTCAGCTCAAGATTCTGTGCGGCGCGGACTTCCTCGATGTATTCTCGCAACAGGGTGGTCTTCTGGACATCATTCTCAATTGGACGACGCCTCTAAACAGCTGTGCAGAAGGGCCCCAGGAGCTCAAGACCAACGAGAAGATTGAAGACTGGCTGCTGGATTCTGAGCTGGTTACCGTCGAAGACACAAAGCACTTCCAGTATTTCACGCTCACCCATGTCATCAACCAAGTCCAGCAGAACCTCTCCTCCCGGCACGCACTCCCCATCGAGATCTCACTCGTCCCTCACAACTTGCACATGCTCGAACAGTTCATGGAGATCTTCTACTGGCGAACGATGAAGAAACAGGGTAGAGTGACGATCAAAGTCGGAATGGCTGGTCCGCAGTACTATGACAACCCAGTCGATTCACACATATGGGAGGAGACGCTTAGCTACGTGTTGAAGGACCTCGATGATGCTATGGATATGCGAAGTTTGGTTTACGGGACAACTAGTGGGATGAAATTACTAAGGTCACTGAAGCTGGTAGGGTCGTTGAAGACCCGGTGGGATGCGGAGTGGAGTAGACAGCGGTAGCCATGTGTGTAGGAGACCAAACATCAGTCATCTCGGGGCCGTTCATCATGTATGAATAGGTTGTTGGGCTTCAAAATGCAACGCAACATATACAAGCTCTCGCGCCCCGCCTTAGGGCAATTTAGTCAATGCACAGTAGGCTGCAATGCCGTCAGAAGTCTCCGGCTTCCTTCACGATACTAGACTCGTAGATCGAGACCTTCTATGTATATGTCTCAGCTTCTATTCCTCGGCTGATTCCTCTCAGCACGAAGGAACGCTTCTCCAAAGCTGCCCACCCCCCACTCATCCCTCAATTTCAGCGGCGACGGATCTTTGACGACTGTCATCTCGTTCTCGAAGTCATTGAAAACATCCTCCGGGTCGCGAGTGATGGGAAAATTTATGGCGTTGGACCAGTTGAAGACAGCAGTGAACTCTGAGCTCGTATCCTGCCACTACGGGTCTTTGATGTCTGTGGTGTACTGACGGGCGTGTGAGAAGAGCGAGTCCACTGGGGCGCTGGGGTCTACCCATATGCCAACCTCGATCTTATTGTCCGTATAGAGATTGGCCAGGCGCGACCACATCTGGACCAGGACGTGATCGATCTTGCCCTCTTCGCTGTCCTTGGACTCGAAAATGCCTCGGTAGTGGTCCTCAATGGCTAAGGATCCATCACTGGCTTGCGTATACCGAAGACGGGTAAGCGCCGCAGAGACCTCACCCAAATTTTGGTAGTGGACGAGGATTCGAATCAGTCCGGAAGGTTTTGTCAACTTGAAGGGTTCCGTCCCAGCCTCCCGTTTGACGACTGCTTTCTGCACCTATAATATCGCTTGTTCGGGCAAGCTAATCACCAGTATCACGGTTGATTTTCTGGCTTCGTTAGATCTGATGGTGGTAAAGATCTTTTTGACTGCACTTTGCTGCCCTCGTCGCTCCTCCGGTCTCGGAGTTGACAGGCGGTAGCCATGGAGTGAGGTCAATCCAGAGGAAGAAGCCAGCGTTTCCACCTTCGAAGAATTTAACACCCATGACCTTCAGACGTCTGGTGATGAAGGCATACGCCTGCGCCAGCCTCCTCTTGCTTACTCCAACGATGCTCCTGACCCAATCTCGATCTTCCAGCATCTGCGTCGCAACTGCCACGCTCAGCCCACTCACTCCGCAGAATCTCTGCACCGCCGTAACTGCCTTCTTCAGCTGCTCATTGCGAGAGACGAGACAACCGATTTTAAGACCCGCAAGTCCAAAGTCTTTCGACAGGCCGTAGATGACATGCACAAGATCCGGATTGATTACGTCAGTAGGGCTGATCGAGAGCGCAGACGTGAAACACGTGGCGTCCGGAGCGTCTGGATTTTCAAAGACACTCAGCGCATAAATCTCGTCAGAGATCAAATGCAGCCCACGCCTCTGACAGAACCGCATAAGCTCGATCAGCGTCTCCCTTGTATAGCACCTGCCTAATTCTTGTCAGCATCATCAGTCCCTCCCATACCAGCATACTCACCAAGCGGATTATGCGGATTAACCACCAGCACTGCCCTTATGCTTATGTTTTGTCTCTCACACTCCTCCAACTTCCTCTCAAAAGCGTTCACGACCCCTGTTTCAAAGCAATCCTCGTGGTCTGTATCAACAGGCACCAGTCGTACGCCTGATTTGTTACCAAAATCGATTTCAAAACGCCCGTAATAAGGTCGACTAGTCAACACACCCTCACCTTCAGCACAAAGACTGAATGCAAGCACATCATGCAAGCCTGTTGCCGCAGCGGTGATCTTCACATCTTCGCCTCTCACCAATTCATGAGGAGCGAAGTACTCATGTATGTGTGCTGCAAAAGCAGAGGGCAGGCGTGAACCACCGCCTGTACCGAAGGCGTAGCGGAGAGCGGCCTGCGGAATAGGAACCTCGGCGACGAAGTCGTGTAGCTCTCTCTGAAACAGACAATTTTCTGCCGTGGCGAAAGAGATCAAACCGCGCGGGTTGGTAATGGGGTCGTAGGTGTGTGGTTTGGCAAAACGCCAGGGGATAGAGAGTTGGGCGGCGTTGGCGTGGCCGCGGGGAGAGAGCGCCATGGGACGATACTGTTGGGGAACTGTTAGAAAATCGCGTTGTTTAAACCTCTGTTCCCAACGGTTGGTGGCGTAGTTATATCAACTCGAGGTCAGTCCGAATCCGTGGTGTTGTTCGGAGTTGGTGATCGGAGTAAAGTGCTTGCTTATTAACGTGCTCATTTAGGCCATCAAGGTACGAACAACCAATGATCTGCATGACACCAAGATATTAGTGCATGCATGTCGTTGCATGCACGGAAGAATCCGAGTCGGTGACAAGCTGCGCGGTGAGGAATAATTTGGATGATTCCGATGTTTGTGGTGACCTTCTAGGATCGAGGAAGCTAAGATCGCAATAAACCAATGCGCACCATTGTCAACGCAGCCTCAAATGTATGAACAAGAAGAGAACATGGTCAGTAGTCTAAAGCAACGACTGAAAAAAAACGACGAGAGCCATAGCGAACATAACAACGTAATCCGTGGCGAGCCAAAGGCGCCTGAAAGATGCAGCAAGTAGCAATGAACAGCAAAACGCCTTGCGACTACAGCGCATGTACAAAATTAGGTAGATGAGCAAGACATTCCCAGACAAACCAACAGCTTTTGGTGGTATCATAAGTTCGTGGAGACGTCATAGCGCAAAAAGCAAAAGTGATGGTATCTCAGGAAAGAGGGTTTGGGCCAGACCTGCTGATGTCTGACAACTAGTAAAAGCGGCTAGCTCACGCCAGTGGGCAGTTGCGGTGTGGTCGAGTGTGAGAAACGTGGCTTCAGGTCTTGCTGCATGTGGGATGGGAACTTCGTCTCGAGGCCGTCGTCAAGGAGACCGATGCCGCTATCATCGTGGTGCTCCTGCTGGGACGCGTGGATGTCATAGTCGAAACTGAAGCTCATGGGATCATATTGTTGTTGAGCAGTTCGTCGAGCATTGACTGATGATCTTGTGTTAGTCAATTACCAAGCCGGTCAAGATACGACATCGGGACGCATACCTTCGTTCGCATTAGAGTTTTCCTGCATCGCCGTTGAAGTAGTGGACAGAAAAGACTGATCTGGCCCAAACTCGGCATCCAGGCTGCTGTATCTGCTTTCGTTGTTGCTCCCGCTTCCACCATTGGTCATGCCTGCATGCACAGACTCCTCGAGAACTGGCGAGTAAGAAGGAGAACTCCAGTTCGGCGGGCTGTGATCCAGAAATCCGCCCAAAGACGCGAGCCATTGAGCCATTTCATCGACGAAGACCTTGGTCAGCCACCAAGCCTGGAAGCTGATACCATTCTCAACTGTGATCTCTCGTACTGCAGCAGATCCAATCGCATTGATACAATGAAGGACAGTGCGAGCGTGCGTATTCGGGAAGCGGAAAGGCAATCGTGTGAGGAAGGCGGCGATGCGGTCGATGACGGATTCTGTAGGATCGGCGGGAGGGTCGGGGTACGTGGCGTGGTAGATGCTACCAGTCGGCAACTGGATGTCCTGTGGCAATGGGCCAAGCATGGGTCGGATCTCGGACATCAAAATGCGGTACACTTCTTCATGGCTACAAGACCCAGGTAGCTCATTGGCGATGACGCGCTTGATGTTCACGTGCGAGAGCCAGTCTGCGAACATCTGTGTGCGGTGGTTTTCAGCCGTGAGCATGACAGCAGCCGCGTGCGCGGCCGAGTTTACTCGTAGCATCTGGCGCAAGAGGTGTGCAAAGTTTGTAGCTGGCTCCAGCTTGGCCTCTAGGACGTGTACAGGTAAGGGTTGAAAAACTTTGCTGATGTGTGCATGGAGGGTCTTCGCGACGTTATCGAGGAATCTGAGGACGATGGGCGGTGCGACCTGCAGTGTGAGCTGGGAAACGTTCCGGATCATCTTTTGGTACATCATCCAATCGCACTCCTTGATCCATGGCGCGAGCTCTGGCGAGGCGAACAGTTTCTGCACTGGCACTGTCAACGTGCCGTGAAAGGTACCAAAGAGTCGGAAGAATTGCTTCTCCTTGCAGTACCGGACCGAGTCTACTAGAGACGTAACGTGGGAGCGGTACATGGCCGTTAAATTGTCCGCTGAGTCCGGATCAGTGCGTGCGGGCAGGTAAGGTGTGATGTCTGGAAGTTCAATTTCGAGAACATCTGAGGCTACAAGTACTTCCGCAGTTGGGAATTTCAGCTCATATTCGTAACAGGTCTTGGTGCGAGTGTTGGCTGGGCGGTACTGGTTCGAGTAGATATCGGCGAAGAGAAGCCCCTTGGATCCAGCTGGTGCATATTGTGTGGATGTCGACTCAATACCAGTATCAGGTGGAGGGAATTGCGCACTGTCAGCGGGCAGACGTGGTATAGAGTTGAAGTCGAGCTTCGGACCAGATGACTGCTGCCTCTTCATACTGTGGTGTGTTGTAGGACCAATGCTTGGTCGTCGAGTATCCTCTCCATCGTCACTGTCGTTGATGAGGGCGAGGTCGACGTAGTGGTATTTGGACTCTCCGCGAACACCTAGTCGTCGCGTTTGTATACCTGGAAAGATGACGCGTACGAGCTTGCCAAACGAGGCAGGGTTGAGAGGGATGACGCGGTCAGTACCACAACGCTCTGCGTACTTAGAGTAGACCCTATTGCGCGGTACGGACGTCTTTGCAGTACGGCAAACAGACTTGAGCCTATGAGATGTTAGTGAGTCGTTGTGAGACAGGTGTAGCACACTGACCAGAGCATAGCAAACAGCTGCTTGGATTTCTCCGCCTTCGACGTCCTGTCAGTTTGGATGACCTCTGCAGCCACGTCCTTCAGTTTGCGACCCTCGTTCTGCTGCAACATCTGGCGTAGTTCCTTGTCGTTCGTCGCGCTTCCTGACGTCGAGCCCTTCTTCTTTTTGTCCTCCACTTCGACAAGCGGTGTCATGTACTGCGATTGTGGCGGCGGCTGTGACATGGACTGGTGGTACACATGGGCGTCCATAGGCTGCGGTGGCATGCCGTTCGTATGGATGGGGTTCTGGTTGGCATCGACGGGATACCCGAGATATTGCTGCAGACTTTCCATCGACGTGTTCATCAGATTGTCCTGCGCGCTCGCATGCTGCGCGGCCTGTAGTAGGGCGGGTTGAAGTGGTTCGCCAGTGAACGATGTAGTGTATTGTGATTGCGAAAAGTGCGCCGGCCGTGGCGGTTGAGACTGGGAAAATTGAGGCTGGATGTCGTGCTGATCAAAAGAATGCACACTCGTCGTCGACGCGCGCGACAGCGGACGATTGCTTCTTGTTGATATTGAAGTGTTCGACCGCGATCGGCGAATGTCGGTGGCCATTATTGGAAATGGGCCGGGCGGCAGATGATGTTCTGTTTACACCAAAACAATGCGGTAGCAACGCGACCTTCGAAGCTACAAGAACGGCTCAAAGGTGCCTGGATATGTGTAGAAAGCTTTAAGAAGCTCTGCAAAAGCGATGCGATGCTGGTATTATTTGCGGGGAGGCTATCTCGAGTCCAGGGCGATAGCTCGATGTGTTGATGCAAACGTCGACGCGGGTGATGGCGGCAGCACGTACTGTAGTCCGGAGTGCGATGGGACTTGAGGTAAAAATATTAAGAGAAGGATATCCGGGACCAAGACGGCGTCGTTGGGGGAGGGCGAACCTCAGTATCGAGCTTTGTTATGGGGGAAGGCTGGTTGTTTACGGTTTTGCACCAAAGGTTTAGCAACCAGAAGTCACGTGCGTTCCAGCTTTCATGCACGATGATTACAACTCCAAATTGTCGACATAACGCTACAAGACTCATAATCTGAACATTGGTGTTCTATTCTGGCGGTACAAGCTTTTCACACCTGTAATCTCACTGTTTGCTGCAGGCACACGTTGCGAAAGCCGATCGTTCCTGCTGTTTGGCTTGTGAAAGATGACGCAAGTGGTTAGATGACATAACGCACGCCCACTGTGCCTTCCGTCCCCCCATAATTATCCTTCTCCACCCTCTTCCTTCAAAGGCCACATCGCCAGCACTCTATTCCAGTCACACGAGCACAAAACTCACTCCATCAACACGTTCCTAAATCTCCCACCAACCCCCATAACAATATCCATCATGTCTGTCCAGGATAGAGCCCAGGCGCACCTGTCGCAGCTCGACAAAGAGGTAAGATTATGATTCAAGGAGGAGCCTCTCGGGCGCGGAACCATGTTTGACACTATCGCGGCATCATTGCTTGTTGCGCATCCAAATCTGGGCAAAATTGGCTGACTTGATGGTGTGTCCCAGCTTTCCAAGTACCCCGCCCTCAACAACTTCGAGAAGCAGACCTCTGTTCCCAAGGTCTACGCCATTCTCGGTCTTGCCGGCCTCTACTTCTTCTTGATCTTCTTCAACATTGCTGGCGAGTTCCTCGTCAACATTGCTGGATTCATCATCCCCGGCTACTACTCGCTGAACGCCCTGTTCAGCGCCAGCAAGGTCGATGACACCCAGGTACGTTAGCAAATCTGCGGGTGTCCGCGCATGCTTGTTTTGGACATACTAACACACTTCCAGTGGTTGACCTATTGGGTCGTTTACGCGTTCCTGACGGTCTTCGAGAGCGCCGTCAACGCCGTCTACTGGTTCCCCTTCTACTACACGTTCAAGTTCGTCCTTATTCTGTGGATGGCTCTTCCCCAGACTTCGTAAGCCACGCGCATCAACATGAACAGACAACAACTGACAATCGACAGTGGTGCCCAGATCATTTTCCGCTCCTTCCTCCAGCCCGTCTTCTCGCGCTACTTCTCTGAGTCCGGCTCTACTGCCGCCGACCTCCGCGCTAAGGTTGACTCGGCTGGCAAGTCCCACGCCTCCTAAGCATCTCTTGTCCATGACGTGTTTCTGATGGCCGCATGACCAGGCAAAGAAGAGGTGGTGGACAAAACAGCCGGAGCGATAAATTGCAGCACAACAGATCAAGAACTTCTGATGATGCGGCAGATTGATCCTATACGGTGTGCGGCTATTGCGGCTTGGAGGAATCTTGCACACGAAATTATACGACCTATGAATTCTATTAGCGAGCGTAGCGGTTCTGGCGAGTACAAGAAGATATCCCTGCGCGTCACGATAAGGCTCCCTTCGACGACTTAATCGAATGTCTACGTTCATCCTTGGTTTTGGAATGTAGTTGTAAAGCAAGTTGTTGCATTTCCGGTTCGACATGATGCTTAGCTTGGACAAGTCGAATTTCAACAATGCATTCCTATCGCAACCTTTAATAATGAACAGAGTCCCTGTGACTGAACATACGAAGTAACGTATCATCGTCTTGTCTAGATTACCTCGTCTTTACTCTTACTCATAACTGGCAGATAAAAGTGCCTGGGAGGTCGTTGTGAACGAACCCGGGTGTTCACATCTTAGGTGCAGATAGACAACTTGTCTTTGCCTTCCCACCCTGACGACTGTCAAACCCACTGCATTCGATGGCATTTGTCGCCTTCATACAATCATAAAGTCGACTTTCACGATTGGCTCACAGCCAAATCTCCCAAATTCTCGATATCCCTGAGGAGCTATGTCTAGATGACTACGGTTGGCTTACTCGCTTGTGGCCGTTGTAACGTCACCGTCAATCTCAACAAAGCGCGATGCGGGCAATCCTGCGTACCTACACCCAAATCCCACCGATTTATATCATATGCCAACTTTTTCTCGACAAATACGCTGCAGGGACTGTATCACAGCTCGAATGTCCTACTCTCAGGCGCCATGTACCACTGCTGATCAGTTCTGCGCGGTCTGCTGACAAAACGGCGACAGAGGCCGGTCTCAGCAAGTCCCAGAATAGGGTTTAGAACTACACTGGTATTGTAGGTGAATTCGTTGGCTCTCTGTTCGGGGATAGTTCATATAGAGTCCAAGTTTCCATCGAGAGAGGGTACGTTACGGGCAGCGGCGGAGGGAAGTGTACGCTATCGTAGCCAAGATCGGTTCAAACACGAGGCATACCTGCGCCTCATAGCAGAACAATATGACCCCGACATTTAAAGCTACGGAATGTGCTTAAGGAGAAAGTTCAGTATTGTGTGGCGTCTCAGAAGAAAGATACTGGTAGGTCCACAAGGAGTTCTTTCATGCTGAGAGACCAATCAAATAAGGTTGCTTCTCAACATGGTCTCATTGGAAGTAAAAGACTGTACGACGACATGCAAGAACAGACTCGAGACTGTACAGGCGTAACAAGTCGAGGTGGAAGCAGCTCCGACGCTTGGATAATATGGCGCGCTTGCAGCGCAAAAATCGCGCCGGTTTCACTTTTTATCCTCGCCCAACTCCCACAAACCCTTCAAGTTCTACTGCGTGCGACGGCCAACACTTCGAGGCCAACCTATCTACCAACCATGACTTGCTCTCCTTGACCGGAAATGTTAGTAACGGCTTCCCAATATGGGCGACCCCGCTGCACGCATCGTGGCGCAACCATTCTCCTTTCTCGACCTTCCAAAGGAACTACGCTTCATGGTATATGGGCATTTACCTACCCGCTCGCACGTCGTCACCGTCGCCGATGGCCCCTTCGAGATATCCCTGATCAGTCAGGACGCTCTCCCGCCGTTCGATCAGGCATGCAAGCTCCTGCAAGTGGGAGCGGCGCCCATTTTTCCGATGTTTTCGTTAGATCACACAGCCGCCCCGAGCTGTCTTCGACATCTGCGGTACTGAAGTCTTGATACTTCACCACAGCCCGACCGACGCCCTAATGCATATTCTGCGGAAAGCGCGGGAGTACATATCGAAAGGCTACAATATCACAAAGTGTCACAAGGAAGTACAGACTTTCGTGAAGCACTCCTTCAGAAACAACGACACACTCTTTGAGTGCAAGTGGATCGAGCACAACATTGACTCTCGCAAACTGGGTTCTGAGCTTTCTTGACCATTTCATCCAGAACGGAGACTCGGGTGACTTGACCGTCGAGGTCGTTTTCTCTGATACGACTGTTACGGATGAAGATCTTGTGGATTACTTTGAAGAAGCGGATCCCGATCTGATCAGCAATATCTGGATCCATATTTACGAAAAGGCTCCCAACCTGGACATCAAAATTCGAAAGATCGAGGAGCCTGTAGGTGGTAAAGATCAATCTCAAGTTCTGTACAAGGGTGTTCTTGACGAGGAGGCGTGGGACCTGAACTGGGCTTGATGGTGGCGAGGAAGTTCGTACATTGCTCGCTACTTCCCGCATTGATGCGAAACGAGAACAATCTCACTGTGTAGTTGTACACTTACACTGTTTCCCAACCATGAGACAGCCTGGGATGTATGTAATGGAGACCACTTTCCTTCTCTCATTCAGAATATCCATAAGATTGCAAAGATATCCGCCATGAATAAGGTCACTGCAGAGCTGCATGAACCTCGTCAAGAAGTGCGGAACAGACATTCTGTTTTCTCGATCTACCACCAGAACTTCAAATCATCGTCTACGAATATCTGATCACCAAGTCCGCACACAGCATCAAGTTCAGATGGCGTGGCTATCACCCTGCTAGTACGAGATCTGCGGTAGTGAAACGGACCATTGCTCGCTGCGACCACCGTGAAAAGGAATTTCGGCTTGCAGAAGAACTCCGATAGTGATGGTGAAGCAGTGGAAGGAAGCTTGTAGTCAGACATGGCGTGCTGGGCAGCGTGATAAAGAGGTGTCTAGATGTGACTAAATAATTCCTTAAAGGATAGGAGCACCTGCCTTATTCCCAAGTATGATGTTGGTAGCTTCACTTCCCAAAGCTGCATGCATTTTCTCGACGCGTCGTCCATCTCCAGAACGATCACGCAACCACCACAGCCATCGCCACTCGCGATGCCACCGAGTGTCTCCAAGGTTATCGCTGAGCTTCCTCCGCAATCCCTCCTCATGAGCCGTCTCGCGCGTCAAGGTGGCCAGCAGCTCTTCCGCTTCCTACATCTGCCGAAAGTACTGAGTGGTCCGTACCCCCGCTCAGTTTTATCGCTGTTTCATCAGTGCAGAAACTAAAGACGAGCACGCGGAGGTTCTTCAAACGTTCTTTCGCAAAGCTTGTTCCAACACTCGTACAGATGCTGTACCGCGTCTAGAGATAGCGCTCCAAGGAGCGTCTCTCACGGTTAAGGAAGTGCACTACTTCGTCCATGACGTAGCGATTCAGCTGCGAGGCTACGAGAAAGACATCTCAGTCAAGGTGCTTAGAGCACCCTGCGCAAACATGAATTGTACTGTAGCGACGCTTACTACAGCTGCTGAAGGAGTTGATAATGGTGGGGTCATTGATGAGAAAACATGGAGGGATGTTTGGCTCTAGATTTGGTTGGACTACCTCCAGACCAAGTCGCGGAACGTTCTTAACCGCCAAGAGAAGTCGACTTCACAACGTTGAAGATTGGTGCATGGAGGCTCATCGATTCATGAAGAGGGAACGTGATCAGGCGAGAGTGGTGACGTCAGAAGCGTTGCGGGGCGCGTCTCAACGCGCAGGAACGACCGCAACCATCAGCTTTACTAGTTTGTGTAGCTGCTGCTGTACGACCGCCAATTTTGCTAGTTCCAATCCGCTTTGACTTGTGCCGTCCATTGTCTTTGCAAGTCATTGATCTGTTCACACTCACAATGGCCGACCAGCCCAACACCAAGACGGAGAAGAACGCCTATGTTACCCTCCTAACACGCCCCTCTTACCTCGCCGGCGCGATACTCCTCGCATACACGCTGCAGAAGCACTCACCAGAGACACCACTGATCATCACTTACACCCCCGACACCGTAGGCGAAGCCTCGATCGCCGCCTTCAAAGCCGAAGCCAAACACTCCAACATAATCGTTCGACCCGTTGAACACCTGCGACTTCCAGAAGATGGCACCAAGCACGGCATGGTGGCAGAGCGCTTCATCGACACCTGGACAAAGTTGCGCGTCTTCGATCTTTATGATCTTGGTTTCGAGCGCCTGTGCTGGCTGGACGCAGACATGATGATCTTCTCGAACCCATCCCGTCTGATATTCAACGCCGAGAACGACGCATACTTAGAGGGCGGGGACGGCATGCGGATAATGGCCACACACGTGTGCGTCTGCAACCTAGACCACGACAGCTGGGCGCCGAAGGAGTGGGTGCCGGAGAACTGTGCATTCACACACCTCACCAACTCCTCGCAAGTCCCTGACGTAACGAACGACCCCGAGACGTTCGGCCAATTCAACTCTGGAACCTTTGTCTACCACCCCTCGAAAGCACTGAGCGACTTCGTCCTCGCCAAATTCAACGAACTAGGCAACACCCGCCTGCGCGCCATGAAGTTCCCGGACCAGGACTTCCTCAACGAAGCATTCAACAGCCGTTGGAAGAGTCTGAGCTGGAGGACCAACGCGCTGAAGACGTGGCGGTACTGGCACCCGAACATCTGGGTCGATGACGAAGTCGGCGTTCTGCACTACATCGTGGACAAGCCGTGGGCTGCGCGGGTCAAGCCTGACGGCACGGCAGGATACCTAGGCAAGGACAGCGAGACGCACAAGTGGTGGTGGGGGGAGTACGAGAACTGGCAGAAAGAAAGGGTGAATCAGAACGAGGCTGGACTGCTTGCAACCGTCAGCAAGTACGCGGCTGCCGAGAATGGAGAAGACAATGAGGAGATGAAGGCCGTAGGAGGCGGCGCGCAGGACTTTGCGAAGAAGTGGAAGGATGGGAAGGAGGCTGATGAGCAGAACGGCGGGGGCGCGTTTCCACAGTTGCAGAGGAAGGTTGAGAGGGGGCACGGTCCTGTTGTGCGTGGGAGAGGAAGGGGAAGGGGCGAAGGATGGAGTATCATGGAGGCTTGATTGCATAGCAGGGCGTCTTGGAGTTGCGGTGGAGGAAAATACCCCTGAGTTGTGGAAGGGCCATGGACTTCATCACTGTTGAATTGATTGAATTCCAATTATCCAATCAAGTCAATGATCAAGCTTACCAAGTTAAGTTGCTTGTTGACAATTTTGCTCATCAGGCATCATCAGGGTGCTCGTCCCATCCTTCCGGAGATGTTGACATCAGAAGCGCATGGTGTAACCCAAGACCAATGAGTCCAAAATGTCGTTGGGCTGGTCCTGCATCATCGAGACAGGTTTTCATCCTGTGATTCATGTGAAGGAGGTCGGAGCAGTACCGGTAGGGAGCCGATCTCCCGTTCCGGCAAGAACCTCGGCATTGCCCTCCACGTCACGACACAGCTGTACAACTCTCCACCAGCAACTCCTGCATCTCGCCTGTCCTCTTTCCTCAAACAATCGATTCGCGCAGCAAATATACATGGCCTTTGCATACGACTGCTAGACCGTCTCGTCCACCAATCGCGCCCTGCACACCGAGACGTCCGACCTGCCCACGCGACCCAGCTTCAACGCGAAGCTCCGGGCATCGCACCCCCACAGCACACGATGATACAATCAACGCGCAACTGGCTGCGGCGCAACCGCGCCAACTTCGCCATCGGTGCCGGCGTCGTCGGCACGGCATACCTCGCTGGGCAGTATGCGCTGGGCAAGTTCAGCGAAGCACGGCAGCGCATGAGCGAGGAGCGCATCGCGAAAGAGAACCTGCGCCGGCGCTTCGAGCAGAACCAGGAAGACTGTACCTTCACAGTGCTCGCGATCCTGCCGACGGCCACAGAGAAGGTGCTCGATGCGATACCCGTCGAGCAGGTGCTGGAGGAGCTGCAGCGGCAGAAGGCCGAGCGTCTGGCGAGGAGCGTGGGACCGAGTGAGATTGCGAGCAGTGCACCGCCGAGTGTGGCTGATGCGACGGAAGACGGCACCCGGAGCAGCGTGCACGATTCGGAGAGCTACGTGCACGCCAGCCAAGTCGCGCTGGACGAGGCGAGCGCCGTGTCTGGCGAGGCTGGCACCGAGGCGGCCGCGGGCGAGAGGGCGACGGCCAAGGCGAGTCGGAAGAGCAAGGCACAGCTGTGGAATGAAATGAAGATAGGCTGTGCGCTGCCCCATCGCTATCACGACTTGACTGCTGACGTGCCCAGCCATCACCCGCGCCTTCACGCTCCTCTACACAATCTCCCTCCTCACGCTGCTCACCCGCATCCAGCTCAACCTGCTCGGCCGCCGCAACTACCTCGCCTCCGTCGTCTCACTGGCCGCGCCTCCGCCCGCCGACTCGGCCTCCCGCATCAACCTCGAGAACAACGACGACGACAACTTCGAGCAGGCCTACGGCAACGACTTCGAGACGAACCGGCGCTACCTGAGCCTGAGCTGGTGGCTTCTGCACCGAGGCTGCATCGACTTGATCGAGAAAGTACGGGTCGCCGTGAAAGACGTCTTCGGCCTGCTCAACCCACGTGAGGAGATTACAATCGAGAGGCTCAGCGAACTGACGCTCGAAGTACGGAAGCGCGTCGAGGGCTCCACCGAGGAAGAGCGACGGTAGCCGACCCCCTTCCTGACACCCCGCATGGTGCAGACCACTCACTAACGCTGATGGACAGGACATGCAAATGGCTGGCCTACCTACTCCCGCCGCCCGACCAGGAAGACTTCGTCCTCGCCGAGTCCGGCATGACGTCCTCGTCGCAGTCCACCTCGCCCACCACCACCACCTCGCTGCGCCGCCTCATCGACGAAACAAGCGACATTATAGACTCGCCCGCCTTCACGTCTGTCCTGACCCGCCTGCTGGACGCGTCCTTCTCGCATCTCATCGACGTCAAGATCAGCCAGCTGTCCTACAAGATCCCGCCCATCAGCGCCGACAGCGCCCGCGTCACCGAGATTGTGGGCGACGGCGTCAAAGCCAAGGTCGCCAATTCTCTGGCCGTGTTCTGCAGGCAGGCGCACAACATTGGTGCTGGGGCGAACAACGAGTATCTGGAGAAGATCGAGCAGGTTGGCGAGCTGGAGGCCTTTGCTGCCGTGGTGTACAGTAGTAATTTCGAGTTTGAGAGTCCGGCGCTGACGACTGAAAGTGCAACGGGTGCTGTTGCGACAGATGCTGGGAAGAGTGAGTTGCTGGACCTGAAGGAGGAGGTCAAGGAGAAGATTGAGAAGGCCGAAGAGAGCTTTGAGAGCGCGTGGGACAAGGCGGTTGCCAGCTAAGGGCTCGTGGAGCGGAGCGAGCGGTGCAGCGCTGGCTACAGTCACGGAGATTGGGCTACGTTGCATCCGTACATGTTGTATGAATGATACCCGATGACCAACAATCCGCCTCCCTAGTTCTGTGTTATTCGTCCCTCGTGTACGCGCTAGCGTCATATCAGTCTGCCCGCACCTCAGCGCGTCCTCCTCCGCCTATCTTCCACTACTCCATCTTCTACGAAAATTCCAGGCTATCCGCGCTCGCAACCACCACACCGCGAACTCGCCTGAGTGACGCGTACCTGCAAGCCACTCAAGCGCGAAAGCCTCCACGTGGAATCGATCGCTTGTCGAACTGTATCACACACTCGTCACCGTGGTCGATGTCGATGCGAGCTCGTTCGTGCATGTGGGCGCCGGTACTGGTGCTGGTGTCGGTGTGTCCGAAGAGGGCGACTCTGCGGCTTCGACTGTAACTGCGTCCATATTCCGCCTGAAAAGTTGCCGTCAGCTCTGCACTGCCACGAGGCTTTGTAATCGAACATGCAAGCGCAGACTTGGCCAAAGCATATAACCGGTGATTTGCTCCGGGACACAGCAAGCTCCTAGGTCGGACGCCTAGTAGCCGTGGACATGACGCGATCTTTGTACGAATGTGTTGAAATTGAAGTCGCTTAAACGAAACGTTCCAGCGGCTCAGAGACTGCCTGATGGACCTGTCTGGCAAAAGTAGGCCGAATCAAAGTATAGCTTGGACTGAGAAGAGAACATAATACTCCTTACCTGGTCATGCACGGCCTGGTTTTGGATCCTTGGGGCTCCGCTGCGGCAGCAGGGCAAAAGAGGCGAAAGCTCTTACAGGAAGGAATCCCGTGCACGATGTTCAGGTGTCCAGTAAGCCTATGTTGGCTGGAGTTCAGGAAAGAATGGCTTGTAGTTGCGAGCTTTCGCTGAACACAACGAGCAGGGTCGTGTACGTATCCTTTGCAAGTTGCCTTCGCCTGACAGGATAGATCCATGTGTTTCAAATTAGGTCAAAAGTCCGCGCATCTCAAATCCTGCCGGTGCCTTGTGGACTGTCCTGGTCCCACTGGTTGAATGACGGATATGCAGATGGAAAAAAATCTGGTCCTTGCACGTAGATAGTAGGAGAGTTCGGGAATGCAGATCCATCTTGGCCGTCAAAATCGGATTGAAAAGAACCCATGTGATCCGCCTGGACTACACCCGGTCGGTCGTAATCATTCCAGTAGGGCGACAACTGGTGGTTCGGAAGAATGCCTTGATGTTGCTCAAACGAAGGTGACTGATCTACGTACCCCGAAGAATCGTACTGACTGTCTGTCCCGACTAGCCATTGAGTCTGGTTCGAGGCGGTTGGCGATCGCTCGGACGTGTTGCTTGTACAGCGGCTTGGATGCTGTGATGCCACGGCACATTGATGGAACGTGTCGGGTTCGTGGCGGTATGTGCCGTAGGTCTGCTCGACTCGGATGGCTTGACGAGGCATAGCATCGCTCATGTCGGTCTCGAGTGAGATACCTCTGTAACAGGAGTAAGCAATGTGATCTTGAAGTCTCGTCGGACTAACCTTTGAAAGCTCTCCGTCGGTTCTGTGGCATCGTCAAGTGAAGTTTTGCTATTCATGTGTCTGCACTGAAGAACATTAGACCAGGTGAAGCTGTCAACACTGTCCAGACATACCTTCGCCTTTGTGCGTTTGCATTTAGAACATGCTCCTCGTTGCCTAGTTCTCCTGTACTCGTGCTTTTCCTCAGACGTCATCTTTCTCTTTGTCTTCTGATGCATAGGCCGCCCATCGAATGCACTGAAGACGAGATTGGTGCTTGACGTAGCAAGAGTTGGGTCCGCGGGTAACGAAAGCGAGGAAGCGGCCTGTACAGCTGAATAACGCTTATCTGAGTCTCGATGTGTTGAAGAGTTAAGTGAGCTTGCTGGAGAAGCAGGCGGTGCGCAGAAGTCTCTCGAGTCACCGCCACCGCATCCGTCCATCTGGAGTTCTGGTCGAGTACACTCTGGACTCGGTGGTATCTTCCCAGGTGTTGCCGCAATGTAGTTCAGGCTCGTCTGCATGTCATTGAGTTCCTGTCGAAAAAATGCAATGACCGCGGCACATTTTCTTTCGCGCAGGGTCCGATACTGTGAGAAGGAGATCTTGAGAGCTTCGTTCAATTCATCAGTACCGATTTCGTGAGTAAAGACAATGCCTTCCCAAGGAGCCGTTTGGTCGGTAGTCTTGTGTCGTCGTATGATGGGGATAGAAGACATCGTCGTCATCGAGGATCTTCAAACACTCAACTTCTCAGTATAGATTACACGATAGGTGTCATTTTCAGTCCGAGTGAGCGGGAGATGTCTGTTTTGAGGAACTGTCAGAATCGTCAGTCACATCGCGCTAGTGATTAGCTCACAGTGCGAGAGCTCGAAGATGCTTCGATGGAATGAAGCGATGGCTCAGATACTTCTGCAAATGAGCTCATGCAGCCGTAGCGGGCGGGTGTAACACCGCGTGCTGAACAGCCTCAAATATCGATGGCCATGGTCCAACACATCTTGTGAGCTTCAAACCAACAAGTCAACACTAAGGTTAGGTGCTTACGTGAGTAACATGACCAGGTGGTCTGAAGTAACCAGTCGGCTCTGTTGGCAAATCGTGAAGCTGCAGTCACGAGCGCGCAGAAGGGAACACGCGATGAAGGGCTGCGGAACATGGAGGTCTTAGCTCTGATATGCGTTGTTTTGAAAACATGGGGGACATCGAACTGAGCAGGCACCCATACATTTGAATGCGTAAAGAAAGCGGAGTCCACTTCTGGCGAAGTGCTGCCGCTGTAACCCAATGCAGACGCCGGTAGGGGGACGAGTCGCGCTGGTGTCTGCTCATCTCCATGAGCGATTCGTCTGAATTGCATTATCCGGATAACCTCAGGCACAGAAGATCCGTTGCGTTCGAATGACGGCCGTTGTGAGGTGGAGGACTCCAGACTAAGAAATCGAGGCGGAAACGATTGGTGCAGCTCTGTCAGCCTTCTCTGACATTGGGCACAGCAAACTGCTTGGGCAGTAACGCAGAAAAGCTGGACCGAATCAGACGTTTTGATTGTATATTGCTTGAACAGAAGGAAGCCTTTCAGACGGGTCGTCTGTGTGTGTTGACGAGGCATCGAATCGCGATCATTCCAAGCCCGCGAGAACGGAACGAGCTTGCCTATGCGTCAGGCGACACACGACGCGTTGCCGCGTCCTGCAAGCTTCCCATCTTGTGGGCACACGCACGTGGCGATGAGCATTCGAAAGTATTGAAGAGCAAAGGATGAGGTTCATAGGACATGGAGTTGGCAGCCGTCGTCGCAAGTTCCAAGATCTCGATGGAGCCAAACAAGGCTAGGATGAATCAGGCGAGATGCTATGTTATGAGGCTGGGAGGTTTATGCTTCTTTCCACAAGTAAATTCCCAAGGGGATATATTTGAAGATGCTCGAGTCAGTCCTGGAAATGAATGCCACTGCAAAGAAAAGCCAACCCCATATTAGATGCATTATAAGATAATGCTAGATCACTATTCGCCAGTCTGTGACGCATGGCCTGTTATGCTATTCAAGCATTACTCCCGTCTCCGACAAATGTCGTTCATCTCTACTTTTCCACGGTTTGACGCATTTTGCTTTTCGGGCTCACAGCAGCCAACACCTATGTGCCGATCTACTACAGATCGATAAGGTTAGGAGCCGGAGCCTCATCTTCAGAATCCTCCTCGCAGCGAATGGTCCGACGACCAGCATAGACGCCTTCATCTATGCAGCCTACCGTGACTGCCCTGGAAGCGTTTGAGTTAGCCCGTGGGTTCGACCTGCTCGCGGAGGTACCGTGGGATGTTGCACCGCTTGACGATGAGCCGCGCAGCTCGCCAGCGAAGGTGGGGCGGGGAGATACACAGCTACCGTAATCGAAGATTAGCGAAGCTCATGCGCAGCAGTGTGAATACTTACCTGCGAGCCGCCTGCTCCTGCTGTACATCCTGCGTCTGCTGCGCTTCCTGTGTTGGTGCCGGAGGCGTCTGCTCCAGGCGGGCGACCGCTTGTGAAGAACGGGACGGATTTGCTTCGTTGCAGAAAGCTTGACCATGGCCGCGATGACTGACTACGTTTGCGGAAGCCTCGGGCTCGCCCTGAACAGCGGCTACCCTGGTACCTTCCTCCATCGACCTGCGGCTGATCACCACTCCGACCGCAGCTTCAACCCTTTTAGATGGTACTTCCATGCGACCAATATCGAGGCCGACATTGTGCGGATTTTCGGGATGCGTAAGATCGAATAAGAGAGCGACCTCCGGGCTTCCAACCGCGATACTGCCGTTGCGCACGTTGTGCAGGACGGTCAGGGTACGATAGCAATCAGCATAGCCCTTCAGGAACTCTTGCTTGAGCTCATCCTTAGAGCTTTTGGCAGCTCCAAACTTCTTGCCCTCAGCAAGACCACGTTCGTACGCGCCTTGTGTGACTTTGACGTCCGGGACCTTGACTTGCATATCTCGTGCAGCTTGTTCGCGGATCTCGTTTTCAAGAGCATCTCGGATGAGACTCTCAAATTGCTGCTCTCGGACCTTCTGAGCTGCGTCTTGATGGCGGAGGCGCTCGACCTGAATGGAGATTTTACCCCCGATGTTGGAGAGCAGGTGCTCCATCCTCAATTCAACTTCGCGACGCAAATTCGCTTCATCAATTGAGCTCATGGTGCGGATGCCTTGCTGCTCGAGCTCCCACTTGAGCTGCTTCTGCCCGCTGGCGAGGTATATCTCCAATTGCATGATCTTCTGCTCACGATACTCCAGGTCACGTTCCTTCTCTTGCATTCTCGCCTTTGCAGTAAGTGCATCTGCTTGCTTCTGAAGAAGATCACTCAGCATGTCGGCCATAGCTGCGCTGATGCTCGCCTGTTTCTCATCTCTGAATGTCTTGCGCGTCTCAGCATGAACCTTGCGCCCGACTTCCAGGTCGCTGCAGGCTTTCATCAGCTGGGCCTTGGTACGTTGTAGCTCATCGTAATCGAGCGGAGGTCGAGAGGGGAGGTGACCAGCGGGTGGATAGAAGCCACGAGGTGCGCGAGATACGGGCGCGGGACAGTGTGGCTGAGAGTATTTAGCATAGCTTAGTTTGAGGGAATCAAAGCGACTTGCCCTCGCTCCCAAAGCGTTCGAGTGTTGGACGTTCGGAACCTTGAAGGCGGGGCGCATGTGAGGAAGGACACTTCGAGAAGGTGTAGCCGCGGCAGGCTCGTGCCTTTGCGATTCAACCGCAGTATCTTCTTCATCACCAAAAGAGTGGTCTTCACTATCCTCAGAGATTGCCGCCTTCTCCGCGATAGTGCTGTTGTGCGCTTCACCAGCGGCCTCGTGGCATCCTTCGATCTCCATACAGCTACCCGCTCCAGGCGCAACGGTCGGCTCTTGCATACTGTCTAGGAGACCCTTAGTGGTAGTAGAAGTCGTCATTGTACATTCCGGTGTGCAATCCTCGTCAATGATGGTGGCCTTGATCTTGTCGGCAGTCGTCAAACTGACGTTAATATAACTATCATTCTCTTCGCCCTCTTTCAATGGAGTCTGTAGCTCAACGGGTGTCGCATTGACATCACCTTGCTCGATAGTGACATCCATATCTGTAGCATTGTCTGAATCTAAGATCGTCGGTCGATCGGATATGTCTGCAAGAGTACTGTCATTCTTTGCAGCGGTTGCCGATTGAGAGGTGTGTAGAGTCGCGGAGTTGACCATAGCTGGCGTGTTCTTCGTCGCGTCCGGGGTGGTAGTGGTGCTAGAAGAGTCTAATTCGGCAGCAGGCGTACTCGGTGGTTTGTCAATAGTGGGCTTGGGTGGAGGCAGCGTGGGAGATGGCGACTCGAGCGACTTATTGACATCTGGCACGGGTGGGGAAGCAGGCTCCTGCATCGCCGATTCTGCAGGCATGACTGACTCGATATGTGTATAGCAAGAAAGCAGGAATCAGTGATGGCGAGTACCTAACCTAAGCTAGCCATGTCGTCAAATGTTGACTTGCTCGTGTGTTGTGTGGAAGAAGAAAGCAGGCGTTGCAACGATGTGTGATAGTGCTTTTATTTGTGGTCTCGCAGCGGGGGTTACGGCTTAAGCAATGAAGACGCCCGAAGTAAAGGTCAAGTTGACTTGTGCTCGGTGAGTGAGCGGTGAGTGGCCACACAAAATGATATTCGCCTTCGGCAGGGGTTCATCCCAAGGTCTCTTTCTGTACGTGCAGTCGAACACCAGCTTGCTCAAAAGCGTGTGCGAGAGTCAGTACAGGCAATTCACAAGCTGCTCTGACACACAAAGTCTTGAAAGCAGGCAAAGAAGCCTTGCAATCTCTGGCCAGTTGCCATAAACAGACAGCCTCATCGAGATCGAGTACACGCCCATAGAAGAACTCCTCACTGGCTTCCGTAAGTATTGTCATCTGCTGCAGGCTTTCGGGCAATAAAGAAGATATTGGGGGGTCCAATACCTCGCCTTGCAAGTCCAAGAGCGAGCGGCCGGCGCTGAGGAATCCGAGATCGCTGATTTTCACCGATCTCAATGCCTGCAAGGGTCGCAAAGAGCCAAGCAATCTTACGTTGGCGTCGCGACGCAATGAAAATCCAACTTCTCGCCAATCTATACTCAATGTTTCTAACGTGTCCGCATGAGCCAGAAGGGCGTCTTGAAGTATTGATGGATCAACGTAAACATCGTTGTATAACGCCCATTTGCAAGTGAAGTGTCGAAGACCCTTGCATGCCAACACTAGATCCGCCACGTCATCTATGTCAAGGCTGTTCTCAATGAGGTCCAGTCGACAAAGATTCAAAGTCTTGCTCGAAACCAGTGGTAGGGTGCCAGGACGGTGTGTGATAGCGCCTGATATCCGGAGGTCTTGGAGCACAGGGAAAGACCGCAAGTGCTGTATTAGGCGCTCAGACACTGAAATATCTGGAGAGGTGGACCACCCATGAGCGTGGATCTGAGCGAGAAGGTGCCTAAGCTTCGAAGTGCTGTTGCGAATAGTGAAGCCTTGAGACATGTCGAGGAAGTGAGTCCATAGGGAGACATCATCATGCTCCAGGCTGACAAGACAGATATGTTCAACGTTAGGCGCAAGTAATATCAGACCTGCAAGCAGCTGGAAGTAAGTCGCTACTGGCCCCCGCTGGAAGACCTCGTCGCCTTGAAGACTGCTGCCTTTGTAGTCGGCGAGTCGGTTCTCAAAGTAGTGCAGAAGCTCAGATAAATGCCTTGATTGACCCAAAGTGTGGTTGGAACTTGTCAGGGTTCTATACAGAAGTTTCAGACTTGTCAGCCCGCTTGAGCTGGCGCAGGTAATACACGATGAGTACAGAACCGGCAGAGCAAGACGCCGCAGGCGATGAGAAGTCAGACAAAGTGTGCGCAGTGCCTGCTGCCTGATGTTGTTTTCGCATTGCCTTGCTTTCTCAACCTTCTTATTCTTGAATGCCACAGATTGGGTTTCGTAAGACCGGATGGCTTCAAGGTAGCGTAGAACCTCCAGAAGTATTTCGTCTGGTAGTTCGCACAGCAAAACCATCCCGAGCTGGACCGAATGATGATGGCCAGATGTGCGGTATTTACGAGAATGGGACTGTTAAGTGCTGAGAGTGTATTCTGCTGTGTTTCTAGGAAGACGCGACTTTGAGCTCCCCACAACCGGTAGTTATAACTAGCGTGGTCAAATTTTGACTACCTAGTCTGAAGATGGAAAGGACTAGGAACGCGTCCTAAATGCGACCAGTCTACTCAACAACACTCACTCTGGCATCAAGGCATCGCGCAGCGACAGAGGAATTCAATGAGGCGCGATACCAAGGTGGGGCTTCTGTTTTCAAGGCACCATGTCATCAGTTACACGAGGCACGTGACGGGAATTGGATGCATAAGTATCGCTTGATCTATCCTTTCGCCCGTCGCAAATAGGCATCGCTGACCGAGTGAGAGACATACTGTGCACTCGTTAACGTACTGAACCTCCTCTGCAGCTCCAAATAATCGTCTAAGTAACCCTTTTCCTTCAGTGGGTAGCCTAGATAACCTTCCCAAGAGTAAACCCGGATTGGAGAAAGTAACGCGTCAAAGACCCCGAAACTGTATGTGCTTAGTGGAAGCATAAAGCATTCTAGCGACCGTGATTACTTACAAGTCAAATGTTGTTCGTGTTCAGCAAGATGCTGCGCTCTAGCAGCTGAAGCCTGGGTCCCGAGTACGGCAGCAGAAGTTGCCGTCCTTCATGTCACACTGCTGGCCGGAAGTGCAGCGGTGAATCAGCTTCCACTCACCGTCCTCGCAGACAGAGCCCTGACGCTCGCGGGTGCACTTGCGGAGTCCCTCTTGACCGCACTTCGAAACAGCGAGGTCAACGATTGTCGCATCGCCGCTGGCGAGAGTGGCGGACTCCACGGTGGCTGTCGGAGGGCACACGTACTCGCCCTTGACAGGGTCAAACTTGCAGAGCTGTGGTGCGACATCCTTGGAGCAGATGTACTCGCCCTTCACGGGGTCGAAGGTGCAGATAGGGACTTGAGGAGATGGTGCGGCGACGACGGCAGCGGCGAAGCTGATGAAGGAGACAACGATGGTGAATGCTTTCATGCTGAGAGGTGGAACTGCAGTCAAGGTTGAGTTGATTGTAGTTTCGGTTGTAGATGAGAGATGGGGTCAGGCTGGGGAAGTTCACGTACAAGAGTAACAAACGGTGACTGATACTTACGGACAAATTACTGCTTTCACTTACCCTCTGGGTGAAGGTGTTGAGAACTTGACAGGTCTCTGAGTCAGTATGCTTGTGTACATCATACGAGCTATCGGAAGTGATGCTCTGTCTGCAAAACCGTGTTTCACTTCAAGATGTAATTACAACCTCGAGAACGGGTTCAAGCTAATTTCAAAACGGAATGGTCCGCTAGGTGTGGGTGGTAATTATTGCCCGCGTCGAACTTCAGGCTCAGCCACGCTTTTAGGTAACAGCATCATACCCATCATTCTTAAGCCAAACCAAGAGTGCTGTCCCTACTTCTCTTCTGAAGTATCTCAAGGACGTCTCAGAACATGTGCCTGACTAGCTAAGGCTCTCAGCAGAAGCGTAGTCGCCACAAGCCCTGCTGAATGAAAAGCTTTGCGTTGACGCGAACCGGAAAACTCGAAAACTTCGCGATGAGCATCGAATCTGGAGTCTCCGCACACGTAAGTGTGATGGGAGCTGAAACAGGTACATGCTACGTAAGCGAGCTTCCAGATGAGCTTCTTGTTGCCATCGTGTCGCAATTTCAGGTCCAGCGTGGATTTCTGGCTGAGTCAGAAGCTGAGGAGCACTGCTACTGCAAGAATGCAGCCATTGTGCGTGGTCTACATGCGCTGACCTTATGCTGTCGGAAGCTCAACGCTGTTACAACACCGTTTCTATACCAATGCATTATACGGACTGAGCAACTCATGGCGCAGTTACTGCGGAGCCTTCTCCAAAATCCGAATATTGGTCGACACATCCGGTATTTTGAGGCTACAACCTTCCAGTATTACGACCTTGAGCTCAATCTTTTCTACTTTTTGGAAAGACTGACCGGGCTCCCTCGCAAAAAAGTACTTAGAACAGATAGGAAGCGCGGCATGGATTTTCCCTGAACCGAATTCCGCGGCAGACGCTACCTTTCGAGCTGGGAAATCAGTACCGGGTTTCGATCCAGCTTCGATTTAGGTGCCAACGCTCGAGAGAATACAAAGGCAATCTGCGTTGAGTTGCCACAGCGTTCTTGTTGTCCTACTTTCGCTCACCGATAGCCTCGAGGATGTTGCGATTGAAACTGCCGGAGGCATGGCAACATCATAATATTGGCTCTGATGCAGTTTTCGAGACCAGGCGCGTTGAAAAGGCTCTGGACTTGGAGCGAAGGTCGTCAGTGCAGTGGGTATATGCTGCGTTATATGTGCTCTGAAGCCAGAGACCTGACTGGATCTCTTGCCCACTACCTACGCAGCCTCTTCTTGCCCCGGGCTATGTGGTCCGGGTTCGGACCACTTTCTGCTATGGGAGAGGTTTCTTTTACTTTACAGGACGCCTGTAACGGCTTAATACACCTCAAAGGATCCAGTCCGTTGAAGGCGTTTAGCTGCCGATGGCAATGGACAGACAAGTTCAACCCGTGAAATCCTGTCGAACTACCCAGACTTTATCGGCTGTTAGTAAGATTCCAACATAGTCTGACCCACCTTACTATCGACACCACGGAATCAGCTTGGCGCGTCGATCTCGACACGTTCGTGCCAGCTCTCGGTAGCCTGCGCGACTTCAAGGCTGTGACATACCTCGACGTTGCCGCTCTCGTACTTTGGGGTGACGGCGATTTCTGGGAACCTGTACCACTGTCTAAACTCCTGCCCGAGTCTCTTGAGAGCTTGATCCTGAAAACTGAATGGGACGAAGATATCGAAGGCAAGTTATACCAGCTGAGTTTGGAATGCACTGTATCCCTAACTAGACTGAGGAGAGTAGAGTGCACGTAGAAGCTCGCGCCTGATTTTATTGCAGACCTATTGATCGATGCTTGTAGTCTGGCAGGTGCCGACCTTATACTCGACGTTGAGCAAGCTGAACTCTTTGCATAATTTGCGTACCGTTGGTGTGCTTATTTGTAGTCAATTAGATATGGAATAGGAAGATAATTTGACAAATGAAGATTGCCACTATGGCAATCATCATGGGGGACCTAAACTTGGCCGTTGTGAGTTCAATACGCGGAGTGAACATATCGTTTGCAAGTTTGCCTACTAGCGCAATACCTGGACTGGTGTATACCTGGAACAATCTTCGTATGGAAGATCATTTGTGCAAATTGAAGGACCATTAGACCCATTCCAGTTCAGAGACGCGGGCCGATCCTGCTGCGATGGAGATTCGTCTTTCTACGGCAAGCCTCCCTGAGCTGCCTCGAGAGGGCCGGCATAGCTGGCCGACCTTGTAGGCACAGCTTTGCTCGTGTTCAATAATCTGTTGTATGGCGATATACTCTGCTGGCTCATGATGCGAAACTTGCTACACGAATGTCAAGATATGTGGAGAAGGCTCGAGGCTCCCTGCCAGTGGACGGCGGCAATTTGGCATCACCATCTTTAGATTTCACTGACGGCGAAAACATGCGATGCGACATCACTCGTGGATGAGCTAGACGTCTAGCATGTTGTTGGTTGATTCCGTATGGTAGTGGGGCTCTACATAGACAGCCCTGGCTTCAAACATCTCGAAAGGTGAATCAAGTCAAGCCTTGCGGCACGAAAAGCAGATTGAGCCAATTGGGCTTGGGGAGATGAAGTCTCGACTGAAAAACGCCTTCCGAAAAATTTGCACATCTGCACAAGCAACAGGCTATCTTGAGTGACTCGCTCACTGGTGTCTGCAATGTTTTACTGCGTGTGTATGCTTTACGCTGCTAACTCTGCTGCCACCCTTGTCTCAAGAGATTGACGCGATCAATTGAGAGTGCAGAAGTAAAGACTGCACATTTCGGTCTGAGCCCCGGCCTAGTTTGCCCTGTCTACGGGTACAACTTCAAGGAACATTGACCACGAACTTGCCTGTTGCTTGAGGCTTTGACAGTGCCCATAGAATGCCTTCGTCGATGCACTCGTCCCAGTGATCAGAGGCCTTCAATGCCTTACCAAAACGCCTATGCCCATGCGGCACACCCTTGAAAAGCCTGACTTCAGTTGGCACGTTTGCCTCAGCAAGCTTCTTCGCGAAGATCAGAGCCTCGTCCCGCAAAGGATCCAGCCCAGCAATACCGAATACGGTAGGGGGTAGACCGCGAACCTCGTCATCTGATGCGTTCACGATGTTGGTCTTCGTGTCCTTCGGATCCGCAAGTGGAGTCTTCAATAGTGCAGTGAAGAACTCGACAGTCTTCAGTGGCAGTATCGGTGCGTTCTCATTCTCGACGTATGACGACTTTCCCGGCACGATATACCTCCCAACGACCTCGTCGTAGGTGTACGGGCTTGCCAGACAAGGGATAATCAAAACCTGTCCGGCAAGCTCTGGCAAATCCTTCGTGGCATCACTCTTTCTAAGGTGCTTTTCCAACGTGAGAGACGCTGCAAGCTGTCCGCCTGCAGATACACCACCGACAAGCACTTTTGAGGGATCGCCGTTGAGCTCTTCAATATTCTTGTGCACCCAAGTAAATGCGTCTTGCGAATCGTGCCATGCAGTTGGAAAGATGTGCTCAGGGGTGTGGCGGTAGTTGATGTTTACGACTAGGACACCTGTGTTGATGGCGGTCTGGGCGCAGACAAAGTCCTCTGAAGCAATGCTACCAAAGATGAAGCCGCCTCCATGAAAGTAGATGAAGACGGGGAGTTTCTCGGACTTGTCTTTTTTGACCGAGCGGTAGGTACGAGCTTCGATTGATGATCCATCGCGCGTTTTAATGGAGTAATCAGCTGTGTGGACATGCGGAGCCAGGAACTTCATGCCAGCAGCCGTTCTCTCCTCTCGCTCTTGATTGACAGCGTTCTTGAGGATTATAGGGTCGATATTTGTGTCGAAAGTCGTGGCTGGTAGTGTCTTCTCAATCGCCAGCCATTCATCAGATGGGCCACCGTACTGTGAGAAGTCCAACGACATAGCGACGAAATGCTTCGCGATGAGCAGTGCAAAGAATCTGAGAATCCGATGTTTCGAGGGGTTTAGGATGGATTGCTAAGTGTGAGTGCATGTGTAGATGTGAAGCTTGATGAACGCATCTCGCCATTCACTGTGACCGACGTTGCCCCTCAATTAGCGTCTGCCCCGCGCATCAACCGAGGCGCGATGTCAGCAGCTCGCCGAGGAGCGGATGATCTGCACTTGCATCGATCCCGAATGACTTGCAGCTGAGCTACGAAGTACTTCTACAGTCGGCCATTAAAAGCAAATGTGGACAAGCGGTGCGGAGCAGTAGCGCAGATCGGCTCTCCTGATCAGGATAACCGTCAATTGCAACTGCCATAATCATATTAACCGACGACAGTCTTCCGTTAGAAAATTCGAGCAGAGAACATGTCACAGATTCCGCTACATCCACCATCGCGCGGACTCGAGGGCAAAATGGCCATTGTCACGGGTGCAGGCTGTGCAGGAGAAGGGATTGGGACCAGGCGTACCATCTCGGTCATGCTTGCTGAAGAGGGTTGCAACGTTCTATGCCTAGATTTGAACCTTAAATAGGCCCAGAAAACAGCGGAGATGTCGACTGCAAGATCGCAAAGGGCGAAAGCATTACCTCTCAAGTCTGACTTCACTGTAGCTGCCGATTGCGAAGCTGCTGTTCAGGCATCGCTGAAAGAGTTTGGAAGACTCGACATTCTGGTGAATAATGTTGGCATTGGGGGTGCAGCCGGTAACGCTGTCGAAGTTGATAAGAACGCCTGGGCGAAAGGTCTCGAGGTCAATGTTGGTAGTATGGTGCAGATAGCTAGGTACTGCATACCCGCGATGCAGAAGAATGAAGGCGAGATTTGAGGCAAAATTGTCAACATGGGCTCAGTTGCTAGTCTGAAAGTCGGAACTCCGTATCTGCTCTACCCGATGAGTGAAGGTGCTGTTGTACACATGACAAGAGCGATGGCTGCGCATCATGCACCAGATGGCATTCGTATCGACTGCGTTTGCCCGGGTATACGTTCACACATCTGCCGTCATTCCTTCAAACCTACTGACTGCTTCGCAGATGCTTTACACGCCGATGATGTATGCGGGTGGTATGAGACGACGAAGATTTACATCCGTCAATCGCAAATCAACGCCATGAACTGCAATAACCAGAAACTCCTCGACCAACACCGTGAAACCTCAGACATGTATGGACTACAAGAGCTAGAAATCCTCGACCAGCATCGTTGTGTTCCACTCATCGCTAAGCTAAACTGCATTCCTTTCCGGCGATCATGCAGTTCACGTAGCGCTGGCGGAATGTATGGAGCACGCAGCGTACTTCAGATACGCTGTCTCCATTACAGTAGTTGTCGCAGGCGTGACAGCCAGTGTGGTGTATGGCGCGCGTATCTGACTGCAGCATAAGAGCGGAAATGCGTTTGCATCGCGCTCGGTCTGCACCAGCATTGATGTAGAGTAAGTCCTGTGTAGTGGAGCCAAAGTGGGGCCACTGCAACTCGATACTTGCTGGTCGGCCCTTATCAAGCGTATGGGCAGTATGCTGGTGATGTCCAGCGAGCATCGCAATAACGTACGTGCGACCAGTGCAACGAATGCCTCATCCGAGTGCTGCAGTTTGTTGCGTCAGGTTATCTGTCTCCTCTCGGTGAACTTTGGCCTTCCCTCCGATCCCTTGGGGCCAGGTTGCAGTATATTCAACTGCGACAGCGGTTGATTTGCTCTGCACAATGACTTGGCGAGGCTCAAAACATCGTCATTGTTAGGCGACTGCGCCATTGATATCTGATTGTAAGCGGACGAGTCCAGGCGTTCGAAAGAAAGCTTGCTTCTGCCATACTCTCGAGGGTGTGGAATATAGTCGGGATGTGTAAGATGACTTCTTTAACCACAGATATGGTATGGTATTGGTAATGCAAAACATGCCTCGTCATACTGCCCAGTAATTAGCTCCCTTCGCCATACTATTCTATATGAAACTTATTGTTGCGATAGCGCGTGTTGCGGGCGCATCTCCCGAGTCGTTGTGTCTCTGCTCTGCCGTAGCCACACGTGTGGTCTAACTAGCGGATGTGGCGGTACGCGGAGCGGTGGCTGTGGGACTGCCATTTCGTCTGCGTCCCGAATAAAGGAGGAAGTGACCAGGGAAGGCAACGCAAATACCACAGGACGGCATGAAGAGACGTGATGTCGATGCGCAACACTCCGTTGCATTCGACAATCGTGAATCAATCATACCGGGAATCTCAGCTGTCCCCCCTCTCCTTTTAGTGGTCCTCATCTTAGTAGTCCTTCTCATACTCCTCGTAATAGTTCTCTTCTTCATAGTCCTGTCGTGTTGGCCAGGCTTTGACGTCGACAGGACGATCTACAACGGCTGACCGATCGGCGATACCTGCGGGTGTGCGGCGGCCCTGTGGCGCATGACGCACCAATTAGTGCACATCGCGACATCGCTTTAATCTACGCGAGGGGCGCGCTCTGGTAGGAGCGCTAAGAGCACGGTGCTTTTTGTCTGATAGTGGCTGAAAATTTTCTGAGTCGTGGCTGATGTGGATCATAATGGACGTAGTACAAAGGTATGGTGAGTATCCATCTTCGTAGCGATACGAGCGCTGTGAACCTCAATACCATAATCACAGATCACGAAGTCATGAGAGACGATCTGGAGAAGCCAGAGGCGAGGTCGCAAATTCGACAGCGACTTGATGCTGAGATCGATGCGAAATGGGCGGATTTGATCCTCTTGGGTTGCTTCTTCTGCTCGGGTCTTATCGACAGCATGGCCTTCAACATGTACGCTTGCTTCGTCAGCATGCAAACAGGTCTGTGTACAACAACGCCAGCTCGGAAATACGCAGTACTAACTCCACACAGGCAACACCATCTTCGTCGGTCTAGGTGTCAACGGACAACCTGACTCAGCACCTCCATACTCTTGGGCAAAGTCTTTGGCAGCCATTGTGTGCTTTGCGCTGGGCGCATTGTTCTTCTCGGCCATTCATCGAATCTTCGGTCCTCAGAAACGATGGGTTCTGATCTCATCTTTCGCCCTTCAGGCGATTCTGATCGCCATCGTAGCCATCCTTGCTACAATTCCGGTCATCCCGAACGAGCCGCCTGTGGTGATTCAACGAAATGACTCCAGGTTCCTTACTTTCACCATGTCGAGTACTTTTCCCAGATCGGATTTCGCAGCCATCAGCATCCTGGCTTTCCAGAGTGCTGGTCAGATCGTAGCCAGCAGAGCCCTGAAGTATAACGCAATGCCAACCGTGGTCCTGACGAGCTTGTACTGCGACTTGATGAGCGATGCACAGCTTTTCACAGCGCCGCTAGGTCAAAACGCAGACAGGAATCGCCGTTTTCTTGGGGCAGTACTCCTCCTGTGCGGCGCCATATCTGGCGCTTACCTGACAAAGTCTGTTGTGGGGTTCAAGGGCGGCTTATGGATCGCAGTCGGCATCAAAGTCGCTATGACTATGGCATGGTTCTTTTGGAAACAGAAGAAAGCTGTGATGGAGTAGGAAGATGTGTGACACCCATTGCAGACACGAGAGATAAATACACTTACTCGAATTTGACGTTCTATTGACCAAACGAGGTAGTGACGTCATCTCGAATTGCTGACTCCGACTGTTAAAGTTTGGGACCGGTCAGGAGGTGAGTGGTAACTCCAGCAATAACGGAGAAGAGTGTAGGACGGTAGGTCATCTGGTTGTGCGTGCCGGGCGGCAGCTGCCGCACCAGCCCCTTGCATTTCGCGCCATGCACCCCCGATCTCCGCACTTGCTGCAGCCTAGCGTCGTCACTACCACCTCCCCCATCTGCGCCTCTGCTCACCTATCATCTTCCATCACAACTCAATGCTCAGCTGGCTGACACAATCATACTTCATCAAATTGACCATTTCTCGAACTTTCAAGCACTATGTCGAACGAGAAGACTCCGCTCATACCGCGCTTTGACGCGTCTCACGCAAGGGCGGAACTGCCTCCGCGCCTGAAACGCTGCTCATCAAAGAAGACAGCATTGAAGGTCATCGGTGCTACGGCTGCTGCCGGAGTATTGTACTATGGTGTTCCCGAAGGTAGTTTCATCCACGAGAATGACGAAGTTACAAGGCTGATCAAACTGCTCAGTCACAGCACGGTCTAAAAGCAAACTGTGCCTGACACCAGCATGTGTCCATGCAGCCTCAGAGATTCTTTACAACCTGTCACCTAACTACAAAGAGCTCGACGCCTGTACCGATTTTGAGGAGCTTGTGTGTGGTGGATGGCGAGACCGCCACGATCTGCGCCCAGATCAGGGTGACGCTTTCACCGGGACTATCATGAGCGAGAACTCGGAGCTGCTTCTTCGCCACATCCTGGAGGCGCCATATCCGAAGGATTCACAGGTATGCGTTTTTGAACTGACTGGAGGAGACTTGACTAACAAGGTTTGACTAGCACTCTTACTTTTCACCAATGCAGCTGAAGACCACACAGAAGTCTGCAGATGAGCAGAACTTTGATAAAATGAAGTCTGTGTATGATGCCTGCCTTGATGAGGACAAGATCAAGAGCCTCGGCGCTGAGCCCCTTCTCAAAGTCTTGACCGAAATCAAGCAGGCATACCCCCAAGGCGATGCTGCTTCTCTCTTGGCAAGATACGGAGTCACCGGATTGATCGCAACTGGAACTGGTGCTGATGACCGTGATCCAGATACCGTCGTAGTGTCTGTTGCTGCGCCCTACTCATTTGGTCTGCCAAGTAAGGAGCGCTACGAAGACGACAAGCTGGTTGAGAAGTACCGCGGCGTCACTGTTCAGGTGCTCAAAGCTCTCTACCCTGATGCAAAGGAAGAGTCCTTCTCCAAGATCATCGACTTCGAGAAGAAGCTGGCAGCTGCTTCGCCCAGCACCGAGGAACGCGAGGACGTGACAAAGTACTACAACCCGATGAGCCTCGACAATGCCAACCAGTTGGCACCAGAGATCGATTTGAAGGGCCTTCTCCACGAGCTCGCACCAAAGGACGTTGGCATTGAACGCGTCATCGTCATGGCTCCGGGCTACCAGAGTAAGCTATCCTCTATCCTGAACGAAACCGATAGCGAGATCGTCATGAACTACTTTGTATGGAAGGCTGTTCAATCTTTCTCAGGATATGTTGATGCGGAGGAAGTCAAGCCATACAGACGATTTCTCAATGAGCTTGCAGGGAGGGTCAGTAGCATTCCAGTCGCTTCCCTTAGTACATGCTGACAACTTCAGGACCCTGACTCCACACCTGAGCAATGGCGGAAGTGTGTTGGCCAGGTTGAAGATGGTTTGGGTTGGATCTTGAGCAGGTTCTTCATCGAGAAGGCCTTTTCCGCTGAAGCCAAGAAGTTCGGTGACACTATCATTACTGACATCAAGACCGAATTCGCGAAAAAGCTTCAAGCAACGAAGTGGATGGACAAAGATACTACCAAACTCGCCACCAACAAGGTCCACAACATCATCCAGAAGATCGGTTACCCCACCAAGAGCCCCAACATCATGGACCCACCAAGTCTTGAGAAGTACTACGACTCCGTCAATGTCTCATCTGCGACCTTCTTCCAGAACGCGCTCTCGGTGCGCAGCTTTTCCATTGATGACGAGTGGTCTGCACTAGGGAAACCTGTTGATCGCGAACAGTGGGGGTAAGTCTGACGCACCTTTTCCTGTACCATGACAGCTTCCGCTGTACCACTACATCTACTGACGACTGAAAACAGCATGTATGCCAGCACTGTCAACGCATACTACAACCCACCAGGAAACGAGATCGTGTTCCCCGCTGGAATTATGCAATTTCCTGTGTTTGATGTCAACGTTCCGGCATATATGTCCTACGGCGCATTTGGTTCCGTAGCCGGCCATGAACTCAGCCACGCCTTCGACTCTACTGGCCGCCACTATGATCAAAACGGCAACTACACCGACTGGTGGTCCAATTCCACGGTAGATGCTTTCCGTGAGCGTGCCACGTGCTTCGTCGACCAGTACGCAAAGTTCTCCGTGCCTGGCAACGACAACAAGCCACTCCACGTCAATGGTCGTCTTACTCTGGGCGAGAACATTGCTGATGCTGGTGGTCTATCTGCCTCTTACCAGGCTTGGAAGCGCCGCTCCCACAAGAAGCCTAACCAGGATCTACCAGGTCTCGAGCATTTCACTCAGGATCAGCTCTTTTTTGTGACATACTCGAACTGGTGGTGCGGCAAGTCGCGCAAGGAAAACGCAATTAATAGGATCTACACCGATCCTCATGCACCTAAGTGGGCACGCATCTTAGGTACTATGGCAAACAGTCGTGAGTTTAAGGAGAGCTTCAAGTGCAAAGATAAGAAGCCCACTTGCCAGCTTTGGTGAGGGTGATTGCCGTCCTTTCTGCACAAGTTTCATTGCCCAGGTGCGGCATCACTTTTAGTTTGTATCATTAACAAAAATGGAGGTCTTGGCTTCCAACATGCGAAGCTAATTTCATAGACCACATCTGAGATCCAACTGACAAGAGCAGAGAGAACATCGAGACTACACTAGGCTAATCGGAACACGCTCCCATCCCAACCATACGCTCGCTGGAGACGTCTGCCAAACCTCCTCACCTCAGTAAAATGGATCTCATTTTCCGGATGCGGTTCATGGAACTGTATACCACGCTCAAGACCGAGCTTGTCGTTGACCGGCGCGAATTGCCATGCCGAGCCATGCAGCCTCTGAGCGCCGAAGCCTGCGCTCACCATCGCGCATTCGAAGTCGTTCCACTTGACGGCGCGGAGATAGTTGGACGGCTCAGATGAGACGCCCCCATGCCATCCATACACGCGACCCTCGCCATGATATATAGAATGTCACTTTCAGGGTGCGGCTCGTAGAATTGGATGCTACGCTCGCTACCCACATTCTCTTGAGGGCCTGAGCGTGATTCGCAATTTTGGTGACCAGTAATGGCGTAACGGGCTTGTTGCGATACAGATGGGCCATAAGCTCGTCGATGCAGATGTTATCTTGTCTATAGAAGGGTTAATTCTCTGCCTTGTGTTTACGCAGCGTTGACCTACGCATCCTGTCACGGTTTGCGTGTCTCTTGCCTCATAGGCAACCCGCGCCTCACCTTTGGTGAGAGGCGACTCCCTGTTTTGCACTAGCGCTGTTTACAGCCACCTATGTAGATATACTGTTTGTAGCTTCACACAATACAACCTTAGTTTAATCCTTAATTCCTTGCGCACTGCTTACACTCACTGCAACAGTTATAAGCCTAGCTGCAACCTAGGATTATTCTTACCTGCTACTGCAATTGTCACTCTACTTAAGTTGCATGTTGCTATACCACGTCTACTACAGCGCACCTGTTACCGCATCCACCCACAACGCACATTGCCTAGATCTCTGCCTAGATCTATTTATACACAACTACAGCCTCTATAATAGCTGCTAAGTCTAATCCTACAGTGACGCGTGTTACTATTATACTTAACACACCTAACAACTAACGTAGATTATCACCGAGCCGGCCATATCACCAAACTGGCCACTTTCTCTTAGCACGACCACCTTTTACCCTAACACAATATGCCTTAACAACAACAACTTCAGAATACTACTAGAGAAGGTAGAGTTATCCTTGCTATCTAGGCCTTCTATGCTGGCCAATTTCACAGTATCTGCAGCGCTGCTAGAGCGTTGAATGTACCTTATTAGCAGGTCTCTAATCGCCTTTGCAATATTACGTTTTAACTAGACATACGCGCTAATTGCTAGAAACTTACTATACTAGAGGAGCAGATAATTATCTAGTATATACTTAACCTTAATTCGCGAGGATTTGCGCCCTAGCTATGTGAGGTGGCAGATATAGCTAATAAGATACTTAGTGTGCGTGGTGAAGAGCCTATTAGCAAACTATAGGCTAGCAGGCTTGTGACGTGTTTAGACAAGCTTAAAATAGCCTTTAATTAAGCCAAGGATAGACAGAGGATACTACAGGAAGATCCTAAGATAATTAGCGTGTAGTTTAAGCTAGTAGAGGATACTTAAGTTAAGTATAGTGTTTGCAACAACAACATACACAACTTTAATAAAACTAGGTTCTAGATAGGCGTTGCTTTGTCTTTAAAGGTTGTAACAGGCTTAGAGAGACGTGCTTGGCCAGAGCTTGTTCAGCCAGGTGATCGCGAGTGGGTTACCATTATCCAGAGCATCTGCGCTGCTGGGTATGCAACCCCACCTTTCATTATCTACAAAGGACGCGTCCACATCTCTGCCTAGTATAAGGAGACAGATATACCCTACAATTAGAAGCTCTTAGTCTCTAAGAATAGTTAGACAAACAATATGCTTAGCCTTAAGTAGTTAAAGCACTTTAACATGCATACAAAGACGCGTTAGGTAGGAGTGTACAGGCTGCTTATCTTAGATAGCTATAAGAGCTATCTTAACTAGGAGTTTAAGGACTATTACCTAGGGAACTAAATCCTTACTCTCTATATACTACCTTACTTATTGTATATCCTCTAGCTACTTAACGTAGTCTATTTCTTGCTATTAAAGTGTAAGTACTCCTAATATATTTAAGACTTAGCACGCTAACGTATCTTCTATATTAATAAGGAAGGCTTCCTACTAGCCTTTAGGGATATGTTCCTTAATATATTTATAAAGGTTAACTGCTAAAAGGCCTTTAAGGT